TCCCGGTAAGGCTTGCTCCCAATTTTAGAGTCCAAAATTCCTTAGGCCATTTGCACATTGTTGCAGTTCTTTCGAAGATTGTGAGGAAATTTTCAATGTCTTCATTATCTCTTAATCTAGGTATAAACGGATCTTTTGGCTTGTGTTTTTCTTCTTTATCTTCTTTTCTTTCTTTTTGACGAAGTTTACGTTCTTCTTCAATCTCCATTCTTCTTAATTCTTCTTGGTATCTTCTTTCATTCTCTATGTCTATCCTTCTTTGTTCCTCAATTCTTTTCCGTTCTTCTTTTTCAGCTTGGATTTCTTCTCTTCTAAGTTGTTCCTGAATCTTTCTTTCTTCTTTTTCAGCTTGTATTTCAGCTAGTCTTATCTTCTCCTGTCTTAAGAACATCTCTCTGTCTTGTTCGGTCTTTTTCATCATTGAAGTCATCATAAACATCATCTGTTGCTGCATCTGTATTGGGTTGAATTGTAACATCGTAGGATCTGGCTCAATAGAGTGTTTTTCTTCAACTGGTTCATCAGATGCTTCTTCATATTCCTCTTCTTTCTGCTTCTTTTTCTCTTTATCATCCTCCATTTCTTTTGTTGGATTTTCCTCTGGTAATCCTTTATGATACTTTGTGTTCCTTGTATCAACTGGCATGAGTAATTGTTGTATAATCGCGTTTTAATTTTTACAACAACATAAATCCATTGAAATACGCGGAAAAAATTGTTTAAGTATAATGTACTGTATAGAAATAAATGCGTAAATTGTTTGGTCCTAATAGGCCTATGTACTTTTATAACATATTGTTATATGAAGTATTAAAAATGTTATTATCTATGGGCCTCTGTACTCAATATATATATCAATCAATATATTATACTGTTGAAAATAATTGAACCTAATGGGCCACTGTAGGTGAAAAAAAATTATATACAGTTGTTAAATATTTGGAACTTATGGGCCACTGTAGTGAAACATTTTGTTAGTAGAGTGACTGATAAAAATGGGCCACTGTATTAATCTAAAACTAATTTGGTATTAAAATATTTTGTACCAATGGGCCACTGTACCGAAATTATTGGCCATGGGTTCAACTCATTATCACACCAGAACACTTGTTTGTTTTGTCAATACAACGATTGTTTTAAATGGCTTATTTTAATACCTTGTATTGCTATAGTCAAATCTGAATTGCCACTTTCATACAAGGCAGTTCAAACAAGGCTAAAAGCTAATTGCAATTGCACCTTACTGTTGGTTGAATTCAACTAATGTATCTAATTAATCTAATCTACTACTCATAACTCAATTTCAATCTGTATATTAATCTACCCAGTTGACCTCAATATTTTGTTTCTCAAACTCCGAATCTTCTCAAAAGATTTTACTCTGCTCAATTTTTCTACTCAATTGCAGTGTTTCAAATTCTCTGATGCAATTTCTCAAATTCTCTAATGCAATGTCTCAAATTCTCATGCAGATCATCTCAATCTGGATCTCTTTGCTTCCCAAGCAAATCTCAATTTCAAAATGTTAAATAATCTTCATCTCTTGAATTCTCATCAAAGCCTTGGAAAAGTAATGTAGTTCATGACTTACTGCTTTTGAAGACACGGTTTTCTCACTTACTGCCCTTGAAGACGTGTTGATTCTGGTATAGCTGCCACCATGCCAAAGAAGCTGTTCATTTTACCTTCGAATACAGGATGTCCTGATGTTATCTTCTAGGGGGCGCCCCGTAACGAATCTACGACCTGTTGATGCTGATCTAATATTTCTACAGCTTGCTTCTTGTATTATTTGTTCTTGAATATAACTTCTTATTTAAGGTTTCTGGGCTTCTAATTATGTTTATCAATTGTTTCATTTCTCATCTCAGCTCAGGTTCTCATTATACCCTTTCTCTCTAACTCTATCTCTGAGGTCAACTGAACTTCAACTAACTGCCTGTAACTTTTACTCTACTAATTAATCTTACTTTTTCACACTTACTTGTAAATTGGCTCAATATCTACACCCCAGATAGCACGTCTTTGTTGGCCCAACGTCGGCAATTTTACGTCGGTACCTTGACGTTGGGCCGACGTTGGTTCAAGGTTGTCAAGGCACACTTCTCCGTTGGCCTGAAGTCGGCAATTCTACGGCTGTAAGCTCACGTTGTACCGACGTCGGTACAAGGTTGGCAAATGACACATCTTTTTCGGTCTGAAGTTAGCAATTTTAGGGCGGTACTTTGACGTTGGGCCGACGTTGGTATGAGGTCGTCAAGGTACACTTTTCTGTTGGCCTGAAGTCAGCAATTTTACGGCTGTACGCTGACGTTGTAGACGCTGCAAATGTTGGACCAACGTTGGCCCAACGTCGTTGTGCTATCTGGGTAGCACTAAAGTACTGTTGGGCCAATGTTGGGCCACCCACCTATCTGTTCCCTCTGCAAGGCCAACGTTGGGCCAACATTGCCATTAGCACTAAAGCACTGTTGAGCCAACATTGGACCAACGTTGGGCCAACATAATTTTTTGCCAACATTGGACCAACGTTGGGCCAACATAATTGTTTGCCACTGTTGGACCAACGTTGGCCCGCTGGACAAAATGACGTTGGGTCAACCGCTCAAGCCGACGTTGGGCCAACAGATGCGTAGTTGTTGGCCCGAAGTTGGCCCACTGGCGGTGTGCTATCTGTGCCAACATTGGACCAACGTTGGGCCAATATAATTTTTTGCCACTGTTGGACCAACGTTGGCCCGCTGGACAAAATGACGTTGGGTCAACCGCTCAAGCCGACGTTGGGCCAACAGATGCGTAGTTGTTGGCCCAACGTTGGCCCATTGGCGATGTGCTATCTGGGACCTATCGATCAGTGCAAAATTGCAGTTGGCAAATTGTAGTTGGGCCAACGTTGGCCCGTTGTTGGCTGCCGCTAATACCAGGAAGCCACCTATCGATAAATCATTGCAAATGCTTAAAAATAGAAGAAAACATACCAGCAGTCATTAAAAAAAATTAAGGTAAATTTTTGTAATATTTTCTTTCAAAATTATCTGATAATGTTGTTCACCTCAAAAATATGGATTTTCGCCTTGTAATACAGTTAAAACCACTTATAAGGCTACCAAATATATTTAGTATGGAAAAACAAGCCACCATATTTTATTGATGTAAAACAGATATAATATGTGAACATATTTACAGTAGCAGTACTGAATGCCTAGATAGCACAAAGACGTTGGGTCAACGTCGCTATCGGTGACCATTGGTTCTCAAGGTTGCAGTTGGCAAGTTATTCATGTGGCCTGTCATTGGCTGCCCAAGGAGCCAACAATGGCTGTACAAAAAAGTAAATTGTGTCAACAGTGGGCCAACGTTGGTTCTGTGGTGGCTGCCAATGTTGGACCAACGATGGCTGACGTGGTTGGCCCACCGTCGCTATGTCCATTGGCCCAACGTTGGCCCACCGAAAGAAAATATGGTTGGCCCAACAATGGACCTTCGGTGGGCCAACGTTGGGCCAATGGACATAGCGACGGTGGGCCAACCACGTCAGCCAACGTTGGACCAACATATACGTAATCGTTGGGCCAAAGTTGGCCCAACTGTTGACCAACGTTGGGCCAACCAGTTTTGACCGCCAATGCGCCAACATCCCTCTTAACATTGTCGGACCAACTGTTGACCAACGTCGGGCCAACCAGTCTTCTTACTATTAGTGGGCCAACTATGGGCCAACGTAGCTTGAAATCGTGTTGGGCCAACAATGGACCAACGTTGGGCCAATGAACATAGCGACGGTGGACCAACGTTGGACCGATGGACATAGCGACGGTGGGCCAACCACGACAGCCAACGTTGGGCCAACAGATACGTAGTTGTTGGGCCAACGTTGGCCCATCAGAGTTGTGCTATCTGGGACTTACTTCTTATAATTACTCTGTTTACATCACAGCCTATAAGATCCTACTACAAAACGATCTGGCCAATATCTGTGTTACATACCATATAGGTTACTGAGTCTTGTCCCGTTTCCGCTGCGAAGGCCAAAAAGGCTTAGAAAGCCCCCTCCCGGGTCCATTGTTAGCATTATAAGCTGCGACGTCATCATATGCTCAACATAAATTTTTGCCTAAGAAATTTCTGAGACTCTCACTTGACAAATTCAATCGCATTTAACACGCGAAATAGATTATCATAACACTTGGAATTACACAGACGTATTGAGCTTAGGGAAATTTATCCACGTTGCTTATTGTATCGTTCACGCACGTCTGTCATGGTGAACGGAGTTGATTTTTGTTTGTGCTCATCCTCCATTTTTCTGTTTTTCGTCTGCGCAGTGATGATGCGCAGACGTTTCCAAGGGTAATAGAAGTTGCAATCGTGACGTCAGCGGGCAATAGTTCAAATGTATTTTCCCTCTGACGTCACATTGGGGGGATATAACTTTCGAAGGGAAATAGTAAATCTATTTCGGAACACGTGACTAGGTATTGAACAATCAGTATTAGTGTTACATATTGGGTATCCAATACTTCTGAAAATTTGCGGGAATACTCGTCTCATTTGAACTTTGGCCTTGCAGGATTTCGCTAGAAACGTGAAGAAGTATCAAAATTAACATTCTTAAACTGAGTTTGAACAGAGATCAGGGTTTTAACTTTAGATAGACAGACGTAGGGGATGGACGTAGCAAGGTCAATGTTCAAATGCGACGAGTATTCTTGCCGATTTTTCAGAAGTACATTCAAGATCCTTTACTGCATTACCATGAACATTTTCGGAACCCTGGGATCTAGAACTGATTATTTTTGGGTGTGGTAGTTAAGGTGGCCAAAATGTTCAGGGGTCGATTGTTTTATCAGACGTTTTTAACGACAAATTAGCAACATATATAGTTTGGTCCAAAAAACTGAATCCTAGATACGATTGATAGAGCAGCGAACAGCTTCCAATATTTGAATTAAGTCGAACCATGTAACATAGCCTAGTTGTAAGAAATAGTAAATACTCACTGTCTGCAGTGTTCCCTGGTTCACCCTTTTGACCTTTTTGCCCCTGTGGACCTGTGTTACCCGTTCTACCAGTTGCACCAGTCGGCCCTTGGTAACCTGTTGTACCTTTTTGCCCTTTTGAACCTGTCACACCGGTAAGTCCTTCATCGCCTTTTGGACCAGTAGGCCCTCGATCACCTTTTGAACCTGTCGCACCGGTAAGTCCTTTGTCGCCTTTTGGACCAATAGGCCCTCGATCACCTTTTGCACCTTTCGGCCCTTGTGGACCTGTCGCCCCAGTAAGGCCTTGGTCACCCTTTTGCCCTTTTGGACAAATAATACACGGTGTACCTTTTGGCTCCCTTGGCCATTGGTCCCCTTTATTACCTTTTTGCCCTTTTGGACCTATTGGCCCGATAGGTCCAACAGGTCCTTTTGCTCCAGGGGGTCCAATTGGGCCTTGGCTGCCATTTAACCCTGCTTTTCCTTGATCGCCCATTCTTCCTGGATATCCATGCTCTCCTCTGAGACCTTGTTCACCTTTGTCTCCCTTTGGTCCTTTCACTTTTTTTACTTTACACTTCTTACTACATTTTTGGCTCAATTGTTCCAGGAGAATTTCCAGTTTGATGACGTTTCTCTCCAAAGCAGATATTTCGGTAGCATGATCTCTAAGATCTCTTTGTTGTTCTTCAACAATATTCGAAAGTTTATCACACTTTTCCATAAGTTGTTTGAAATCACTATCAGTTGGTGCTGCTCTAACCACAGTGAAGTGAAACCCTGAGAAACTCAGAAACGTAAGTCCAATACACATAGCGTGTTTGAGCGTTAAACCTGCCATTGCTCTGGTATTACAGTTGGAGACTTCAATGGTATATGCCGAACTGCAAATGTTTTATTATTCAGCATTATTTATCATGTCGATTAGCCAAGCTATTTCTATAGATTAGATTGTTCATTTTGTATTGTTATTGAGGAAACTGTGATAAACAAACATATACAACATATCAAGCCGTTTTTGCTACACAAACGATGTCATTTTTAATATTGATGAAACATGCCTGTCTGAAAGTATCTAACGCGTATTCCAGTGTTAATTATTAAAAATTCTCATTTGGAAGTAACACCTGGTAGAAATTTGAATTTGCACTTACTTAAAACTTATTTGAAATAACGTCCTATAGTATGATTAGTGACATTTTCAAGCCAATGCTTAAATAGGATACTATTTATATAATTTAATGAAATTGCCAACGTCCATAGTATCTCCAAAAAGATGTAACAATAGTTGAAGAATGTAATACAGTGTCCCTTCTTCACAAAACCTGGGCTGTTGCAATTACACCGCGTGCCTTCTTAAAGCGCAGGGCGTGGTGCCACGATTTAAACCAAAATTTGACATAGATCAGATGCCTTCAGAGTTTTACAAATATTAATTAAAGTCTTTTTTAGACACACATATCTGTAAGATTATCCAAGAGAGTACTTGTGATGGTTAATTCCTTATGCACCTTGAAAACATATATCTGGATCAACGTATTCAATACAGAGACAAATCGTTTGGGGATATTAAGGGAATTGGTATTGTTTAATATGTGCTGGTCAAATGATCCACGGATTGATGTGTGTTTATTCAGGCTTTTAATGTTATTTCTCATGTTTTACAAATGTATGTAAAGGGACATGGTTTGTAGATGTTGTGAATAAACTATCAAAATTTCAAACAAAAATATTTATTACGAAAAATTCCCGCGGCGGTGACCAATTTCTTAAATATTCTCCAAAGAATAATTTGACACTGAATAAGTTATTGTTAACCTGAAGGTTATCTTTTCTGGCCATATTGTATTTATCATTTAGAAATTGATTTTCATTAAATCAATTATTTGGGATGAAAGGGTTTCTATCTATTTTACCAAAAGTTCGAATGGAGGTCTGATATTTTTAAAGCCGACACTCTCAGCTTTCCAATAGTGGTATTGGAACCTTAGTGTAGATGAGGTCATTTATTTGACCCTAGTTTGCACAAGTATACGTTCAGGCGTAACATAATGAACCTCTTTTGAATGTTCATGAACCAGTGCTCGGCGTTTGGCGATATTCTGATTGAGATGCAACTTTGGTTCGGGATCATTTATACCGACCCAAGAAAAGGCAATAACACCATGTTTAAAGGCCTCAACAATTACAACAATTATATATAAATTACAATTTCAACTTTAAATACCCTCTAAGATGAGTGGAGTGCATCTGAAAAACAAAACTGATTTTCGCAATGGGTTGATTTTCATTATTTAATGAAATTAATTTACTCTGGGGACTTACCAGCTCCGGGGGCTTCCCAGGAAATATTTTTATTTATCTTTTAAACAAAACATAACCAAGGCGCGACTTTGAAGATCTTTTGATTTTACTAAGATGCCTGCAATTACGATTTATATATGTAACTGCATTTTTCAATGTTTGTGCATGTACGGGAATAATAGTGAATGTTTGGTGATACTATTACTAAGTTTGGTGTTACAACTCCAATCATTTTCAGAGCTAAGTCTCTACTTGAGTTATTTGTTGATCGTCCCATGGAGAAAGGATTGGTATCGATATGGAGAACTGAATTCAACAATGTTTTTCTCTAAACCAATCATTGAAAACATTCTGTAAAAATCACTGTATTTTATGTAATGTTGACTGATTGACAACAATTTAATGCGAAAATTATTTAGAAATATTTTATATAACTGTTTTTGTTAACATTTCTTGTTTTTTAGTGCAAATGTTTTTGCTCCTTTCTACCAATTCTTGAGAATGAAATAAAATGTCTTTCCGAACCTTGTTGGAACAAAATAGCATATACAACATGTTTTTAGACCTCTCAATATTATAGTTATACAAAGGAATTTTTGGTTGATTTTAAAAAAAATGTATTCAAAAAATTTAAACAAAATCCCCCCCCCCCAAAAAAATAGATAAAAATCAAGATAAACCTTTTATTTCATTAACAAGACACTTTTTAAGAATCAACCAAAATCTCCTTTGTACAATTACAATATTGAGAGACCTAAACATGTCGTGTTTATGTCGTTTTGTTCTAATGAGGTTCGGAGAGATGTTTCATTTCACTCTGGAAACATGATACCAAGAACAACAAGTGTTTGATGTGTTTTCTAAATCAATATAGATGAAAGTATATATATATTTTCCAAATTATATTATCACCATTCAAAAGATGACCATTAAATTGACGATGTGTTATTTTTAGATTTTTTTATGACTGGTTTAAGAGAAACGTGTGTTCAAAAAGTTCTCCAAATCGATATCACTCCTTTCGGAGTGGGATGGCACATTGTAAATTGTGGTTTAGCAAACTTTATATCGATATGGTGTAGTAATGCGTTACATGTCACGTGTAGTTTGCTTCCGATTGCTTCCATCTTTTCATATTTCACATTTCATATTTAGTTTGAAAATGGAAGTGACGGATATGGTTTAACTGATCTCATCTTTCCAGCCATCTAATTTTAAAATTAGAAAAAATACACATAAATGGGAGAAAATGCAGCTTTACAAAAAGGACTCACTCATTTTGTACCCTGTATTCGTGCGGAAAGAATTTTTTTTAATATCAGGGGGTCATTAACAGAACTTTCGCAAAGTCATCTTATATCATTATTTAGCACAAATAGAAATATGATGTCATTTGATATCATTGCGCGCTGTGTGATTAAACCTGTCTCCGCGATTTCAAAGATTCCCAGCTCAGGAACATATTTGCTTATCATGTAAGAATAGGGGAATATTTTAGCTTGAAACTTAACATGCATATAAAGAACAATTTCTTGTTGCCAACCTGTATACCTTACATAAGAACTGGATGAGAAATATGCCATTCGCAAAGTTATGAAAGGGTCTGAGGTGCTATTAAAGTTACGAACGAAAGCATACGTGACGTCATTTTTTCGTAACTTTGCGAATCGTTCGTAACTTTACGAAAGTTCTGTTAATGCACATTTACCAAAACCGTAAAATTAACAATTGACTTGCAAACTCGTAACTTTGCGAAAGTTCTGTTAATGACCCCCTGAATCGTTATTTAAGTATACGATATTTTATAAGTACCAAATATCAGTCAGTTACGATAAAATGTCTTCATTTGCTACATTTTTGCGAAAACGGTTTGGCATAATTTTTGCAGAAATGTATCTTTTACGACATTATACGCATGATTGCATTCCAAGAATAGCAAACTATAACGTATATAACTGATTGAGATATATTTCTCTCATCATTAATCACTTAAGAATATTAGAACGAACTTTAAAATGTGTAAAACTGGGAATAGATCCATAATAACTATTATATATATGCACATTTATTACAAACAAAGGCTGTTGACATAGCAGCAGGGAAGACAAATTTAAATGGAATTTGCCAGACGTACCAAGTAACTTGATTACTGTTATCCTGTAAATATTAAGATGATTGAACATTTATTCCAGGAATTATACATGACAAAGTACCACCTCAAAAATTATTCCAGGGTGTAAATGTCTGTATTTTTCAAAAACGTTGAAAGTAGACATTAGTATTCTAAGAATCAATGAAGAATCATAAACCACAAACAACTGACTTAATGAGAAATTGCTGTTTTTCAAAACCAAAGTTAGGCTACACCACGCTTGTACTGTAAAGAATTTTTTAGACATTGCACGGGGTTGCTTATTTTGTCTTAGATTGAACAGCTTTTCAAAAATTCAAAAATACATCATCCGAAATTATTGACATTTCTTGGCAAGATGTCATGCTACTGTACTTTACCAAAATTATCCGTGTCCACTGCGTCTAAAACCATGAAAATAAAAATAAAATCAACAAATCATGGAAGTTACATTCTCGTTTTATTGCAGATAGAAGTGAAATTATAGCGTTATTATAAATCCCCGCACGATGATCGGAGAATAGGAACAATTACATCATTGAGCTCATCGAAACTGTCGAGTATATAAAGATGTTCCGCGCCTGGTGACGGTATCGCTGCAAATTCAGTGCTCATGATTTTTTGCAACATGGCCTTTTGTACGGCTGACATTCCATCTGAAGTTTCTTGAAGATTTGGAGTTTTTACCAAAAATACAGTTGGTGGGGTAACTCCTTCTTGGTAACTCTTTGGGTCCTTCAATAGCTTGGCTTCCTTTATAGTCTCAGATGACTTGGAATGCGGATAAGTGACGCCATTTGTCACCAGTAGGGTAACAGCCTTAAACAAAGTATACAGTTATAGCTGTGCAAACTGCAAACGAGAGCTTCCTAATTCATCGGTGAAAAATTGATTTTGCATTTTGTCCCAAGGTTCCAAAAAACTATTCGAAAGGTGAGGAACCCGGCCTTTGAGGATCTGGCCTACTTACGAAATGTAATTATCCCATTTACCGTTTCATCACAAGGTTGTTTAATTTAGTGCATCACAATTTTATTCTTAAACATTTCTTGAAGAATAAAGAAAATGGTCATAATCTCAAAATAGTTTATCATAAATTCTTATCTTTTCTACATCAGTGCCACACAGATTATTGTTCTCAACAATGTTTGATCCTTGTACCTGATCACTTTCCTCTTTTTTGTGCAAAAGTGAAACCCTTGGAGAAATGGCGTCATTCTTTTGAGCCTCGCTTGCTCAACTATTATTTTGGTACATGTTGTTATCGTGATGCTATCCAACAGATAAACAGATAGAAAAATTTAATTCCTACCTTTTTGCCTCGTCTACGTCCATTTTCAGTTGTTAACTGTTCTCTGGCCTCTCGTAAAGCAAGAAAGGTAGGCCTAGCTCTTCCCTTCTTTGGGTTCATTTCCATTTTACTTATTGCTTTCAGGATCTACATACAAATGGCGAAAATGAAAAGACAAAACTTAAAATAAAGATTTTGAAAAAATCTGGTTCTGCTCTAAGATGTTTATTTTTGCTATGTTTCATGTGTTTCGTATTCAGTTCCAACAAAAGGTTCTAAAAGCAAGCCCAATCTTTAAATACCCCTATTCTTGCTATTGAAATGAGGATTTCTGCAAGGGTGCAATTGGTTTAACGTGGGGTTGATTATTGACTCAGCATCGGGATACCACCATGTATGTCTCCATGGGGATACATACAAAATTCTCATTTTCTCAAGTTGATCGAACCTCAACAAGTACATTCATATGGGGAAGTATTGCTAGAATCCATTGTCAAGAGTTAAAATACGTTAACAAAACATTAAAGCCTTTTTGAAATGTTCAGTTAGCACAAGTTCTCTTTGTTCTTTAATCAAACAGGGTCCCGAGACTCTCATCTTTAAAATAGTGAGTGTACAAGACAGTACTACAAGAAGAAAACAATCTCAATCAACCAAGATTACACGAGTATAAGCTAATTAAAATTGATACGATTGGAAAGTTTGGATTACCAAGGTATGGACTTTTAATATCTGTGATTGAAAATTAATCTGGTTATGGCTGGGTCACATTTGCTCCGATCCATCGGCCGGCGCCCGGCCGATTGAGTGTTTTGCTCAATATTGTATTCAATGTTGAACAAAATACTCAATCGGCCGGGTGCCGTAGTGAAAATCGGAGCAAATGTGACCACGGTATTAGGGAGCCTGTTGATCATCGCTCGTGCAAGTAAACTGTCACTCATACAAGTGTCAAATATCAGACTTACCGATGTCGGCGTATTGTACGAGTTGAATTTGATAAAATTGTGGACCTCATCTCCATAAGTTGATCCTGACACCAATGTAAATGCATCTCCAAGTCGAAAAGTTTTCACAAGGGTCAAAATAAAGCTTCTTACTTTCACTTTATCTATGTAAGCGCTAATGGAATTTGACATATCTATTATTAAGTTCAGATCAAGTCCACAAGCGTGTACCAGTTCCGGGTCGTCTGAAAATAAAGATGATTTGAAGTACAGGGCGTTCATTAAGTTCGTGCACAGGTACTTTAAAATTTTTGTTTCTTCTTCAATCAGGCTGAAATTTTCACCCAGTATACCTACACTATTCATACATTAGAATCCTAAATTATAATGAATAGGTCTTTGAGGACAAAACGTTATGGTTTCTGTAGTAGCAAGAGTCTGGAGTAGGCGGAGCAGGGAAAAGGGATCTGTTTTGTTTGAATTTTCACAATTTTTTCATTTTGTCCTATTTATTTAAATAACAGTATCTCAAGGGTATAGGTGTTCAACATAATGTCCATCACTGGTCTATACACATTTGATGTCTCAATACTAATATCCCAAAAACAGATTGAGGAACCCATTTAGGAAATATCTTGCGATTGGTCTTGTATTGATGCCATAAAATCTCCTCCTTGTCGAATGGCGAATTCCAAGAAATCATTCCTCGCCAGTGCCATTCGCAAAAAGAGAGTAACGCATGGAGAGCCAGCGGACCCTAGCTACTATACTTATCATGATGATAATGCCCCAAGCAACACCTCAAATCTTGTCAAGGATATTATCTCTAAAAAAATGAAGATGGATTGACAATCTTGATCAAGCCCTTATTCACCTTACGAGGCACCCCTTGACTTTGGGGTTTCAGGCAGAATAAATAATGATTTTGGTGGAATTCATCATTCTACCTGAGTGAAACGTATGGTATCCATACAAGGATCAATCGCCAGATATTTCCCAAATATGTTCTGCCATCTTTTCGTGAGGAATGGGTAGTGATACAGCATGGGTGTATACACCATGATGGAGATGCCATGATGGACATTATGTTGAACACCTATACCCTTGAAATACTGTTAGTTAAACAAATAGGACAAAATGAAAAAATTGTGAACATTCAAACAAAGCAGATCTTTGTTGCCTGCTCCGCCTACCCCGGACTCATGCTACTATAGCAACCATAACTTTTTTTCTTCAAAGACCTATTCATTGTATTTTGGGATTTCAATGTAGGAATAGTATAGGTATACTGAGTGGAAATTTCAGCCAGATTGACAGAGAAACAAAAATTTTAGAGTACCTTTGCACGAACATAATGAACGCCCTGTACACGTTCGTATTACATGCTGAACAATCATTTCGATGTAAATCCATAGCCATCGTCCAGTATCAAAAAGAATGAAATAAAATGTTCAAATCGTCGATTTTGTTGTCTATTTGGAAAGAGATGGGAATGCCGTCTGTAGCTCGAGGTAAAATGGAAGAGCGAATTATCATGGTTGTTTTAAGAGTAAAAAGCCTAAGCTTAGTTGATCATCCAGGGATTATCTGTAACGTTATGGTTTATTACATACGACCCGGTAACCTTTATAACCTTCAAATCCCTGTTTCCGAACGGGAAAGTACGGGTGGTTTCACTTTAAACGTGCGTGTGTCCAACTTCTGCAGACGTCAAGTCAATTAAAAGTGTCAGTTGGGGTGTTGTAGGATTTCTATCACTGATCTCAAATATAAGTATATATATTTGTACTCACCACATTGCTCTATTATACATAACTTGGTCAATTTTTCTGTATCTATACCACCACAATGACTGGATTTTCTCGTTCTTGTACCCAGACGAATTCCAAAGCCACATGTTCTAGAACAACGACCAAAACTCCATGGCGACCAAGTTGTCCATTGGCAACCTGCGATATTTTCACAATGATTGTGATTAGTTTGCCAGCCCGGTGGATGGCCTGGTGGCTTGGATGGATTCTGGAATCTAGGACTAATTATTATTGAGAATGTTTGGTAAATTGTAAGGTGGTCGTTTTCGACCAAATCGTTTCATCGATAGATTGTTTTTCCCAGACGTCTTTAATTTCAAATACGAGTAGTAGATGTAGTACAGGGTGGTCAAAAAATGGAAACCCTTACACCATTTTCCTCATATATTTGTCATTTTAAGAAATAACTCCCTGATATTTTTCACATTTGAACATCATTCAATTTCCTACCAGCCTACTTTATTTCATGACCATCAAATTGATAGTCACAATGTTACAGCACTTTACAGAACATGCCCTAGTGGCCAATATTGCCCTGTCGGGCCACCTGCACTCGCCGTCCAAAATGTCCCTACCTGTAGGGATATGGCAAGGAAAAAGTGTATGAGAATGACATCAGGACAATCACAAACCTCAAAAGTGAGATCATCCGTATCATTCAGGCCATACCTGCTGAGAAATACATTCGGCCCATTGATAACTGTGCAGGTTTGCCTACAGCGCAATAATGCCAAACCTGAAGCATGTTGTTCAAAGTGCTGTAAAATTGTGACTATCATGATGGTCATGAAATTTGGTAGGGTGGTAGGAAATTGAATGATGTACAAATATTTGAAATATCAGGGAGTAATTCCTTAAAATGACAAAGATATTAGGAAAATGCAGGGTTCCCATTTTTTTGACCACCCTGTACTATAATCTAGTTTTTGATCACATAGTTGAATCCAGTGAAACATACTTTAAAGTATTAAATACTTACTATTCGCAATGTTTCCTTGTTCACCCTTTTGACCTTTTTGACCCTTCGGACCAATGCTTCCCGTTCCACCAGTTGCCCCTGTCGGCCCTCGGTCACCTGTTGCACCTTTTGGCCCTTGTGGACCTGTTGCCCCAGTCGGCCCACGGTCACCTGTTGCACCTTTTGGCCCTTGTAGGCCTGTTGCTCCAGTCGACCCTCGGTCACCTGTTACACCTTTTTGCCCTTGTGGGCCTGTTGCCCCAGTTGGCCCACGGTCACCTGTTGCACCTTTTGGCCCTTGTGGGCCTGTTGCTCCAGTCGGCCCTCGGTCACCCGTTGCACCTTTTGGTCCTTTTGGGCCTGTTGCCCCAGTCGGCCCTCGGTCACCTGTTGCCCCTGTCAGCCCTCGGTCACCTGTTGCCCCTGTCGGCCCTCGATCACCTTTCTGCCCTTTTGGACAAATGATACATGGTGGTGTACCTTTTGGCTCATTTGGCCCTTGGTCACCCTTCGCACCTTTTTGCCCTTTTGAACCTGTTGTCCCGGTAACCCCCTTGTCACCTTTCGGTCCTTGTGGACCTTCCGCCCCATTCAGCCCTTTGTCACCTTTCGGTCCTTGAGGACCTATTGCTCCAGGAGGTCCTTTCACTTTCTTTACTTTACACTTTTTATTACATTTCTTGCTTAATTGTTCAACAAGAATTTCCAATTTAATAGCGTTTCTCTCTAAAGCACCTATTTCAATAGCTTGATCTCTGAGATCTCTTTGCTGTTCTACAACAGTATTTGAAAGTTTATCAACCTTTTTCCCAAGTTGTTTGCATTCATCATCAGTTGATGCTAATCCAACTATAGTGCAATGAAATCCCGAAAAGCTCAAAATAGAAATTCCAATCCAAACAGCTTGTATGAGCGTTAAACTTAACATGGCTTTGGTATTTCAAGTTTTACAGCCGCAGTGTTCAATGATATTAGCAATTGCAGTCAAGTTGTTTAACAAGTTCGATATTGAATTCAGATTATAATATGTAATAATTCAAAAGGTAATGTAGACATTTGCATACTTCATTTAATTTTATATTTCTAAAGTACTAAGTTGTTACAACCATCTAATGTTGATTTGAAATAATTTTCAAGCAATATTTTTAATATTGCATCATTTTTATTTCTTAACTGCATTATTTATGTCGATTACCTAAGCTATTCTTATCGATTAGATTGTTTATATTTGTATTGTTATTGCGGAAACCATAGTTTTAATTTGTTATTTGTTTGAGTTTAAACATTTACAATAAATCAACCCCACTCTTGCTTAACAAACGCTAAATAAACTTTAATATAGATAAGCAAAGCTATTTGAAAGTATCTACTTTAACTGTTCCAACCGTAAATCAAAGACACATTTAAAAACAAACCTCCAATAGATATTTGAATTTGCTAACTTATTTGATATAAATTTGAAATGAAGTCAAATGATATTTTATTGACATTTTCAAGTCTGTACTAAATAGGATAGCAGTATTTATTATTAGTTTTTGACACAATTGCTAACTCTACAGGCAGAGGGGGAAAAACACCAGAGTTTAAAGATGACATACGCTTATAATGTAAACCTGTATTGAGATGACATACATCTCTTGTTTGTCAAAAGTGGACTAACAAATGATGTCATCAATGGCAGTTTCAAATTATGTTCCTTTCTGGCGTGTTAACCAATATCATAACTTCTCATTTCACATCAAGATAAAGAAAGGTTTACGGAATATGCATATATCAATTAAAACATCCCATCGACGTGTAGTATTTGATAACGTAGCCGATGAAAATTGTAACGAACGAAGGTGGTAAGCAAGAGACGTAATTATGTCTGTCATCTTTAAACTCTGGGGCTTTCCCTCCTCTTCTATACAGGTCGGTTATACAGTTTCTCCAAAAAATGATTTGAGTAGTTCAAAAACATGATAAATTATTTCCTCTCCACACCAACAATTACAGATGGCTGTAAGATAAAAGAAATTTGAAATAAAATTCAGAAGTTATCGTTTCACGTTTTGGAATATCTTGGGCAGTTCTTGCTACGATGATGATTCATGGAAACAATTTAAAACTTCAAATGTAAATCATATTTTTATTTTATTCATTAGGAGCGCGGAATCATAGTGTATCAAAAAACGTGTAAACCAATAGGAAATGGTTGGGTTGCCATAAGTCATATGAGATACGATTCATCCATCCGATTGCTTAGAATTTTAAGAGGCAATTAAATTTGCTAGGTTGTCCACTGGACAAAAATATGATTTAATCTTCCAGGCTTTGCAAAAGTTCAGTGAGGTGGTCAAAATTACTTTAAAGCTCTGTATCGCTCATTTTAACAATATAAGCGAGACATTTAGCATGTTAAATATAAAACAATTAAATTTTTTACTCAAAAAATATTTCTAACAAATATATTACTGAATAGATATTCCAAAATTTGAGTTGCCCCAAAGCCACCATTCCCCATTTGTTTAACATGGGATCTGCCATTTTTTGTAACATGAAATTCATCAACTTTGACATCAAATTTTGACCTATTGTAATGGAGATATTATTTAATTTTGCAGACTTAATAGAGAATAGAATCAAGATACAGATTTAATTACTCTATCAGATTTTCTTTTGTTACATGCTAAGAAAATAGTCGATCAAACAAATATGTGGGTTAAGATGTAAACCAACGAGGAAAACCACACATTCTTAACTTTGTTCGAGGAGTATTTATTAAAACTTTGTCCCCGGCTGACCTTGCTTGGCGGCTTGGCCCAATGTATTAAATGAGTAACCTTTCGGCTAACCACGACCCAATGTGAATACATTTTGGTACAATGAATGAAATCGATGGTAAAAATATGAGCCAATAAAGTAACATTACAAACCTTGTAAGTCTTCAATAAATTAAAAGGCTTTACCCTATTCGATTCAAAATACTGTATTTGTGGAGGCTTGGTCACATGTCATGCAAGTCCGGTTTTACACATCTTCGCACGCTCGGTCTCCACTGCCTTCATCGCCAAGCATGATCGGGAGTCAGATAATTCATCACCCCTTTCTGTCATGGGAGCTATCTACTGGGCATATCCAGCTGTCTGATCTGCAGCATGTGTACAGGTATCAGATACCGACGGGAGCCGAGTGAACGAAGATGGGTTTTACATGTATTCTATATCAAGGTGCAACAATTAGTCAACGATCATCGACCTGTGTCAAAATAGATTCAAGTTTGAATATTTTATCAAGAGTAACATATAGTCTTATTATCTACAAAGAAGCCCCTTGTATGAACATTATTTCAGCTGATATTTCTCTTGCAATGCGTTGTATCTTAATATAGAAGCTTTAAACTGAATTTACACTTCATAATAGATAGTTTGATAATATTGCCCCGATAGTTCAGAAAAAGTAATAACCAGATAAGTCAAATGCACCCTTTGCAGACAGAGCCTGTGGGAAATATTGGGTGCGGCGCAAATGAGCGGAGGGTGCGGAGCTAACGGTCATTTTTGAATTTAAAATTGGGATATTTCTGAAACTAAGCCGTTTTGGGACTTCAAATATACCAAGATATGTGTATTTGACACCAAATATCAATACAATTGTGAAAATAGTAGTGCAATTCATTTTATAGCGACGCAGTATGCCTTAAACATTTCCCAGACCTATATATTTTGAGACTATCCTTTTAATACTGCGTCCCCAGCATTCATAAGAAATGGTGTAGACAAATTACGATAATAATACGCAGCTAACGAAAATTGACCGGTACGGGTCAAAAGATATAGATTTTTAAACGGATCAAAACTCTCTAAATGCGCATTTATGCTCTTTTCTCTCGAGAACGACTGTCTCATTTTCACGATAACTTTTATTTAGTACTTCTAACGTATAAGATCTATTTTTCCCCATCAAGGTATGATGTAAATGACATGCTATTTACATCTTGTGAGTTTCAATGACGCGCGTTTGATTTTATAAAAAATGCCAAACTTTGTGACAAAGAATTTCATCATGCTTGCAGCGAGAAGACGGTCCGGTTCGGGGCAATCTGCTTGCATGGAGAAGACGGACCGGTTCGGGGCAATAGCTGATGAAATAGCTGAGAAAAGAGCATAAATGCGCATTTAGAGAGTTTTGGTCCGTTTAAAAATCTGTAAAAAATTGGGGTATTTAAAAGCATCGGGAGGCATCATATATTGCAAATTAGACACGAGGAAGTCAATATTGAGCAAGTTATGGCTGTTTTAAATTCAAATAAAACCGTTAACCCGTACCGGTCCAGCTTTTGACCCGTACCGGTCAATTTTCGTTAGCTGCGTATACCAAGGGTGGGGTGGGGGTCTCGTTAATGCCTGGGTCACACTTGTTCCGATTCATCGGCCAGCGCTTGGGAGTATTCGGTGTGCATAGAAACGAATCCACGAATCGCTATTAACGATTCGTTAATAACGATAAGTTACGAGACGATAAGCTCCAAGGTCGCGTGACGACTGGGGATTAAGGATGTTAGCTGGTTTGAATTGTAACACCTTGTCACAAAGTTGGCTGGTTGCCCTTGTCTCTGTCGATGTTGGAGTTGTGAGTTCTGATATGTATTTCCTCTTTGATTAAACGTTTGTTTCTATCTACCTCACTGTCTAAAATTGAGTATTCCTTGAACTTTATCACACAGTTATTTCTTACTACATGATCCGTAATCGCAGATTCATGCATTACGTCTAATGATTGCTTCCTTAAATTACGGGTATAGTGTATGTTGCTCATTGTCCTTATTGATCCTAACTTAAACCTTTCTGGCTGTTTCCCCTATATATTCTTTTTTTGCAAATACATGGGCCAATGTATATAACATTGGAGGCATAGAATCTGCTTAATCGTGGTGTGTGGTTTTGTGGCACTATCTATCTTGTATTTCTTATAAACTCTTCTTATCTTTTCTGTGAATCCTTGAACATAAGGTATGGTAGTAAATGCTACACTGTCTTTCTCCTCCCTGGGTTTCTTTTGGACCTTTTAATTCACTATCTTCCTTCTGGATTAATGATGCGGGATATCCACACTTACCTAACACTTTGACAATGTGGTGATAATCTAATTTCTTGCCTTGACAAGAAACTAACAACCAGTAGCCAAACAGTGCCTGATGAAGATGGACGTAGCCCATCGAAACGTTGCAAGCATGTTTCAAAATATTGGATAAGTCAAGCATATTGTAATAACTCGTATATAATACTATCCAGATAGGCATATTCAATAACATGTAAAATCGTTTTCAGAAAATACCGTACATGTACATATAATGAATACCGTACATCACATGATGTATTTACAAAACAAATATAATGTCTTTGTAAATATTGAATTGGTAACCCCCCTATCACACCAAACTAGCTCTTACCAGTTCTTGCAAGTCCTACAAAAAAGTCGTAAAACTGACTCAATCTGGCTGTGGTCGGGAAATAGTCTAAAATAATTAGCTACTTCGTTCATAAACAGTCTTCAATACATCCATCTCATTCGCAGTTCGTTCAGGTCGCACCAGGTCGGTGTGCAACGTCGTATAACGCGTCCCTTAGTCTAGAAGGTCATCATGACCTGATTACAGAACGGTATGGTCGCCATCGAATTTTGAATCGATTCAAAATTCTAAAATTACATTCCCGTCTGAGAACGTTTATGAAGTTCGTAAATAGACCTTAGAAAGTTGCAGCTACGTTCATTCCGTTCGCACACAGTTTAAAACCAGTTTTGAAGAACGCAGTGGCAACTTGTTTGGTGTGATAGCTATATTTTTGCTAACTCGTTCATAAGCAGTCTTAAATACGTTCTTAATCGTTCATAAGCAGTCTTAAATACGTTCTTAATTAGTTTAAACCCGTTTGCAATTCGTTCTACCTCGTTCTCAATACGTCCTCAGACAGTTCAACTTGTTGTTAAAAAACGTCCCTAGTAGGATTGAAGTACGACGGTTCCGTTCGTAGTACGTCCAGCTCGTCGTTAGTACGTTGTCACTCGTTCTAATTGTAGAACGTATCGGCCAAGAGAACATTTTGAGCATGTTCTAAGTTCTAGGGACCTACCCGTTCGAGTACGTTCCATGAAGTTTAAAAATAGACCCAAAGCGGTTCTAGGTTCGTCCAGTCCGTTCGTACACAGTTGAAGCCCGTTTTCGAGAACGTAGTGAAAACTAGTTTGGTGTGATAGTAGGGTAAGTAAATAGGTGATGAATTATGTAATGTAATGTATGATTTTTAAGCCCAATATGACCTATCCAATATCCATATACATAATAGCTGAAAAAACAAAATGACTCGCGTGTACATCAATTAACTTGCTGACAAAGAACGATAATTGTTAGAGTAATACAGAATAGTATCAAGAGGATTAACATTAATAACATTCAACAAAACAATATTTAGATTAATTGATATATCTATTTGATGTGTATTTTTACTTTGTCTAAGTAATTGTGGTAAGTACACTGTTATTACGGATTGTAACAGTCCCGGGGGGTACTCCCATATATTGACTATATGGGGGTCACTTTTTCGCCGAAAATCCCTAGATCTGGGTCCCATTTTGAAGAAAACCCCCAGATATGGGTCCCATTTTGATGAAAAAAATCCTAAAACTGGGTACTGTTTTGAAAAAAATCGCCGGGAGTGTTTTTTTTTAAAAAATTACCTTGAAGTGGGTCTATTTTTTGAAAGGAAGACCCCCGGGGTAACAATGCTTTATTAAATCGTAGTCATCGCCATAAAATGGAACACCCGGATCATATTCTTCATCATATATAAAGTAAGCCTCATCGCAACTAACATGCTTAGTTTCAGTGTCAAAACCCGGACACACAGGTGAGCTGCCCGTCGTGGAGATTACTTCAGTACGTTCTCTATGTATAGGCTGAATACAGATAGAGGGGTTACACGGTCCGTAAATAATCCAATTACCCCAACTGCTCCACTCACAGTATTCTATGAAAATAATACAAGAGAATCATGGTTGTGCTTTAATTTTGTACAATTGCCATCTTCGATCTAATTGTTATTATGAACGGATCTAGGAATCGAGGGTGCGCGTATTTGAAATCATAGGAAGGTTAAGTTACACGTTTTTAGGAGAACCTGTATGTGACCCCCACGGATTACTGTCCCACTCTCACTTTTTCAGGGACTTAATTACAACTCTTTTTTATACCTTTATACTCAATATCCTAGATGCGAGTAGAAATAATCTTGATTTACGTCATTAAAAATTCGAAATTCAGTCAAATTGATGTCATATTTGGAATCTACATGTAAAATTACATCTGGAAATATGGTTTTGGAAAGAGTTTATCAACTTTGAAAATTGTATTTTCTTTGAAACTGCGACTTCTAGGTCGGGGAGATTCCCCATAGCCCCCATGTTGGAAAATCACAAAAATGGAAATATCTTTTCTTCTGTTGGGCAGATAATAGTTTCTTTTACTGGACATATTTTAATTTGTATAACTATCAGATACATAAGGGTAATATGATAAGTGAACCACTAAAACTGATAAATATTCAAGTTTAAGGGAATTTTGTAATACCCTGCCATGTTATTTCCCCCGAATCAGCCACCTGGTGGCGAAACTGGTAACTACCTACTCGCATCTGAGTAATTGACCAAGTAAACACTACAAATGGGAGAACTAATCCAAAGTAGAGGACCATAATCCAACATGTGCACGTAAAAATGTTAACTTGAATTTCCTTTCACAATCTTTGGAGCTGGCGCAAAATATCTAACGCAACTGAAAAACAGACATTTCATGTTTTTTCTCAGTTTATTTTGCTCTATAAAATGCCACGGGTCTCATCTGAAAATAATAAGGCGTTGCAGCTCCACCTGTCAAGTTCAAATTTATGTCATAAAAAAGTCCGGATTTTTTTGTTTTTACCCCGGTTTTTGGTCAAAACTCTGATTTTCAAAAACCATTTCACAAAGTTTTTGGTAAAGCTTGATTTTTGCCCTTTTTATGTTTACCAATCCGGATTTTCTCCCAAGTTTTTGTAATCCTGATTTCCCTCCAAATTATTTGTTAGAAATCTCCCCCTTTTTCAGAAAATGAACCTCGTTTTTCACCACTTTTCTTTGCCAAACAAAGTTTGAAGTTGAAATTGTTTGCTATTAGCAAACGAATAGTTTAAAATGTGAAAACCCAGTGGAAGAAAAACCTACACACTTCAGAATTTTTATATGAATGTCTTACGACAAACTACTGTCCCCATGAAAATTGTCTTGTCGAATTTTAAATTTAGTGTGATTAAAGTTTGAAAAAGTGAGTGCATCCTCCAAGTCCTAAAGATATTGTGATCTAAGGTTGCAGGAAAATATGACATGAAAGGATGTTTCATTGCTAAATCCACATTTGCATTTCACTATTTTTGCCTGTACATTAGTGACGTTTGGAGCAACACACTGGGATTGTAAGATCAGATTGCAGCGCATCTTATTTACAATCTCAGAAGAGGTCATGATATTTGTTGTCGGTAATTTTCTTTTTAATTCAGATTTTTACTTGACAGGTAAGTTGCAGTTCCGGACTAAATGAAAACGTTATTTTTTCATCAACAATCCTAATTTCCGTAGCGAAAACATATATCATAATGAATTGTAACGTAACGTAATAGTAAAAAGATCTGATGAGGTTCCTAAAAACCCTATTTAGAATAGGACAGTAATCCACTGTTTTTTTTGTTATCACCCTTCAGGCACAAGTTAATTTAAAACATATAACCTCTTGTTTGCGAACAAGAAAATACAGAAAGCTTCAATTTGAATGTGAATCTAAGGTCTGTAGACTGTCAAATCAATCAAAAGTACCAGTTGGGGGAGGGTGGTTGTAGGAGTCCTATCATCTCAAGAACAAATATATTTGTACTCACTACATTCTTCTATAAAACACGGCATGGTCCTTGTTTCTGTAGCTGTACCAGATACACAATGAGTGTATCTTCTGGTTCTTGTTTCCGAACGCGTTCCATTGCCACAAGTTCTAGAACAAGCGCCAGTACTCCATGCCGTCCAACCTGTCCATTGGCAACCTTTGAATTTTATAATATTATTTTTTTAGTTTTAATTATATAATATAATCTTATAATTCTGTTATTAGGATACCCAAACGGGGGGCCACCTATTAATTTTATGGATATTATTCTTTATTTATTCTTTATTCTTCCTCACACGTTTTCTTCTTCTAAATCGAGTTCAATAAGATACTACATACTTCTACTAGGGACCTAGGCTGAACTTTTTAGGAATTTATATCTAGGTCAAGGTCAGAGGTCAAATTCTAGGTCAAACCTTAGTTTTTTCGAGTTTCCCAAAACCTGACGCTACATTTATCTATTTTTGCCGTCTACACAAATTTTGCCTATTTTGATTATAAGATATTGAAGGTCAAAAAAGGTATTTTTCAACTTATTGCTTCGGAAGGTCAAAAAATTGCTTTTTGAAATTGATTTTTGGACTTAGAATAAGGTCATCTCGAAGTGTTCTTTTAAGTAGTAAATACTTACTGTCCGCACTGTTCCCTTGTTCACCCTTCTGACCTTTTTGCCCTTGTGGACCTGTGTTACCCGTTCTACCAGTTGCCCCAGTAGGACCTCGGTCACCTTTTGCACCTTTTTGCCCTTTCGGACCAATGCTTCCCGTTGCCCCAGTCGGCCCTCGGTCACCTTTTTGCCCTTTTGAACCCGGTGCCCCGGTATGCCCTTTGTCACCTTTCGGTCCTTGTGGACCTGTCGCCCCAATAGGGCCTTGGTCACCTTTTGCACCTTTTTGAGCTGTTGCACCGGTAGGCCCATGGTCACCTTTTGGGCCAGTAGGTCCTCGCTCACCTTTTGGCCCTTGTGTACCTGTTGCACCTTTCGGCCCGTGTGTACCTGTTACACCAGTAGGGCCCTTGTCCCCTTTTGCACCTTTCAGCCCTTGTGGACCTGTTGCACCTTTTGGCCCATGTGGACCTGTTGCACCAGGGGGGCATTTGTCACCTTTTGGACCAGTGAGCCCTGGATCACCTTTTGCGCCTTCCGGCCCTTGTGGACCTGTCGTTCCATTCAGTCCTTTGTCGCCTTTTGGTCCTTGGTCACCTTTTGTTCCAGGGGGTCCAATTGGGCCTTTCACTTTCTTTACTCTACATTTTTTACTACATTTTATGCTCAATTGTTCAAGGAGAATTTCCAGTTTGATGACGTTTCTCTCCAAAGCAGATATTTTAGTGGCCTGATCTTTAAGATCTCTTGAGAGTTGTTTGAATTCATCATCAGTTGGTGCTGCTCCAACTATAGCGACATGAAATCCTGAAAAGCTCATCATAGTAATTCCAATCCAAACAGCTTGTATGAGCGTTAAACTTAACATGGCTTTGATATTTCAAGTTTTACAGCCGGAGTGTTCAATGATATTTTCGATTGCAGTTAAGTTGTTTCATAACTTCAATATTGAATTCAGTTTATAATATGCAATAATTCAAAAGGTAATGTAGACATTTGTATACTTCATTTAACTTAATCCAGCAATATTTTTAACATAGCATCATTTTTATTTCTTAACTGCCAATGTTTTATTATTCAGCATTATTTAATGTGTCGATTACCCAAGCTACTCTTATTGATTATATTGTTTATCCTTGTATTGTTATTGCAGAAACCATAGTTTAATTTGCTATTTGTTTGAGTTTAAACATTTACAATAAATCAACTCCACTCTTGCTTTGCAAACGCTATATAATTGTTAATATAGATAAACAAAGCTATTTGAAAGTATCTTCCTTGAGGTATAAAGCTTTTTCCAATTGAAATCAAAGACTCATTTAAAAACAAAAATCCAATAGAAATTTGAGTTTGCTAACTTATTTGGCATGAATATGAAATGAAGTCAGTTGATATTTTATTGACGTTTTCATGTCAGTACTAGAATAGCATAGCAGTAGTTATAATATTTTTTTACACAATTGCTAAGTATGGAGGTGTTCGTTTCCAAAAAGAGAAAACTATGTCTACTTTTTGACGTACAATGACTCAGAGAGCAAATCATAAGTTAATACAGTTCCAAAAGAACCCCAGGTCCGTAATACAGTTTCTCCAAAAAATAATTTGACAAGTTGAAAAACATGATAAATTGCCTCTCTACATTAACAATTACAGATGGCTGTAAGATAAAGAAAATTTGAAATAAATCAGAAGTTATCGTTTTACACATTGGGATATCTTTGGTAGTACTTGCTAGGATGATGATTCGTGGAACCAAGATTTAGACAATCACATTTTTATTTTGATCCTTCTGAGCGCAACTTGTGGAATCCTACAGTATGTATCAAATAACGCAACAGAAACTCCACTCGAAAAACCACAATCAGTGCAAGGGGCCAAGTGATATTGGAAGAACTCCTGATCTGAATTGTTGTGACCTTTTACCTTTGGGGCTATCTATCAAGAGCAATGTTACCCATCCCTCCATCAGACATTAAAACGTTTCGAGAAAAATCACCAATGGGCTGCTGTTTCCACCTGAACCCACAGATGTCCCAAAGAGCCATAACATGGAGAGATGAGTGGGTAGCGATGAGTGCATCTTCGTGTGAACAAATGGTGGCCATACGAAGTTAAAACTTGGTCCCGGTGTAAAAAGAGTAGGAGGCCCTATCAAATTATACTCCTACTCTCTATTGATATATTATGGTGACTTCTTTCACTTATTATCTTATAAACAATCAGGGCCAGCAAGGGCCCTTAAGAAGGGGGACCATAATCCCTGGGGACCATAATTTATTTCACACCTGGCTTTGGCCCAGTGTCTTAAATGAGTAACTTTTCGGCTAACCACGACCCCATGTGAATGAATGACATAGCATTGCAGAGGAGAAACGTGGCTTTATGGTTCTTTAAACGAAATCATGCAGCCATCACTGGTTTTGTGATTTGATGAGTTCAGTGTCTGTTGTGTTTGTTTGCTATGCACTGTATATTTGTCGATGGGTGTTCTTTTAACCCTACTATCACACCAAACTAGTTCTCACTACGTTCTCGAAAACGGGCTTAAACTGTGCACGAACGGATTTGACGTACTAAGAATCCACTAAGAACCGTTTGGGATCTGTTTACAAACTTCATGAAACTACTAGAACGAGTAGAACTTTAAGCATCGTCAAAACGTTGCCGAATCGGTTTTAAACTGTGTGCGAACTGAATGAACGTAACTAGCTACAATGTTCTACGGTCTGTTTACGAACTTCATGGACTCTCCCGGACGGGGAATGTGATTTAGAATTTTGAATCGATTCAAAATTCGATGGTGACCATACCGTTCTGTAATCAGGTCTAGACTAAGGGACGCGTTATACGACATTGATATTTCCCGACCACAGCCAGATTGAGCCCGTTTTACGACGTTTTCGTAGGACTGGCAAGAACGGGTAAGAACTAGTTTGGTGTGATAGGGGGTATCAACCAAAGTACACAAAATGTAACATTTAATATCTCATTATCTTTATTCACTGTGACATCATTAATTACATATAAAAGTATAGTTTTCAAATATCATCAATATTTGATGTGGAGCTTTAAAACTAAATAACCTCACCCATTTATCTGCAGAGTGTTGTATTTAGTGATCTGATAAATTGTTTTTGTAGATTGATGCTATTAAAGCATGTATATGTACATAATACTACAACCAGGTTAATTCTAAATAAATGATGTGTGGATGTTGTTTAACGTTATAGTCATGTGCAGTTTAAACTTCCAGTTACAAGTTCACAACTAAACTTTGCCGTTGTTTACATGATCATAGTATGTTCTGACTTATTGGAAGTTACCCTTCAAAAGCCATCTTGGTACACTGAAAATGACATTGTGTCACACTATGACAATAGGGCAGTTTTGAGATAAAGCTATGTTGTTTTCTGACTTAAATCTTATGGAAATTCAGTTAGTCTTTACAAAAATGGGTATAACTAGCCCTTCACCATATTTCTGTGTATATTTCATAAATGTTCATGAACATTTCAAAAATGTTCTTGAATGTCCATTAAGATTCTATGATCATGAATGTTCATGAATATTCCATAAATGTTCTTGAATGTCCATTAACATTCCATGAGTGTTCTTGAATGTTTATGAATATTCCATTTTTATGGCTGTTTCAAAATTTCAATTGATTACATGAAATGTATAGCTCAGTGTATTCAATTTCAAAATTCACATTTGGCACTTATTTAACTTCTTAACCAAAAAACATAATCATTGTTTTACATTTGTAACGAAGCCCTAAAGACTCAATCAGACATCTACCAAACAATAACTGTAGCTAAAAGCCACAAATATATTGTTACAGCAATACAAGTGATCTTGTATATATAATAAACAAAAACTGTTGTTGTTTAAACCTATCACATAATCACAAAGTAATTAGAATATGATATAACATTTCTTATGACCTTTACACATTTTATATTAGTTTTAAATGGTTCAATCAGTAACTCTGATTCTACAATATTATAATGACATATTGCTTGCACCATTGAAAACTTAATACAACCATTCCCTTTGAAATTTACACAAATGAAGGTTTCCATCGATTTCTATTAATGCTACAAATTATAGTCATTACAATTTTAAACACTTTGGGGATACTATAGGGTCAGGAAAAGGCCGAACCACTTTAATATGTACAAAATTACACTGCATAATGTACCTATGAGGATAACGACTCATAGGCTGATTCAAGCGCTAAAGGGTCAAACAAAACCATTAAATCAAGGGGATGCATATATTATTTGTGCGATTGGACCCAATGTATATATTTCCTGAACTATATAATAATATAATAGGCTCTGACTTCCCACTCATTCACCAAGCTAATAATCATTTTATGTATGATAAAAATAGTGACCTTAAGTAAAATTAGATGTGATTCTGATTCTTTTGACAGAAATATTTCATATTCCTTATTCCTTACCCTGTCCCCTCCCCCGGTAAGTCTAACAGTCTACCCCTTATGATCCTTTATGATGTTCCCCTCTTAGTGTCAACCATGATTTTTTACATAATACACAAGTCGTATCAATAGCATATGTACAATATGTAGTACCCTGAATAAAAATGAATTAATTCAACAAAACCTGGTCCTCAAAACAACATGCATTTTTGGTACAAATCAACTGATTTTGGTACAAATCAACTGATTATGGTACAAATCAATGAAAAAGAAATGTTGCGTGCTACTTCTGATGGTTTATATTAATCTCAGCTGCACCTGATGAATTATTTTAGATTCTAGTAGATGCTGGTTTAAAATTTTAAAATTCTTCTGAGCTATCATTTATATTATTACAGGTGTTTAAATGGGCCAGATTATCTCAGTTCTTGAATTTTTCAAATAATATTCAAGAATTCATTCAATCCTCGTGTCGTGATAACATGTTTATTTAGTCATGATATACTCAATTACATATAATTAATCTTGATATACTCAATTACATACAATGAACATGATATACTCATCAATAACATACGATGAATCGTGATATACTCAATTACATATTATGAAAATAGGGCTTAGGTTAAGCTATGGGGGATTAACAAGCTATGTTCAACAAGTAACTGTTAATAAATGACTCCATACATTAATAAAAAGAATACTGACTCAATATAATGAAACATTTACTGTCTCCAAACTATCTTCCTTTTAAACTAAATTCTCAGTTATACAATCTAAAATCCATTGCTGCCTTCAATTTAAATTCGCCTCTATCCATAACTTTCCAAAATGTCCCACCTCCTAGTTTTATTCACTTTCATCAAATCTAAAATTTACTGCATTCGTTTATTCATAGTTTACTGGCTCCTCACATTTATTTGGTCCTCTTCGACACCACTATCATATTCAGTGTCCTCAGACTCATTCTTTGGGGCTCTTACATACTCCGGGTTGGCTTTATTTTTTATCACATTCTCATCGACTATAACACTAACAATGTCTGACCCTGGCACCTCGAACATAGGCTCCAATAAGATTTTTTCCTGTAAAGAAAAATATTTTTTTAAAAGACCCATGTAAAGTTTTAAATTTGTTTTTATTATTCTTATACCATTTTAGGAAATGTTGTTCAAGACAGTCTGTAAAGGGCAAATAGAAATTTTTTAATATTTTCAAATCACCAAATAGTACACTAAAATATTCAAAAACACATTATAAAATCTTCTCAATCGCTGGAAAATCACCAAAAGCATGTGATCTCTGAGAGCAATAATAACAATAATAAGTCCCAATTTTACAATGCTTGTTACAAGTCATATATTTTTTATCCAAAAACAAAGTCACAATTTTACAATAATTGTGAAAAATTGTCACAATTTTTGAAAATTTCATGAAAAGTAATTTTTCTATAGGCTAAATATTGTATGTGTACTAACCATAATTGCTCTTAGCCCCCTTGCTCCTGTTCGCCTCTCTAGGGCCATGTGGGCAATGGCTGATAACGCATCTGGTCTTATGTCAAGGTTGCACTGAAATATAACACACACATAGTAAAGATTTGAATTTACTACATACAACCTTTACAATTTTAAAATTCACACGGTTTATAGGTGTTTGTGACTTGCTAAGCTTTACATTTACCTTATCCATAGAAAACAATGCTATGAACTGGGACAGAAGAGCATTTTTCGGCTCAGTCAGAATCTCTATAAGCATTTCTTCAGTGAGACTATGGAAAGGCACGACAACAGGGAACCGCCCGACAAACTCAGGGATCATTCCAAAGTCTATCAAATCTCTAGCTTCAACATTGGTAAGGAGTTTGTCTTTTTCTTCTTGTTCCGTTACAGCATCGCTACCATCGCCATAAGTTTTTAGATCAGCCTGTAAGGCAGCACGTCTCCCCTCACTGGAGTTGGATTGAGCACCAAAACCTAAATACTGCAAGTAAAAGATTTCAAACTCTTAAATAAATTTATTTTCAATCTATTGATTTCATTTCAATAAAATCGAGCACTAAATATAATAAATACTGTAAGGTAAAAAGAGTTACTTTATGTATTTTAAAATTTATATCAATTTAATTATGCAAAATTATTAAATCGAAGTGATAGAAAATATAGAATTTATCCAGTAGGCTTAATCAATTAGGAGTAACCCAAATCTACGAATCAAATTGTACTAAGGATGTAAAATCAAGGCATTTTCACATAAAATGATTTTTATTTTCACCAAAATTGAATTCCTGACTGTAAGAATCTTGAAAAGTTCAAAATAAATACAAATTCTTACATAATCAATGAAGCTTAATATCGATTGGTTCTATTTTCTTAATGGTCCATGGGGTCTATTAATTTCATGGCTGTTGTCTTACCTTTTGTTGTTTCCTACGTCCTATGATTCTATCCAGTCCAACAAAGGCCCCGGATGAAATAAACAAAATATTGGTTGTATCGACAGATATCGTTTCCCCACGAATTTTCCTTGAGTTCCTCTCTGGGACATTTACTATAGTCCCTTCTAGGAGTTTTAACATGCCTTGTTGTACCCCCTCCCCTCCAACATCACGGAGTTGGTGGATTCCCGGTACACTTCCGATCTTGTCAACTTCATCAAGGAAGATAATACCTAAGCAAAAGATAAGGCTATATACATTTGCATATCATTGACTCTTAAAATGTGCTATGTGCTCTGGTGTACCCACTGTCCTACAATGTCACAGAATGTATAAATGCTTGGTTCACTTCTGATATCATTGACCACATCAAACTTTATAGCTATGCAAAATATAGTTGAGATAATGAGAATTTAATAACATTGCCTCGGTCAAATAATTCAGCACGTCTTATATGATCTTAATTGAAATAATTTCGTAGTTTTTGGTCTAAAATTAACTGATTTTCACTGAATGGTCAAATAAAAGTTAAATTTACCTTGTTGAGCTTTCTCCACATTGTAATTTGCGTCCTGCAACAGTTTTCCTATAACTGACTCAATATCATCTCCAACGTAACCTGCCTGCGTCAAAGTTGTACAGTCGCATATGGCAAATGGAACATCGAGACAACGGGCTAAGGTTTGGGCAAGAAGAGTTTTGCCTGCAATTAGAAAATGGGCAATATTATAATGCCCATTTTATATTATACATATAATTCATTCTGACTCATATATTTATACAAGGCATCGAGACAACGGGCTTAGGTTTCGGCAAGAAGAGTTTTACCTGCAATTAGAAAATGGGCAACATTATACAAATAATCCATTCTCTGTTGTTTATTGCACACTAGCTTTATACAAGGCATTAACATGCAAAATGTCACCACCTGCAATTTGTTACAGATGCCAGTCACCCAACGCAATTTGTTACAAATGCCGACCACCAAACATCAACCGCTGAATACCATCCACAAAAAAGTTGGAGACTATAACAATATGTCACCACTTCTTTTATAAAAATACTATTATCATCAATTTCTAAATATATAGCTCTAATACAAACTCCTTGAGGTTGACATTTGTAGTATTTGCAATGACCTGAAGGCACCCCTCCGGAATGACCAGATGCTATGTGCAGCAAAAACAAGCCAGTTACAGGCATAAACGAAAGTGTGCTTAATTAATGGCCCATACATTAATCAAACATAGAACCCTCAGATCCAAAGGAAATCAACACTTAGGCTAGGATAATTGTGGTGTGATAGCAACTTAACCCTGGGGTTCGTTTTTGGTACGATCGCAACTTACGATTCTGAGAAAACCATTGTATACTTTTTAATGAACAATAATATGCGACCAAATCATAAGTTACGGTGGTTCCGAAAAACAGACATATTTTTCAAATTCCCTCACATTTCCTGACAACTTTTATTTTTCCCTAATTCCCTGACATTTCCAAGTTTAAAGAAATTCTGAGTGAGTGTAACACTGACCTGATCCAGTTGGGCCCAGCAGTATTATATTACTCTTTTCTATAAGCAGGTCATGTGATGTTGCGTCGAGGATGTCGCTTGCACGTTTATTCTGGTCTTGTTGATTCTGAGGAGGCACGGCTGGACCTAGTGGACTCCCATGGTTCATTCCATCAATCGTTAGCAGCTCTAAACATAGAAAAGATTTCATTGTCATTTTTTCAAAGTTCCATTTTATTTCACTAGTTCACATAAGTATACTCTTATAACAATTTTTCTGTTTATAAAATTGAGTACCTTAAATTATGAAGTATAATCATTAGATTTTTACAATTAAAGAACTAATTTATTTTTCTTGAATTGGATTCTTGAAAATATTTTGTACTATTTTTATTAACTTGGTCTTACTCTAAATAGATTATATTGCTACAAATATATAAAATTATTCTTCCATTTAACATATTCTTTTAAGATTATTAAAGTACAGGTGTAACTCAGTCAAATACTCAATTTTGATTGGTCAATAAGGAGTGTATTTTTTCTCAAAATACTTTATCTAGTAGACCATGGACCAGAATTGATATCTCATTTTGGCTCAGGATTTTAAAGTTGGGTCCATAAATCATGAAATGCTTTGATGTAATGATAACAGAAGTATGAAGTTTCATGAATTACCCATTTTAAATAACATTCATCCATTTTAAATAGTGTGAATATGTCCTTAAAGTACACTTAAGTATGTTATACTATTGTTCTTAGTTCCAAAGTAGGCTGACCTGACAGATAGCTTTATCTATTTACTTATTTTATGATTGTCAAGGTTACCAAACAAATCAAAGTTTCATAAATTTAAGGTTTGCCACCTTAGTATAGAACTTGGACCACAAAATGGGTTTACTACAAATTTCGCATCAATTTTTAAGGCTAGAAACAATCTGTCAGGTTCTGATGAGGGGGTTGAGCTATGGTTCTGAGACCAGCTGGTCAAAATGGCATTACAAACTAGTCCAGTTGCCATGTTATTTTTCCTTTACCCACTGAAAAGATCAACTGGTCAGTATCAAACGTGACCTGGCAAATGGGGACGGTGGACGAGCCCTTAGCTCAGGCCCTGGTTCTATTCTATACTGGTGTTCTTTAACTAAAGCGTGCCTTCAAATATTTTCATTGACTGGAGGTGCCAGTTTTTTCCACGCTTCGTCATGCACTGTATTTGCTTCGGTGGATGCTTCATCAAAGCTTTGGGAATGTCTATTTGAAATGAAATAGCCAAATAATTTTGGTTAAGCGGGGAATAAAGAATAAGCATGTAAGCATGGTTACAAGGAGAGTAGAATTTAAAGCAAAGATGTGCATAACATAAAACAGTGTTTTGCTTAATACAATAGGCACTTATATGCGTAAAAGGCACTAATATGCGTAAAATAAGAAAGAACAAAGATAGTATATGACAATGAAACAAAATGTTATGCAGAGAATCTGAACTAGTGTGGTTAGGCATTAGAGAAAAATAACAAGGATATGCGATGAATATAAAATAAAATAAGCAAAGTTATTTTGCATTACAAATGAAATAAACATAGCATGTTCAATTAATAAACAGATGTAAATTCTAACTCAGAAGACATGCGCTACTATTGAACAGCTCCTTTGTTTTGCAAGAAAATCACACTTATGAAACAAATAAACAGAACTCTAGTGTTGTAGGGGGTTGTTTCAATATGAGATATAAAGATCTTAATTACAGTGTAGATTACGTGAACTATCCCGCTACCAAAAAGAATTATGGAAATACCTCGTAGCACGCTAGATTTTGGCCCAGTGTTTTGCTGGAGTGACAGCCCTTAAAATAATTGTTTATTGTTGGTCAAGTTATTCCTCAAAATAATGTTAGCAGAGAGGAATTAGCAAGAAATAAGAGGAATAGTGTTAAAATATCAACATACACTCAACCATGCTGTTAAATTTAGGGAAGGGACCAAGGGGTCCTCCCAGTCAAAATATTGATTCTTTAGGGAAAAATGCAAACGTTCAATGTAGGAGAGCTAACTAAATTTTGATAGTTAACTCCCAGGCAACCCCCCCCCCCTCCTCCCCCCCTTACTAAATATGAGAAATGTTGATCCTCCCGCCATTTTCAAAAGTATATCCAAATGTACTTGAACTTATCATATCGGCCTATTCAAGTAAATTGAAGGATATTTCTTGCACTTTCAAATATTCTTGATGATTGATTTTGTAGAAGTATAGACGTTTAGAGCTTGTTTTTTAAACCCCAGTCCCACTGTGTTGACAGTCTTACTTGTGAATGAAACAGATGACTGTCCCCAGGTGACTGTCCCATATGGCTGTCTGAGGACTGTCCCCTGCTCATGCCTCAGATTGATGATTGATAATTGAGCTTAAAAAGTGTGGTTATTGGCACCACGCAACCATGGACTGACTGTGGTTTTAACAAAATTTCATTTATTTAGTGCAATCATTTCTTATTGATTTCCAAATTTCACTTAGTTGCTTTTTGAGACGATTCTTAGCCACTCCAAGCGAGTCACTCCAAAAATTGTTCACTAGTCTTTCATATTCTGTTGTAGTATTACTGTAAATTGGGTTCATATTCCTCTTTAATCAGGTTTTATGATAAAATTTCAAGTTTTTTCTTTTTCATGGGAAATGGGGAATCAACACTGGACGTAATGATCAAACGAAGATTCCGCGGAATTCAATAAACGACGTCAGCAGAGCTTAACTATTTGGGACAATAACACCCCCCCCCTAACTATCAAAATTAAGTTAATTATCCGACATTGATCTTTTGCATTGGTCCCTTATGCTATAAGAAAAGCTCAGATTCCCAGATGGAACAATACCAACATCAGTCTTGCCCTTAAAATGCTACTTTTTGGTAATATTGGTATTTGTTACACAGAAGCATTACTCCTGCACCATTTTCAGATAAAATATAACAACATTGAAAAATCAAGAGTGACGTGACAATAATACTCACCTCGTGGACTGAACAAGGCTTGACGCATATTTGTGTCCTGACCCTCAGGCTGTTTATTGCTGGGGGTGGGGTTGTTAAGCATGTTGGTGTTGATCCGTTTGTAGTGGTTATAGACTGCGACAGAGAGAACCTTCTTTGCAGCGTTTTGGCCGACAACATGTCTTCCAAGATATTCATATATCTGGAAGATATAGACATTATTCAATGGGAGGGATGGAATATGAATTTTATTCCAAGAAAAAATATGATGTTGGCCAAGGGAAATATCATATTGACCGAGGGAAGATATGAATATATTAAGTTTTCAGGGTCAGTCTTTTTGATTTAAATTCATAAATTTAGCTTTTACTGGGTAAAAATTTCATAAAATATAATTTTGAAATAAAAAAAATGTTTAAGTTCTGACAGCGCTTGCATTAGGTTAGAAAATTTGTGAGTCCCAAGGACGCAATTTTTTTAAAAAAGTGTGTCCTTTGAAAAAAAAAGGGTGTCCCCTATTTCTAGCCTGTTTTGAGGTATAACTTTATTTTAAAAGCATTTTTTACCAAAACACCTTTCAGTTTTTGATTTCTTGCCGCGAATTTAAAACGGAAGTAAACGTTAAGTGCGGACTGAATAAATGCATGTTCGTTCATTCGACAATGAATACATTTTATTTCATGAATAACCTAATATTTGTTTCTGAATAGGAAAAACTGTGGCGTGTCATGGTTTCAAATCTAAAAATAAACAAAGTCGAAAAAATTCGAGAGAATCATGATTATTTGTAAATATTCAACATGTTGAGCATTATTCACGATTCAAATAAAGGTGAGAGATCATAATTATTTGTTTTTGTTAGGTATCGTTGTAAACACATTGTAGAATTGACCTAAAAAAATTTTGCGTCCAAAATACGGAAATATTTTCAATTTTTGCGTCCTCCAAATTATTTTTGAGTCCTTAACATATACGGGACGCCGTTAATGCAAGCCCTGAGTTCATGTTACGATTAAAAATATTATACTCTTCCACAAGAAAAATATAACAAGCACTCAGATAAACAAACAAACAAACCTTTTTAGGAGGGGGTGGTGGGGTAAACTTCGGTTTGTCTGCCTGGGTTAAGCCTGAGGTATTTTTTGTGTCTTTTTCCGAAAGTACGACGAAGAAGTGATGGCACTTTTCGCATTTCACAAAGCGAGTGGAAGCTGAAAAAGAAACAGATGATTTAGTATTGACGAAAATCGGACACTAAACGATCACTACGGCAACAAATATTAACCTTGTATATTAGACTCGAAATACAAAAAGTAAACTATGCCTTTATGATCTGAATGACCCCAAATTGCAATAAAATCAATGTTGAGTTTGGAAATAAAACTTATCTACAGTAAATATTTGTTAGAGAATAATAAAAGTTCAATTTATGACATGTCCATATTTCAGTTTACATTGGTAGGTAACGGATTCCCCTAACATTTGACAGGGAGTAACTCAAAAATCATGAAAAAATTTAAAACAATATAAACAACAAAAAATGTCTGGGTTCACATTAAAGGAGGAAAAGAAATAAACAAACATTGTTCAACCTGTAAATTCATAAACACATGCGTGAATGAAATGAATGTATTTGAACATTTATCACTTTTAACATAAAATAAAAGATGGAAGGATCGATGACAAGGAATAAAATCAATAGTTGCTGATGTACAAATTTAATAATTATTTTAAATTTAGGTTTGGCATCTAATTTACAGGGGGTAGAAGCATGTAGGGTATGTTTAAAGATATAAACGTATCTACAGAGTACGACCATAAATACTCTACAATTCTAGACGATCAACTGTGAACATTTTGCAGTGTCTCCTTATATGTTTGATATTGTGTTTAAATTCGAGGTTTTTTAATATAAAAGCCTATGGCAGATTTAAAAACATGCACCACAGACAACAGACCACAGGCAAAATGTGACCACCTGCTATTTGTTACAAACACCAACCCCAAACGACAACTACCAAACACCAACCACCAAACACCCACCACTCTTATGGTGGTGACATAAAAAGCTAGATTGAAATCTGTCAATTAGCAACAATTTTGGTTTCTCCTTGATGTACTGGCTCTGGAAAGTGCATACACAGTACATGTACTGTACATACCACCTTATAAGGAAACATTACAAAACATTCATTCCTTATAAGGAAACAACAAAACATTCATAGACAATAAATTAACCTACCTATATCGCAATCAATGAACCTTTCAGATTGTACTTGATAAAAAGATTCCACACGTTTACATCCCTTGATTTGCATGTTCCGTATTGTCTTGAAAAACATTTTTTGTAAGATTCCATGCATTTTGACCCTCCACCCTACCATACTGCTTATTAAGTATCTTAAATACTTTTATAATGTTGTTGCTAAAAAACGTGATAATAAATTGCTTCATTCCCTCTAAAGTGCTTATGAAATTTAGTTAGCAAATAAAAGAATTGCAATCATAAGGACTTATTTTGTTTGAATCAAAATCAACTTAAAAGTAGGCCTATAAAAAATAGAAGTGGGACAATGTGTGATTTACAAAAAAAACATTGTTGACAGTAGCTCTGAATTTTTATGGATATATTTACATTAACCAAAACCAACTTAAAGGTAAAGAAAGTCAATAGCAGATCGATCAATAAGTTCTGCTTAAAATACTAGAATTCTTGCATTGTCAATTCTTTAAAAGTAGAATAAGTTAGCCTAGATAATATAAATATCTAGAGCTTTAGAGACTTTTATTCACTCATTTCATTTATCTAATGCCTAGATAACACTTTTATTCAATCCTTCTATTTCAACTCAATTGTATTGTTTTCATATCATTTTACTTTACGGCGTTCATAAGTTCTTGCAAAAGTGCTCTAAAATTTTGGCATCTCAGTCAATCTGGTTGAAATTTTCACTCAGTATACCTACACTATTCATATATTGAGATCCTAAGTTATAATCAATAGCTCCTTGAGGAAAAAAAGTTATGGTTGCTATAGTAACATGAGTCTGGTGTTGGCGGAACAGGCAAAAAAGGACCTGTTTTTTTTTTAATGTTCAAAATGTTTTTAACTTGTCTTTATTACTTTAATAACAGTATCTCAAGAGTATAGGTGTTCGGAATAGTGTCCATCATGATCTATACACCTCTGCTGTCTAACTTACCATTCCTCAAACAGATGGCAGAACCCGTTTGGCTTGTGATTGATCTTTGTATAGACAGCTTTCATCAATGTCATCTGATCCTCACTGAATTTCACCATTTGTTCTACCATCAGTAAATGTCTTCTTAAATGGTAAATGGTTCTTTTGGCCATAATCTCCTTCCCATACACCTTATGATTATCTTCAAGTGTTTGTTTTCTTGAATTTTCTGGTAAAACATACATCCCAATGCTACGGCATATTTTTGATTGCAAATCATCATCTTTTGCTGATTTTGCAGCCATTTTCACAAAAATAAAATTGACGCTGCCTTCCACAAAGTCCGATGTCATCAACCAATATAGGTCACTATGATACCATCAGTGATGTCAAGAAATTTCAACGATGATGTTATCATATGACATCATCTAGTGTTGACATAGCAACATTAGCTTGTTTGGTATTTTCAAGGATACTTTAAAGTATGTTAAAGTTACCTCTTACCCATATATTTTATCTACATTTTTCTTTTTTTAAATGCTGCTCCGCCTACTCCAGACTCATGTTACTATACCAATCATAATTTTTTCTTCAGGGACCTATTCATTATAATTCAAGATTCAAATGTATGAATAGTGTAGGTATACTGAGTGAAAACTTCAGCCAGATTGATTGAGAAACAAAAAATTAGAGTGGCAGAACGGAGGGTGTTCCACTTACACAGGTTCTACTGTACTTCAAAACATGGAACTTATACACCAAAGAAGAATCCACGATGACTACAATCAAGCACATGATGGCATACTTACACACAAATGTCTCTACATGGGTGCAAGGGTCTCCGCATTTTGGACAGCACAGTTGTCCTGGTCCTCCCTTTTTCCCACCACCGCCTCCTTTGCCTCCATCTCCACCTTTTTCTGCTTCTTTGCTATCGCCTTCTTTAAGGGGATCACCTGATTTCTGTTTTGATGTTGTCTTTTTGTTGTCATTTCCCGTGCCTATGCCACCGTCGCGAGGTGGTCCACCTGTGATGCAATATAGCACAGAGCTTGTCGATAAGCATTGCTGTTGAACTTGTTGATATGCGTTATAAATCCTCAACTTCCCTGAAAATAAAAATGTTATATGGATGCTATTAGAATGGTCTGAAGGAGGTATTTGAATTTTCTAATGGTACATGATCAATTCAAAGATTCAATTTATCTGGGCAGTTCTGGGCTTGATCTGGCTAGAGCTAAGCAGAGATAGATTTTGGGAATTCTTTGGCAACATTTATGACAGTTTCTTTTGAGAGCATGATCTCATTTATACATAAGATCAAAGACAGTCTAATGACCTACTTTCACTGAATTTAAACATACATACGTTTTTTATACATTTTATCATGGCCCATGATTTTATGAAAAAAATATTCTTCACACTCTTTTCTAATGGCCTACTTTCACTGAATTTTTTTGCTTTATATTCATTTAATGAAAAAAATATTCTTTACACTTTTAGGGATATTAGTGCACTCCTTGTGCAAAACTGAAAAATATAGACAAGGTAGGGAAAGGTTGATTACATTTGAACATATGGTTCTATTGAGGATTACACCAAAATTCTGAACATATAGATTTACCTCATTATAAATGGCCATGACTTTTGAACAATGATCCTAAACAGGCGACCAAAATAAAGACTAACCTCTTTTCAAATGATTCTCAATTTGTTTCAATATAAATATCTCTGCAATATGACGGCCCGTGTAATATAGGACATTTCTCCTATTCAATGAAAGTGTAGGATGTTGCACTTCATTAGTTCAATAATAATCCATATACTTACCATGACCATGCTTCCCAACACTCGTCCAAACCAATGCTTTCACAGGCTTTAGACCCCATCGTACAGCAGATGACATCATATGCACAAATATTTGCAAAATAAAAAGTCCTTAGATGCAGATCAATTTATCATGAAGATAAATCACTTTATATGATTCTTTAACTGTTTGTTTTGCGATTTAGACCGATGTGAAGTTTTAGAACTTGGTTTGGTAAATTAAATTCCAGATCCAAAAAACTGTTCGAATTAAATCGGCTGTATGCTGAGATTAGCTCACACATCAAAATATAAACTAGATTTATAGTTTTCTTTGTGGTTCCAGTTTTTGTTTGGATGTTGCCTGAATGTAAATTAAGTTCGAGAAATGAGAAATCTAAGGTTAAAGTCAAAACTTATGCAATTTCTAGTTTTTGTTTTTGTCGGCCATGTTGCTTTTGCGTTCTGAGTCTGCGCATTGAACAATTGAATTTTGGGGGACGATCTCAAGATCAAGTTATTGTTTATTAGAATTTTGTTGTTTGACATCATGTATCCATTCACATAAACAAAAGCACCAGATTCTTTATATATATTTGAAGATGTTTATAAAAATAAATACTAAACATGAATGAATGATATGAATATTTCATTTATTAAATTTTCAGAATTAAAGATTTGAACTGATCCTTGTCACATGACAGACAAAATGGCAGCGCCCATGAAAGAATGAAAATGTGGAAATATTTGTCATATTTTCGTGTATCGATAAGCTGACTGAGTTTTCAAAACTAAGCACAGGATGGCAGGTCGAGGGCGGGGCCGTGGGAGAGGTACACTCTCATTTTCAACTGAATCTCTTGGATTTGGGAGGGGTGAAGCTCTACCAACTTGTATTTTGCAGCCTCCACCAATTTATCCTGTGAGTATACACTTTATACCTTACATGTATTGCTCTTCAACACTTTTCACTTTTTATTTAACTATCCATTCGATTGAACACCGACTTGCAGCCTCAGTTTATGGACACAAAACAACATTGGCCTTAAAATTAATTTTTGTTTGAGAGATGGAAATCTGATTGGAACTCTTTTTATGTCACCAACAAAAATGATGACAAAATGTCATAGTCTCCAGGTTTTTCGTGAATGGTGTTTTTTGTTCTGCAATTTTTCGTGGTTGGCATTTGGCATCTGTAAAACTTTTGCAGGTGGTCACAATTTGTCATGTTGTACCTTGCTGTATACTGTGCAGTTTCCCTTATTTCAGACTTTGGAATTCCACCCTGTCCCACTATTAGGAGGAGAAAGGCAGGCATACATGTTGGCACTGAAGCAAGAGTTCCGCAACACAATGAGAGAATCTCCACACTTCATACAGGCTGAGGAAAAGAAAAAGGACATTGAAAGATACTCGGATAAATACCAGCTGGGCCCCCAAGACAATACTATAAACTGGGAACCTGGTATGAAATACAGTAAAACCTGTGTATGTGGAACACCTTTAGAACTTCTAAAAAGTGTTCCACTTGTGAGGTGTTCCACGAAAAGAGGTTCATCATTTGGTCTTAGAATATTATGAAAAGTGTTCCACTTACAGAGGTGTTCCACTTCTAGAGGTGTTCCAATTTACAGGTTTCACTGCATATGCAAAAATGAATGTTCAATCAGCAATTCAGTCTTCATTTAGATACAGTACATGTGCAGAATGCCTGATGCTTGTAGTTACTATGTTATGAATAACTTTTGCTCTGATTTTGAAAACAAACCTATATCCAAAAGGGGATATTATAGATACAGTTTACATATCTCCATGATTGAGCTCAGGGAGGGCAAAAACAAAAAAAGTATTTTGATTTTGTGAAATATTTGTATATTTATATATTGTATATCTTTGTGTGATTCTATACTGAGTCTCAAACCATACATAGACCATTGTCATTAGCTAATTGTCATATACATTGTAAAATATATAATTGAATAACCTTGACGGTGTTTGAGATGTCCAAATGGTTCTGAAGAACTATTGATGCAGCATAAGTTTTACTATGTGTAGCTGCAGACAAACTTCACAGGCTAGAATTTTCCAAGGGGGGTTCACTTTTCCAAAAAATTCTAGGGGGTTCACTTTGGCAAAGGAGTTGGGTAAACTAGCAACAGAGAGTGCCCCAATTGAAGTGTGAAAAAACTTTTTTTAAGAATAGGAGAAAAAAACATCAGAAATGCATAGATTGAAGTCTATATTTTTGGGTAGTATTTTTAAAAAAATTTAGAAAAAATTGTTACGGTGTCTGGAGACCTTCAAAGAGGGTGGGGGCCAGAAGGAAAAAAATTCACATATTTTACAACCCTCTTGATGAATTCCAATTTACTCAGCTATGAATGAATGTTTTTGATTTATCTGTCCAGGATTATGTAAATATATATTTATTTGATCCATACATACAATTGATTTAAACAATATGTACAGTTTAGAGGTAAGTAAAGCTTTGAAAGGACATTTCATGCTGAGTCTGGGTGACATTTTTATTCACTGGAGGTAGTAATCCTTTGAGTGTTTTCACATAGAGCATAACAAGTCTCCACTTTAATAAGTGCTTCTTTAGTTACATAAATGTTATATTGTTGCATACAAAGAATAATTTTGATGGAGACTAATTATGCTCGATGTGAATTTTAGAACTTTATAGAAAATTTTGCCTGCCATTTTTGTTGATTATTCAAAATGGCCAAATGCTATTCATGCTGCATATGTAGGAAGTAGGTACATTCTCCTAGAAAACGGAGAAAGGTTACAGAAGATTTAGCTTCACAAGTCAAGACTATTGCAACTAATAATAGAAGTGATATTGAGGTAATATAAGCTTGATTTGGGAGGAGATTGTTGTGATATTAGGTTGATATCAGAACTTATATTTTTTGATATTGCTTATGTAATGGCAATATGTTGGTAATTGGGCAGATATAAAGTTAATATTGGATTGAATTTGTCAGAAATTGCTATCGAATTGGGCTTATATTTGGGTGATATTGCTATAATATTGGGCTAATATTTGGGTGATATTGGATTGATATTGGGCCAATATTTGCTTGATATTTGGGTGATATTGCTATCACATTGGGCCAATATTTGGGTGATATTGGATTGATATTGGGGTGATATCGCTATCATATTGGGTCCATTATTTGGCTCATATTTGGCTGATATTGGATTTACAGTGGGATATTATTACAATCAGAATAATTGGGTGATATTTGGTAAATAAGAGGGTTGATATTGGACTGTTACTTAAATAATATGAGGCCAATACTTGGGTTATTTTGGATTGATATAGAGTGACATTTGATTGACAATTGGTTGATGTTGCTATGATATTAGGACATTATCTGGGTCATATTTGGGTGATATTGAATTGGGTGATATTGCTATTGAATACATAGAGGTTATATAATGGGAGGGATGGAATATGAATTTTATCCTGAGGGAAAATATGATATTGGCAGAGGAAAATCATGAAATGTACATTCTGAATTTAAATGAATTAAAAATAATAAAGTATTTTCATTATTTTAGGTACTTTTGTTCTCTTTCAGTGTTGCGTGGGAAGGGCGGAATATATTAATATAAATATCTCATTATTGGCAAATTGCCAATTTACTATATATTGTAATTCCAACCTCTATGAGACTAAATTCCTACAGATATTTGTGATATTTTAACCAAAAAGGTATATTTTGGTAGAAAATAATGAATTTTTTTAATTTGACCTTGACCTGGGGAATATGACCTTGACCTAAATTTTCATACATTTTTGAAACACTTATATCACATAGATTAATAAAATAAAGAGAAAACTTGAAAATCAGGTGGGGCTTAAAATGGCCTTGTTTACCCAACTCCTTTGGCCAAAAATCACCCCCAAAATAGTCAGAATGGTGAAAAACTGCATGATTTTGAAAGAAATTTTGTCTACAGGCCTGCTTCATGTACCTACTTCATAAGCAGAGACCAATTAACTTTGGAATTCCCAAAATAAATGTTAAAGCAATATCAATATTTATTTCAGATTTTTCTCGGCTTCCCAAGGAATTAAGAATTAAAGTGAGAAGATCTGCACGGAAATATAAGACTAATGTAAAACCAAATATTTCCACTGCTAAACATAAAGGTGCTGAAGATGCCAAAGATATTGAAAAGAAATTAGAGGTATGTCATGTTATGTTGTTCATATGTCATGTTATGTTGTTCATATGTCATGTTATGTTGTTCATGTGTCATGTTATGTTGTTCATATGTCATGTTATGTTCATATGTCATGTTATGTTGTTCATGTGTCATGTTATGTTGTTCATATGTCATGTCATGTTATCTTATGCTCTACTCTGTAGTATTGTCCTGTGTTTTGCCATGATGTGAAGAATTGTCTTATGTAGTATTTTGTAGTGTTTTTTGTACACATCTAATATTACTTGTATTGAAATATATATGCAGTATCTAAATTTGTAACTGACAAAGTAGAGAAAGTTTCAAAATCCTTGAAGAGATTATGTTCTTAACTCCTAAATATATATACAGTATGTACATGTTAAAATTGAATGAACTCAAGATGTCATTTTATTTATCTACAACCTTCTAATTATTTAAGGCACTTGAAAAACTTGAGGAGACCAAAGGTGATGAAGAGGAAGATGAGGAAGACAAAGAGAAAAAGAAGGAAGGAGAGGATAAAGGGGAAGAGGAGCCAGAAGAAGAGGACTTCTATGATGAAGAGGAATTAGAGGAGGTACATTTTGACGGCTTACGGACACTTCATCCCCTAGACAACTCATCCGGACAACTCATCCCCTGGACATCTCATCCCCTGGACAACTCATCCCCTAGACAACTCATCCCCTGGATAACTCATCCCCTAGACAACTCATCCCCTGGACAACTCATCCTTTATCACATGAAGCCAAATTGTAAAGTGTTTCATGAATAAAAATAGTTAATCAAATCTTCAATCAAAGTTAATATAATATTGAAATTGTACATTAAAAGTAAAATTAAAGTTAAATATTTACAAAACAAATTGTAGATTAATTGGTTGATTATTTCCTTGACAATATTAAAGTTTTTAAACAATTTTTCAGATTTCCCCTCCAGAAAATCTTTGTTCACTTGTACTCCACTCGATTATGCTTTTTACTGAATCGGATCCCTTCATATCCCTTTAATCATATGTTTAAGAAAAAACGTAATCGAGTAATCGGAATACCAGTGTTCATGTAGTATATGTTTTTGAAACTTAAACTGATCATTTTGATAACCAAAACATTTAAAAATAATTTGAATAATACATGATAATAGATAATATAAGTGTAACATTAAATAAATAAAAGATGCCAAAGGATGAGTCATCCAGGGGATGAGTTGTCCAGGGGATGAGTTGTCTAAGGGATGAGTCATCTAGGGGATGAGTTGTCCAGGGGATGAGTCTTCCAGGGGATGAGTTGTCCAGGGGATGAGTTGTCTAAGGGATGAGTCATCTAGGGGATGAGTTGTCTAGGGGATGAGTTGTCCAGGGGATGAGTCGTCCAGGGGATGAGTTGTCTAAGGGATGAGTCATCTAGGGGATGAGTTGTCTAGGGGATGAGTTGTCCAGGGGATGAGTCATCCAGGGGATGAGTTGTCCAGGGGATGAGTCATCCAGGGGATGAGTTGTCCAGGGGATGAGTTGTCTAAGGGATGAGTTGTCTAGGGGATGAGTTGTCCAGGGGATGAGTCGTCCAGGGGATGAGTTGTCCAGGGGATGAGTCATCCAGGGGATGAGTTGTCCAGGGGATGAGTTGTCTGGTAGATGAGTTGTCCATGGATGAGTTATCTAGGGGATGAGCTGTCCGGTTACCCATTTTGACATATTCACGAGTGTGCTGACAATTTTCATCTGTTTTCAGAATATTGTCTAGTCTAGTCTTAAACATAGACATTTCAGGCCCGTAGCCAGGATTTGCCAAGGGGGGGGGTTTAGTTTTCAGAAATTTCCAGGGGGGGTTCACACTTTAAAAGTGCTCAAAATGGTGAAAAACTGCATGGTTTTGAAAGAATTTTTGGCCAGGGGGGGAACCCTGCGAACCCCCCCCCCCCCCCCCCCCCGGCTACAGGCCTGCATTTCCAATAAACCCCTCCACTTTTTAATGCGCAATATACTCCCTTCATTGGGTGAATTCATGATGCAATAGGTTGTTGGTAGCAATATTTTACAAAACCAAATAAGGTATTTTAAGGAATTGCCAATTAGTTAATCATTATTTTTATTGAGAATCTTACTACATGTACATAAATTTCATGATATCATTAACCTCTGGTTCTATAAAGTGCAAAAACATCGTTTATAAATGGTCTATAATTGTTTAGTTTGTTCAATATATCCATTACAATTAATGTCCATCTTCTTTGACAATATTTGGTCACATGCATGACACAATGTTTATTTGCTTACAATAAACTGTATGACTCCCACATCAAAAATTAGCCACATTTTAATTCTTCAAAGTTCATTCAATGTTATGTTAACTTATCTTACACATTTCTGTGCCATGTTTTGATATTGTCCAATCAGATGCTTGAATAAAATGAAATTGTGTCACTTGCAAATGCAAAATTCTGTAAATACATAACCTTATTACAGTCCTTGTCCTGTGCTGCAGGGTGGACTTTCAACTCAAAATTTTGCATTTGCAAGAGCAGACTAGACAAGTGTCAAGATCTGATTGTGTTTCGGGCATTCTGGGTAAATTACATGGCAGCCATTTTGCTCTACAGCATGCAATATTCATCACTATGTTTCTTGTTTCTTTTTGCAGGAAACAGATTACAATCTCAATTATTTTGACAATGGCGAGGAAATTGATGAAGAAGATGATAATCTTGATGAAGGTGCCATCTATTGAGAAACTCAGGAACTAGAAATAAATACAACGATCAGGATCATCATCATTTTCTATGAATGTAAACCAACTGGAGAGAAAATGTACACTCTTCCTATATATTTATTGGGGAACAATGGCAATTTTTGCCAACAAAGTTGCAGAAATGTGGGCATATATTATGCAATATTGATGAATCACCCGTAGTGATGACTCCAAGGTGTGAATACTGATATGGGGTTAACTATGGGGCGTATTAAAGCCATTAGTTCATACTGAATGTTGGCCATTCAGTGATGTCACTAAGGTCCAACTGTATGCTGTTTATAGAAACTTCTCTTTATGGTTTGTTTGGAAATCATGGTTTGTTTAAAAATCATGGTTTGACAAACAGCATATCAGTAAATAATTATTTTGATATTGAAATTAAAAAATTGAATTGAATATGAATTGAATTAAAGATGCACACATGTTTGTATCAGTTTTGTGGTTTATAGAAAGGATCAGAAATTTGAATATGAATTATTCCAAGAAATAAAAATAACAAATTAAAATTGATTGTATAAGGATATAAGATGCACTGAAGTTTTGTATACAAGGATACTCATTTGACATTTGGTATGTGTAGCCAAGTGAGAATGGTGGAAGAGGAATGGTTATTTGAAATTTAAAAATTAAAATTGAATTGAATTACAATCCACATGTGTTTGTATTAACTCTGTGATTCACGTTTTATAGAAAGAAAATATGAATTATTCCGAGAAATAAAAATATTAAACTAAAAATTGATTGTACAAGAGTAATGATTACTGTATTTTGAAAGTGAAAAATTGAAAGTTGAATTAAAAATCCACATGTGCTTGTATTAATTCATGTTCTATAAAAGGAAAAAAGGTTACTTATTTGGCATACCACCAGTATGGTAAATGGTCTGTGGGAGAAAAGCTGTGGGTGCAAATGGAATGATTATTTTGAAATTGAAAATTGAATTAAAAATGCACATGTGTTTATAGAAAAGAAAAAATCTGAAAATGGATTATTCCAAGAATTAAATAAATATCATCAAACTATGAAAAATTGAAAATTGGATTGAATTAAAAACATGTTTGTTAGTTCTGTGGTTTATAGAAAGGATAGAAATCTGAAAATGGATTATTCAAAGAAATAAAAATATCAAACTACAAATTGATTGTTCAGTTAGTTGAGTTGATTAGGTGTGTAGTGAAGATAAAGAATTTGGTGACATATTGCCAATGCCAGGGGATGAGTTGTCCAGGGGATGAGTCGTCCAGGGGATGAGTTGTCCAGGGGATGAGTTGTCTAGGGGATGAGTTGTCCAGGGATGAGTCGTCTAGGGGATGAGTTGTCCGGTTACCATTCATTAACATCCAGGGTTCAGCATCAGTGGTCGGTGTATGTGGCACTTCTGCTTTTCCATTTGCAGGTGGCGACATTTTAGTCTTGCTCAAAGACTGTATCCACCCCCCCCCCCCGTCACCTTCACTCTCTTTACCTGGCAATATACAGAGAAGGATAAAGCGGGGGGGGGGAGTACAGGGGCTTTTAAGCAAGACAAGACTAGTGACATTTCAATTTTTCGGATTGATGAAAATGAGGAAATATCCCATGATTCCTTGATGTACCTACATCTTTGTGTAAAGGTAAACCTCTAACATGGAAACAGGTTAATCTATGAATTCTGGAATATTTCCCTCTTTGATGAAGCCTTGCTTTATTATATGCATTTCTTCATGTATGACAAACCCTCCCAATTGACCAATATTGTGCTTTTGACATAGAGACTAGAATACCACAAGACCTATGTATGCATAACCAAGGATAAAAATCATTGTGGAATGGGGGTTAGTATTTTATATACCATATTTCTTTTTCATTTTTTCCGAAAGCCCTCTATCCCTATCCCTATAAATATCACTTCAATGAAGTGTTTTAGTGGTACAGCCTCCAACTTTTTTTGTGACTTGCATTGGACACCTAAGTGGGCAAATTATCTGTGACATATTGTAACATTTTTGTGACCACTTGCAAAAACTTGAGGGAGTGTTCAGCTTGACTATAAATTCTTTTTGCGAACAGAGATATGTGTCAACAGTTAGTTTGAAATATGCCATTTACAATGAACTGAAGACTTAGAGGTCTGTAACATTTTTGTGACATAGTTTTAAGTAATCAACTAATAACTAAATATATTATGAGATTGGAATGACTTAAAATTAAAAAGAATCGCTATAGAAATGTGACAAAGGTGTTTCTGGGAAATATCCATTACCATGGCGATGAATTAGGGGACTAAAAACGCTAAAAACATTTGTTTTTTTTTTCTTTTCAATATAGTTTATTTCAGTTTTTTAAAGTAAGTACAGATACAGTAGTAATAAATCAATTACAATCTTATCATATTCCATTTGTTTTTAAAAAATACATTTTTACGTACATAAATTTCGAATTTTAGAGTTTTAACAATTCCTTCAAAATTCCGTTTTATTCCATTATTTAATTCTTGGATGTATGCTTTATAGATCACAAATGTTACAATACTAATAAAATAGTTCAAAAATGCAGTCTGGTTGTCATTTCCATTATAGCCTATTATCAACTTTCTATATGTTATTTTTAAACCTGATATATTAAAGATATATTTCCAAACATTTTGGGAGAGTGTACATGTGAAAAGCAAATGTTTTAATGTACATACTTCTCCGCACAAACTGCAATTAAATGATTCACTTTTTCCATATAAATGTAAGTCATTTAGACTAGGAAGGATGTTGTTTATAATCTTATAGTTGAAATTAGCTATTTTCTTTTCTTTACATTTTATCTTTGTAAAAAAAAAGTTTTCCCAATTTATTTCATCGAAGGTTTCATTATTTAAGAAGCAAAATTCACGTTCCCATTTCTTTTTCATGAACCATTTTTCAGATTGCTTATTTTTCAAAATTTCATAAAAGAATTTTGATTTTTGATCTCTAATTTGGAATAAAACATTATTTGCTTTCAATCTGTAATTTGGAATGTTTGTGTATTTTGCTTTATTGACATCAATAAAACCTCTTGCAATATTCATACTTGAGTTAACTTGATAAAATTCAGAAATCCAATTTTGTTTTTCCTGTAACTTTTGAAAAATGTGGTTGATATCATTAAATGTATCCTCTATTATTAGATCCTTTACATAGACAATACCACTTTCAATCCAATTTCTAAAATACAGAGTTTTTTTGTTTACAGTAAACAAACTATTACCCCATATAGTCTCTTGCAGGATATCACATGTTTTCATATTTTCAAGATTTTTTTTGTCTTTACATTTGGCATGAGCACATAATACTTGCTGATAAAAAATTGGTATTTTCTGAAAGTATTGCAAATCAAAACTATTCATTTTCAATAATACATCAAAATCATTTACAATATTATCAAAATAGAGATATGGTATTTTATTCATCATTTGTTTTTTATCATATAACCTTGGAATCCAAGCAGCTTTTAGAGCATGCAATTGAGATTCAAAGTCTATCATGTTAAGTCCACCTTTTTCTAATGAATTTATAATAATAGTTCGCCTTATTTTATCTTTTCCATCCCAAAGGAATTTATAAATTATTGTATTAGCTCTTTTTACAATTTCATTATCATATTGAAGTATTGATGCTGCATAAATCAATTTTGGAAGGGCGATTGATTTTATCACTGTTATTTTTCCAATTAATGTTAAATTCCTCTTTTTCCAAGAATCTAACACTTTCTCTAATTTTGTTATCCTGTTCAGCCAATTTAGCTCATAACATTTGTCTTTATCATGTCCAATAAAAATGCCAAGAGTTTTTACCGGCTCATTGCTAAATTTTATATTTGCAAAGTTATTTTCATTCACTTTACTTCTCCCTAACCAAATTCCTTCAGTTTTGTCTATATTTAGTTCTAATCCAGAAACATAAGAGAATGATTGAATCGTTTGAATTGCTTGCAATATTGAATCTTTGTCTTTTAAAAATAAATTAGCATCATCTGCATATTGAGAGAGTTTGTATTCATTATTGTTTATTTCAATGCCTTTTATGTTAATATTCTGTTTTATTTTAAGTGCAAGGACCTCTGTGCACATAATAAATGCCAAAGCAGATACTGGACAGCCTTGCCGACAGGATCTTTGCATGTGTATATTTTCAGAAAACCATCCATTTTGTTTTATAGTTACCATTGGTTTTACATAGAGTATTTTTATCCACTTAATAAACTGTTCAGGAAAATTGAATTTTTTGAATGTTTCAAAGATGAAATTCCACTCGATACTATCAAAAGATTTTTTAAAATCAATGAATAAAATAGCGCCCTCTTTTTCATAATTTTCAGCATATTCATAAATATCAAGCGTAAGTCGACAACTATTTCCAATAAAACGATTATTTATATAGGCAGTCTGCTGAGACCCAATTATTTTTGCAATTACTTTTTGCATTCGCTTTGCCAAAATAAAAGCTAGTATCTTGTAGTCTGTATTAGAGAGTGAGATAGGTCTAAAGTTTTTCAAAAGTTCCCTATCTCCTTTTTTAAAAAGTAAACTAATTATAATTTTTCTAAAAGATGGTGGCATTATGCCAGTTTCATAGGATTCATTTATAGCATTTATAACATACAAACTAACATCCTGCCAAAAGAACTTGTAAAAATTAGATGTAAGTCCATCTGACCCAGGAGATATATTTAACTTCATATTTTTTATCACTGTTAAGCATTCTTCATTTGTTACTTTTCCAATCAAAAAGTTTTTGTCATTTTCATCTAATATTTTTGGAAAATTAATGCTATTAAAGTATGTAACAAGCTCTTCGTTAGTGCAAGCTTTAGATTTATACAATTCTTTATAGAAGAGAACCTCCTCTTTCATTATCTCTGCATCTGAGGATACAGTTCCAGAGTTTGTTTTTAAAGATCCAATTACATTACTACTCTGTCTAGTTTTTTCAAGATTTAGAAATAATTTGCTATTTTTGTCTCCATCTTTTATCCATTCCTGTTTGGATCTCAAAATAGCCCCTGATGTTTTTTCTATTAAATCATTTTCTAAAGACGTCAATATTGTTGCACGTCTAATTTGTTCAGTTTCTGATAATACATTCATTTTCTCTAAATCCTCAAGTTCATTTTCCATATCTTTTATCATGGTATTTTTCGAATGTCTCAGTTTAATTGAATATCGAATTGTTTCTTCTTTAATTTTGATTTTAAGATATTCCCATTTTAATTGATTAGATTGAAGTTGAGGATTTTTTTGATCATGATGGTATATTATGTGTTTGATCATTTTAACATAGTTGTCATCTTGTAAAAGCAAATTATTGAATTTCCAATATCCTGGTCCTTTTTCATTCGAAGTTATATTCAAAGTTAGTAAAAGTATTTTATGGTCTGAGAAAGCAAAATGCTTCTTCTCTTTTTTCAAAATTTTAAATTGAGCATTTTCTTGAACAAGCATATAGTCAATTCTTGATTTGCTATTACCCTGACGTGACATACATGTGAAACCTTGATGTTTCATCTCATCAATTAGATCTAAATATTTTATCATATTTTCAAAATACATTCTACTTTGATCATTTTCAAGCACCTGATTTTGTTTGTCATGTTGTGTTCTATCACAATTCATGTCACCACATACATATACATTTTCAATAAGCCCAATATGTTGTTTGATCTTTTTTGAATTTTGCTTGAAGAATTCAAGCCTTGATTTGGGGTTGTTAGGTGCATACATTGAAACAAAAGAAAATATATTATTATTTATCTTTACATTTGCCAATATCATTCTTGCGTCATCACTTTTAAAAGTTTCAATAACACTTACATTCAAAGTTTCATTGAATAAGATAGAAACACCCCTACTGTGGGGGGAGTTACTCACATTGTGAATTGCTTCCCCTGGCCATTCTTGGTCAATTTCATTTACAATTAATTGAGTGATGAATGTTTCTTGGAGAAGAATTACATCAGCATTATACTGCTTGAAAAGGTTAAAGGTTCTCTTTCGCTTTACCTTATCATTTAGGCCTCTCACATTGAGAGATAAAATTGTAAGTTTTTCTGCCATTATTTATGGTTTTTAATAAAAATATTCATAATAACAGAATACCAAGAAAAACAAAAACAGAAATATTTACATTTTTTACATATTATACATATCTGTCTATCACTGTGTACTAGTGCAAATACAGTGTTCATGTATTTATATTTACAAGTTAACACTGTAATCATCAGATGTCTATGAGGGGTCACTGTCATAAGTGAGAGGGGAATAACTGTTGTCAATTTTGGTCTCAAAATGTTTCAGTGGATTTGGTTTCTTTGGGGGATGTGATGTAGGTTCAGGTGAATCACGGCTCCTCTTACGTCTGAACTTCCTGAGTTTGGATTTAATCCGTTGTGGAGTACTTTCTTTTCTAATTGGAGAAGGATGCTCTACAGCGTCACTAAAGACTTCTTCATGCTTAGGTGTGGTAGCAGGAGCTAATGTGACATCAGTTTGAGCATAGGAGATATCAGTTATTTCATCATTCAGTGTGGAACGTAATTCCATCAAGTAAGAGCCAACTGTATTCTTGCCAGGCCAATGTTCCTGGTCAGTAGTACATGTTAGTTTTTGGCCAAGTCCACTTCCCCATGTTGTTTCAAAAGAGGCCATTGCTATATAGGTATCACCAGTATCGAGCAATGTATCTTTGATCTCAGGGTGCTGTTGTATTTTCTCAGATATCAGTTGTTTCATAATATCTATGTTGTTAATATCCCAATCATCAGTGCATTTGATTTCTTTAGCCATCTCACGGGCCTGCATACTGGCTAAAAACATTTGTTACATACCGATAACCTGAAAGTCAATGATCACCTATAGGCATGTCTTCAGATTTTAGGTAATTTTGGTTACCATGGCAATGATTCAGTGTAATATGCTTGAAAACGTTCACAATGGTCATCACTCATAGAAACAATATATAGGGCACAATAAACCAAACCATTACTTGAAATTCGAACATGACTGTATTCACCCCTTCTTTAGACTGTGAACAAAGTCAACATTTCACCTGGGGAATATTTGTCAATAATGCCCCTGCTAGTACGAGTAATGTGTGACATCATAAAGACGGGCCGTAATAATGGCGGACTATTAAATTAATATTTGAATGATTTTGGTGATTTTTTATGTATGAATCGTAATATAGACCTCAGAGCAGGGGAAATATTTTCCAATACACCCCTTAAGGCTCGGCACAAACGCTTTCGAACCCCTCACTCCCTTCGGTCATTTGGGGTACAGAAAATATTTGTCCCCTGCTCTTCAGTCTATATTTCTTAAACAACTAATACAAACAAATATGTTTCACTAAAATGACTTGCATTCGCATGTTACATTTTATTTCATGATTTATGTTACATCCATACACCTATACATTATGTCCAAACATTACATATAATATGGTTTACCATGTAATCATATAGTAACAGTGAGCATACACCTATTATTACCACCTTGCAGGGCCTGTTCTAGGGGTTTTAGTACTAGTTGAGAAGGCATTTAAATTGCTATATTGACATGAGTAATATTGTGTCGGGCGTTAATGACTTTAGTCAGGCAATAATGACATTATCCGCCCGGCTATGTTTCCCGGGAAAAGTGATATCGTTCAGTGCGTAAGATTTTCTATTTCAAATTTGCTATTTCAGCCCTGGTCATTAACGGTGGTAATAATAGTAATAACGTCATTTCTGCGGGCAAAATAGTGAAATATTGGACCTTGCGGCCCTTGGTCCAATATTTCACTATATTGCCCTTTGAAATGACGTTATTGTACTATTATTCCAACCATTACATATAATACATATGGTAAGACGGTGTGCGTTGTCACAAATACAGTAAAACCTTGGCTCATGGAATGCCTTCAGTACTTCAATATAGTGGTCTACTCAGAGGTGTTCCACGTCAGAGGTTTATTTTACATGATGTTCAAGAAACAAGACTTTCAAATGTGTTTCACCATGGATGTCTATTTACAGGTCTCTTAAACAATAACTTTTCACCATCAGAAGTTTAAGAGTTAATTGGACCTACAGTATTTATATTTTATTGCTTATATCCTCTGCAATCTTCTTTGAACATGAATAATGATCAAAACTGGTTTCTAGCACCGATATATTCAAATACCAAATGTTGACCCCTTGGGAGGTTAACAGTGTCAACCATACACCTCTAAATGACTAATCAGTTGTGATTTATAAAGTTAATGTACAGTTAGTACTAATGATACAATTCATGTCTTATGATAATGATACAATTCATGTCTTATAATAATGATACAATTCATGTCTTATAATAATGATACAATTCATGTCTCATAATAATGATACAATTCATGTCTTATAATAATGATACAATTCATGTATTATAATACTGCAATATTGCATATATCTGGTTCCAACACATTATGGTCACCAACGTCCATAATTATGTGAAGTTAAAAAGTTAAATTACTCACTGCAAAAAACACCAATTTGTGTTGATATGGGTCAAATATTAAAATAATTACTAGAATTTCTCCTTGTAGAGTCCTGTGGAATCACTTTAACCCCAGATTTTTTGAAAACCAATATATACCTTATGATGGACCAAAGCACAAGTTACGACAGCTCCATAAACGGACTTCTGGGTCATTAATAAAAGTACATTTATCAGGCCCGTAGCCAGAATTTTCCAAGGGGGGGTTCGTTTTTCTAAAAAATTCTAGGGGGGGTTCACTTTGGCAAATATGGCCAAAAATCACTCAAAAATTAGTCAGAATGGTGAAAAACTGCATGATTTTGAAAGAAATTTTGGCCAGGGGGGGCCCGAACCCCCCCTGGCTACGGGCCTGTTTATTTTATATTTTCTCAAAGACATCTGTGATCATTAAAGTATGAAGTTTTTCAACCTTGGAAAGTCAAATTAGTAAGTGAGTATGTAAAAACAACCCATGGGGCTTTACTGAAAGAGCAACTTCAACCTTCAACAATTAGCCCATGGGCCAATAATGAGTAAGCCTTATAACCAAAAGTAAATTAAGAAAATACATGATTCTATTAGATTCTCAATTAAATGGCATTGTTGAATAATATTGATAGCCCCTAATTAACTAATTGGCACATTGCATATTTATGCTTACAAATATTGATTATATCCCATAGTATGTCAATCAACACTTTTGATGAATAAGCCACACCCCTTGTCCAGTTCCAAAGCAATGTGGTCATAAGTCTATAACAAGAACCAAATGATTAAATTCAGTATTTTAAATTGAAACATTTCTCTAAATGAATTATTGAAACATATGGGTTTATATCAAACAAAGTTTTTAGATATCAGTTTCTGAAACAACTTTGATTTTTTGATATCTCCCCTTAGTGGTTTTTCAAACATTTATTCCCAACCAATAGTATGTTATCAGCATCTATAGAAATTAGTTAGTTTAAAAAGCTGTGTACATAAAAATTAAATGGATGAAATCCCATTACAATAATTTCTGCCTTATCACGCCACTTTACCATTTCTGTTTAAAATTTGAATCAAGTTCTTGATATTTTTATATATCTAAAGAGTTCATCACATGGCTATTAAATCACTCTTTACTGATTTTACATCCTCCAATCACAGGGTTTCAAAATCCAGAATATATTCTTTCTTTATACCCCCTGCGATAAGCAGTTGTCATTTCCCCGATTAAGAACTCGCAATCTGATTGGCTGTCGCAACATATGTATAAGTCATTGCGCATAATTAGATCACGTGATTCAGTTTAATCAGGCGCTTCCAAATTGGTTATAGCAGGGGGAAGAAGGAGGTACAGTTTCTGGACAACTGCTTAGGAGGATGCTGATTTTATTATTAATAAACTTTTAAATTAATTGATCCTTTTTGTCGGCACACTAATATTTGATTGAACAAAATAACATCGTTTTGATGCTAAATATATACTAGACCATTGTTTTAGAGTTTTGGCTGCGCTAAACCTGAGCACACTACACAGAATATAAGTTCAGTTGAAAAGGATGCCTGCATCAAAATGGCAGCAAAGGGTATAGAGTATAAGATTTCGGGAACAATCTTTCCATAGAGCATTCCTATGTTTTACATTATCATCCATAATTAATATCTAAAAAGAATTTAGGATTTTGACCATACCTGAGATTAATTGACAAATTAAGATTTAAGTGTCTAAATGACAGATTTTTTTTCAAATGATATTAAATTGTTATGATATGAAATCAAGATATTTCACATTTCAGAAATGGGTGCTATAAAGAATTCTTTCTTTCCAGCAAAAAATATTGCAACAATTTAAAAAAATACCCTAAATTCATCTCCGTTTTCAGTGCATTACAAGTTACTGTGGAAACAGGCAAAAATAGAATTACATGTATTTTAATTAATCCTTTGTAATCACTTTATAGGGGCAACAAGGGCTGTAGAGATAAAATTCAAAAGTTTATATTTTTCTGAGCTATCAGGTCAATATTTGGCTTAACATCTTCTTTGACATACCTATTTTCTTAAAATATATGGATAAAGTATCAATTTCAGCATCAAGGAATGTAAATTCAGTTCAAAGCTTCTATAAAGGGAGTCCCACTTATAGATGTTTAAGATCCACCACGTTTCAAGAAGAATATCAGCTGAAATAATGGACATCCGGGGCGTTTCTTTGCAAATAATAAAAAAAACATGGTAGTCTTGATGAAATATATTTTGACACTGCTCGATGATCGTTGAATGGCCCCCTGTACTAGTTGTTGCACCTTTAAATATCTGACTAGCAAAATGCTGCTTTGTCAATATTCTCTGATATGTTCACAATCATATACATGTAAGTCAATATGAAATATGTTTATTCTTGAGTTAAATATTCTTTCCTCAAATTACACATTTGCTTATAAATTGGCATATTAATTTGCCTATCACATTGCATCTACCTAAATCCACATTTATTACACAATTATAACATGAGAGGGTCAAGTCTGAAATCTGGATCCCTACAGACCCCCCCCTCATCTGAGACGTGTAGAATCTCAGACAAATAAAATGCATTCATTCAATCTCTATACATAATTATATTAATATTTTCTATGTCACGTCACCATTAAGCTTTCCCGTATTCAATGTACAAGAAATAAGCCAGTGGCGTGACGAGTCCAATTAAAAACATGACCCCTACGATAGTCCACCATCTCATCCCACAGTCTGCACCATCTGCCTTTTTTAGCGGCTGAATACGTTTACACGTTAAAGCAGTCGTCACTTCTTGTAAAGTGTCTTTTTGAGTTTTTGTTGAGTTTTGTATTTTTAAAAGATCTTTGTCCATTGCTTTGAGGAAGTCGTGAGCTTCCCGGGATTGAGTCCCTAGTGAGTCCCGAATACTCAAAGTTCGCACCAAGAGGCCCCGCCCCTCTGAATCACTGTTATCTGATTGGTCAGCGTAATCATCTTCAACGCTTACAAATGGTTCGCCTCCAACAGCACCTGAGTTGGGATTGAGACGAATTTTAGAATTTTTATTTTCTTTATTTTCTTTTTCAATAAGTTCCGTTAACAAGCCATGTCTTTTTATTGGTACTTTGATGACTTTTTTCGCAAAGAAATCTTGGTCCTGAATCAAATTGTTCAACCTCTTCAACTCGGATACCTGGAAAATAAAAGATAATACAGTATTATGTCACCACCAAAAGTGGTGACATATTGTTATGGTCTCCGTTGGTTGGTTGGCGTCCGGCGGTTGGAGGTTGGCGTCTGCAACAATTTCTTACAACTTCCCATAACTTAACAAATACTGTTTAGACTGACTTCAATTTTTTCTAAATCATCTACATGTTCTCAGAAGTTCAAATCTGACTTTAGATTTGACATTTGACCTTCAATGACCTTCTCAAGGTCAAAAAGGTCTTTTTTCAACTTGCTTCACATTGACTAAATTTTTTTTCAAAATCATCTACATGTTCTCAGAAATTCAAATCTGACTTTAGATTTGACTTTTGACCTTCAATGACCTTCTCAATGTCAAAAAGGTCAAAAAGGTATTTTTTCATCTTGCTTCAAATTGACTAAATTTTTTTTTCAAAATCATCTACGTGTTCTCAGAAATTCATATATGACTTAAGATTTGACTTAAGATTTGCCATTTGACCTTCAATGACCTTCTCAAGGTCAAAAAAGGTCAAAAGGGTCTGTTTTCAACTTGCTTCAAATTGACTAAAAAAAAATTTCAAAATCATCTACGTGTTCTCAGAAATTCAAATCTGACTTTAGATTTGACTTAAGATTTGACATTTGACCTTCAATGACCTTCTCAAAGTCAAAAAAGGTCAAAAAGGTCTTTTTCAACTTGCTTCAAATTGACTAAATTTTTTTTTCAAAATCATCTACATGTTCTAAGAAATTCAAATCTGACTTTAGATTTGACATTTGACCTTCAATGACCTTCTCAATGTCAAAAAAGGTCAAAAAGGTATTTTTTCATCTTGCTTCAAATTGACTAAATTTTTTTTCAAAATCATCTACATGTTCTCAGAAATTCAAATATGACTTTAGATTTGACATTTGACCTTCAATGACCTTCTCAAGGTCAAAAAAGGTCAAAAAGGTCTTTTTTCAACTTGCTTCAAATTGACTAATTTTTTTTTTCAAAATCATCTACATGTTCTCAGAAATTCAAATCTGACTTTAGATTTGACATTTGACCTTTAATGACCTTCTCAAGGTCAAAAAAGGTCAAAAAGGTCTGTTTTCAACTTGCTTCAAATTGACTAAAAAAATTTTTCAAAATCATCTACGTGTTCTCAGAAATTCAAATCTGACTTAAGATTTGACTTAAGATTTGACATTTGACCTTCAATGACCTTCTCAAAGTCAAAAAGGTCAAAAAGGTCTTTTTTCAACTTGCTTCAAATTGACTAATTTTTTTTTCAAAATCATCTACATGTTCTCAGAAGTTCAAATCTGACTTTAGATTTGACATTTGACCTTCAATGACCTTCTCAATGTCAAAAAAGGTCAAAAAGGTATTTTTTCATCTTGCTTCAAATTGACTAAATTTTTTTCAAAATCATCTACATGTTCTCAGAAATTCAAATATGACTTTAGATTTGACTTTAGATTTGACATTTGACCTTCAATGACCTTCTCAAGGTCAAAAAAGGTCAAAAAGGTCTTTTTTCAACTTGCTTCAAATTGACTAATTTTTTTTTCAAAATCATCTACATGTTCTCAGAAATTCAAATCTGACTTTAGATTTTGACATTTGACCTTTAATGACCTTCTCAAGGTCAAAAAAGGTCAAAAAGGTCTGTTTTCAACTTGCTTCAAATTGACCAAATTTTTTTTTCAAAATCATCTACATCTTTTCAGAAGTTCAAATTTGACTTTACAAGTTCTCAGAAATTCAAATCTGACTTAAGTTTGAACTCATAATATTGTGAGCAACTAGGTGGTGACATTTTGTCATGTTAATGCCTTGTTTATTTATGCATTAATTATATTCATGAAGATAAGATTCTTCAATTCAATCATTGTTACTATGGAAACAATGAAATCATGCCATGATCAAAGAAATTTAAATCATACAATGTCTGGTTTACACCCAGAACTGTTTAGTTTTATGTTTTAATCAATATATACATGTTATTTCATTAATCTTTCCGTAACGGTCAAATCAATTTTTTCTCAGGTTACATCTCCCTATTGCAAAATGTGGAAACTCTCACTAGAAATCTCAAGAAATCTCATTTGACAAATCGCAGGGAAATTTATTCAAACTAGATTTGGAGAAATTAAATTTTCAAATCAAGCAAAGTGTGCAGATGACCCTGTACAGATATAGATTTGATGTGAGTATTTACTCAATACTCAAATTACTCAATACTGAAATAATTATGTTGATATTTTTCATAAAATGTGGAGTTTTATGACATATCTTTAATTAATTAATAAATTAATTCTGTGTTAAATCAATTCTTGTTCAAAAATAAATGTTATCCAAGTGAACTTAACTTTAAGAGAAGGAAGGCAAGATGTCTAAATATGTCAGATTTGTATCAATGTCCCTGAATACCTCCACAGTTAAAATCAACATCTTGTCTCTTGAACATGAGTTTACATTAATTGATGAATCTTCTTAGTTTTGTTGTATAAAACGATTACACCTACTTAAACTGGAAACATTGATTAAAATATAGATTTTCAGCATATGATATATTAACATTGTTTTTCAATGTTTTAGAATGACTCATACCCAAGCAAATCAATAATAAGTTCATTATCAATTATGGCATGGCACCCGATGAGTTGTTACGAATTTAGGACGCAGATGTTGATAATCTTAAGCTAAAGAGCAAAATGTCACATGATGTAATTTATCCAAAATGTTCACACATCCATTAACCAATACCCTTTTATAATACTAGTAGTATAATACAGTACAGTCATTTAAAATTGCTTATTTGAAAAAGTGATTCATATGTACACTCTGCCTTCATATTCATCTGACATATTTTTCTTATTTTCATTTGGAGAGTTGTGATTATTACTACACACGCAATTCACATCGGGCCCATGCGAGCTCGTACAAGCCTCGAGAATTACGAGCAAAAAGGAACACGATCCTCGTACGGGCTCGAACGGAGCTTGTTTTCGAGGCCAGTATATGAGCAAGTACGATGCTTGTAATTGTTGTTTCAATTCAGATACCTGATTGGGGAACTGACTATTCTGATATAACCATCACATCTTCCTGTTTTCAGACTAGCAACTACATGTATGTGGATAGGGACATACAAAAGCATAAATAAATGTCCTTCCATCCTCCATTCGGGCAATTTAGGAGCCTCAATCAACACTATACAGACTCATTAATATATATTATTGATTTAATTTAATGGTAGTCTGATATATGTGAGAGCAACAGCCGTTTACTTTTTAAACAATTGCTCAAACAGAAATTAATATTTCTAGATAAGTTGAATAATCAGTTGAGAGACCATGATATTTAACATTTGATGATAATATAACATGTTATCTAAATTGTTCTGAAATGTTATGATAATTTTTTATATAAGGTTTGGTGATTGGGAGAATTCCAAATTCAAATGTTTTAAGTAACAGAAAATGTTTTTTTTTTAATTGAATGGAATTGTTTAAGAGAGTTTTGGGTCAAGTCACTTCAACTACCAACATACATGTAGTACAGATATCTGATTCAAAACAAAGTAAAGGCTGTTAATGAGGACACTTTTTATCGAAAAGATGAGCTTTGATCAAAATGATAGATTTCATTATAGTCTCACCCAAGTCAATAGTTCAAAGTTTGTCTGATATTCCATTGCAGAAATTTATCTACATTTTCCTTATTAGCTTACTTTCTCTCAAAACTTTAAATAAAATGTGTAATTTAGATGCATTTCTATACAATTTAGTGTGTTAACTACATGCCTGTGTACTTTATTCCTTGCGGACTCCACTCTTTTACACTCTATTTTAGATTTCAAAACATGACCATTGTGGCATTTATCTTGCGGGAAGTGCAATCAGACCATTGACATAAATGCAACAAGTGATTGTTTGTAAACAAAAAGTGTCTCGTTCTTCACTTCTTCAGACTTTACACAACAAGGTTGATAAACAGAGTCCATGGTTCAAACTCATCAAATCTTTTTGAAATTTTCAACATCTTAAAATATATTCTGGAGAGTATATCTCATATTTGGTATAAACTGAAGTGTTCATAGTTCAAAGAACTCTGTATTAACAACAATAGTTTTGAATCAAGCTCTAGAGCCAGCCAAAGTGTTTGGATGGGCAGGCAGGCCCATAGCCAGAATTCCAAGGGGGGGGGCTCACTTTTCCAAAAAATTCTAGGGGGGGGGGTTCACGTTGACAAATTTGGCCAAAAATCACTCCAAAAATAGTCAGAATGGTGAAAAACTGCATGATTTTGAAAGAAATTTTGGCCAGGGGGGGATCGCCTGAACCCCCAAACCCCCCCTGGCTACGGGCCTAGCAGGTGTTCACATCTGAAGATGTGCCAGCAGATTAGAAATGATAGAAAATCAGACTTCACATTGAGAGGTGTTCGAATTTGAGAGGAATTCATTGGTCCATGGGCTTTCTCTTGAACTCTTGACACATCTAGTACTTAAAAATTAGCAAAATCATTTTGAATTGAATAACCTTGAAAGTTTTAACCAAAGTACAGGTAAATGTGTAAACTTCAAATTCAACGTTTAAGTAAAAGTTCAAAGTCACAGGTTAATGATAACTTATCACGGAGCATATAATCCTATGATTAAAATTTCATTCTATACCTGCTTATTTCATTTCATTTCTTTCTATTGAGTAAATTTTTAATTTTCTACCGTTATATTCATCTAAAGTGTTATTTCCATGCCTGTTCATTTTAATCCTTGCTTTATTCCTCTCTTAAGACTCAAAGTTGGAATTATAACTCTCTAAAGATACTTAACTGATGGGATGGTGCCTTGTATTCAAGTACAACAAAGTGCTTAAATGTTGACAATTCATAAACAATAAACATAAAAATAAATGGTTTTAATATTGGATTAAAACCATATCGTCTAAAATCATACTGTATATTTTTGAATATTTTCATACAGATTTCTTCCAAATAATTAATTCTTCATTTGACGTCTTATAGGCTTATTTCAAATAGCAATAAAGTTGTCTATCATATCATATGGCATTACTGATAACATAATAAGTGCTATTTTGATTATATAAGAACGTTTTGTAAACCATGGACATTGATCTGATAATCATTATTAAGCTTTACAGTAATAAAAATGGCAAATGAACGACCATTTAAATTGTTTATTTTTCTAACCTTGAGTATTCAGTTTATACTACACTTTTGGGTGTGACATTCTAGCTGATTGCCCTGTTCCAAATTATTTTAAAATGTTACCATATTTTACTTAGATAAGAAATATATATTGTATATCAAAGAAATAAATCCGACTAAAGACTCATAGAATGTGTACCATACATCAGTAAAAATCGACTCCATATAAGACACCAAACAAAATATTTATACTCACTGGGCATCCATATTGTAAAGCAATACTTTGAATCGTATCACCCTCATTTACATTCCGCTCAAGAAACACAGGTTCTTCCTCAACCGTGACATGCGTTGACGATCTTTTCCCAGAAGAATTCCCTCGGGATCTCATTTCTGTCATCTCCATGATATTGTCCTTGAGTTCAGCTTCATCCACGTCAGAACTCCCAAATATATAAACGTTTGTTGATTTGCAGTTTTGAATTTCAGCATCAGTTGATAAAATTTTGGAACCATATTTTTGTTGTATTTTATTTGAAATGGGAGATATGTAACTTGTAGTCATATCTGCGAGATTGACTCGATTTGTCTAAATTTAATATCAAATGACACATTAGTAATCACTTAAAGTGTCTATAACATTGAATTTTACATATGTGTCCAGATCTACGAGTATATCAACTTTTAATCTTCAATTTTGACAAACTTCAAAATTCCGGAAGTACATGGCAATCCAATTACGCATGCGCATTATTAATTGTTCATGGAACTCAAACTATTTGTATAAAAGAAGTTATTCGACTGTAATTTTATATTATTAAATATTGTACCAAACACACTAAATAATCATTATTAAGTTATTCAAATCTTTTGTTGCAATTAATAATTGATTTACTTGGACAGGTTATTTTTATGTCAAGTTTTCGTTTTAAAAGTTGTTCATTTAGAGGGAATCCTTGAAAATAATATCATCACAAAATTTCTCCGAAAAACGATTGATATCATCGATAATCTGACATATATTGCTTTTTGGAAACTACCAGAATTTTTTCTTTGGTATAAAGATCAGACTGTGAGAAAATGGTGTGTGTCCCCTGTATTGTAATCCCCCTTTGTCTATGGGTGTTCCACAGATTCATCAAGCCTTGGATTCCAGAGACATGGATTCAACCATTTCAAGATTACGTGAACAGTTGGTGGCCTAAAGTAAAATCAGAGGATAGTGAAACTGAAACTAAGGTTTGTGTGCATTCAGTGTTGTTTGTTTGCTTCTGACCTCATCAATGTTGTCAGCCATGCAACATGTTAGGACAATGGGCCCCGGGAGCATGTATAAAAATTGAGTTTGATATGAATAGAGCTCTAATCTCTTTTGTTAGGGAACTGCACTCAAATTTTTATACATCCTCCTGAGGCCTATGATTAGAATGTACCTGGAAGGACAGGTGTATTAGAATCTAGTCTATGCATGTGTGCTCCATGTAGTTTATTGCTAGCCACACTTGAAGTAGCGAGGCATTTGTCTGGGGATTATCTATAAAGGCAACATTTCCTTACTGTACCAGAGAGGGTTTACATTTATCACTGGTGGATTAGGGGGGGGGGGGGGGGGCTGGGCTCCCCCTCCTTGGGTGGGCCAAGAAAAAAAAAATGGGGCTAAAAAAATTTTTGAGCCAAAAAAGGCCTTCTGCCTCCAAAAAGTGGGCCTTTTGGTCATTACTGGGCCTTTTAAGGCCTTATTTTTTAATTTCAGGCCAAATTTTGAAGAAAATGGGCCTCAAAATTTCAAAATTTGGGCCCACTTTTGGGTTTTAGGGGCCCAAAGTTTTTTCCGCTGACCTGAAATTTGGGCCCCCCCCCCCTTGTTGGTTTCCAGATCCGCCCGTGTTTATCTTGGTAGCCCCAATTCATCGTTTTTATAGATTCCTCACTCCCATATTGTCTGTCTTACATACAGTATCTTCATTTCAACTAAAGTCCACCTTGTATTCCCCCTCTTCCAGTCCCTTTGATCGTACGCTTTCAAGAGCAACTGCTCCTGCCAAAACAAATTTAAACTACCTGTGTACCAAAACTAATTCTTTCCCTTTTTAAGTAAGAGAAATGTCAAAAGTGTTCAGATTTCAAGGTTTTGTAAACAATATGAGAATATAAAATATAAAATTTGGGACCAAGAAAAAGGGTTCACACGATGAAATTGATCACACTAATAATTCATGAATTTTACTTTCAGGGAAAAGGGGATAAACCATCGTGTCCATTTTCATCAAAAGACAAAGCAAATGGAGTTTCAAATGGTGATGCAAATGGACATATCGAGAAAGAGACACTGACGGCAGGAGATTCAAACAAGAAGACTGATTAACCATATAATTAAAGGAAAACAGATGCAGTTATTACTAGGAATTATCATATTCAGTTTAAGATGTAGGACATATATGCAGAATAAATCGACTGAAACAAAAAGACTGATAAATCATACAATTAGAGGAAAACTTGAAAATTAGAGGAATTATCATATTCAAGCATTTGAGACAGTTATGAATGGTTGATTGGATAATATAAGTAAATAATCGTATACAGTATATTCAGGATAAATCGACTGAAAGTCTCAATACAGCTGGAACTTTGATTTGCAAGTGTAATCCATAAAATGCAATTTTTTATGTCTGCTCATTAGCTTACCAATGCCTCTATTTAAAATATGAATGAAGCATGGTATGAGATAATATCTGGATTTTTGAAAAAGTCTGGAGAGTTCAGATTTCTCTCCATTTAAAGTTTGAATCAAATGCTTATGAGTGAAAATGTTAAATAGCAACTGTCTGAGATGTAAATACTTTTTAGATTTGTAAATATAATTGTTTATGTGTAAAGATGTTATTTATCAAAAAATAAAAAGTATAGGCTATTTGTTGTAAAAATGTCTAGATTTGTGTGGATCATAACTTGGTTAAGTAGAAGAGGATTGGAGATAAACCATAGTTCACAAACCCATTTATTTTCTATTTTCTTAACATTAATATTACAGACCAGTGGCCAGGATTTGCCAAGGGGAGGGTCATTTTTTGAAAAATTCCAGGGGGGTTCACTTTTGACAATTTTGGTTCAAAAATGGCCAATATCACTTAAAAAGTGCTCAGAATGATGGAAAACTGCATGATTTGCCAGGGGGGGGGGTCGCTCGAACCCATCGAACCCCCCCCCCCCTGGCTATGGACCTGTATTATAAATGGCCTAAACATATTCCTTACATTTTTATCACAATGTTACTTTACATTACCACGCCCAGTGTCAGAGTGTATATAAGACATTATAAGAGATGTGACTCGACTTTTAAGTCCTGCTCCAAATTTCCTCATTTTTTTTTCTTCAGAGGAGTCATTTTTTCATTCTTCAGAGGTGTCATTTTTTCATTCTTCAGAGGTGCCATTTTTCATTCTTCAGAGAATTAACATCCAGTTTCTCACTAAGTTACTGAGTTCAATTTTCAAATACAAGAATTTGTGTAAAGTTGTTTCACTTTATAGACATATTGCTCCCCCTCTGCCTGAGTCACATTTTCTATTATTTTCTGTACAACATATGGAAACTTATTTTATAAAGTCAGCAATGGCATTAATTTAGTTATGAAAACGTCACTTACAAGTATTTATTACAGGTTGTGTAGACTATTGTTGCTTGATTTATATAAAAACTAAATTAATGCTATTGCTGATAAATGTCTATAAAGTGAAAAAATTTGTGCTACATGACACTAGGGGAATCCATGATTCCAAGTGCAGCTTAAATTCTACCTTATTGGTCTATGACATCATATATTACTGCTTGGTCAGAAGTAATTTATTGAGCATCAGTGGCTCAGAAAAAATGGACGATTCAAAATTGCTTTGAAAAAATTATAGTTTCTGGCATCATTAAGCAACATTACCAGTAATCACACCCAGTGATCATGATGGAGAGGGGGAGCAGGCAATTTCTGCTAGAAAAGGTTTAATATTGAATTGCTGAATGGATAGGCGCACAGTATGACATGTATGGTAAAATATGTTAGGATTTCTGAGATTTTTACTTAACTGATATACTTCCAAGATATGAGATCTATATTATTAACTAATATATAAAACATTGACTTGTGCACGTTGGTGGCCTTGCACCTTTTATAATTATAGATCTCATAATAATTCTTAATTTAATTCTTCATTTATGAGTGATATCATACTCCACAATTTCATACTGTGCAACCACAGTTTAACATTCAGAACACGAAATAACATTTCAATATAATTTACAAAATTTATTTTATCTTTTTATACATTATCTTATATATGTACAAAAATGTACAATTTATTTTAATACTCACAATGTGTCCCAGAAATAGACAAGAATAAGATTCATGTTTTGGGCACACCCTGTAAAAAGTACACAATTGTTCTAGCCTATGTACTTACACCACCCTAAATAAGTTTGTAAAAAGTACACCATTGTTACATGTAATTACACCCCTCTAAATAAGTCTAGTAATGCAAAGTCTCCATTAGATAACTTGTTTATGTAAATGTTAAAATGTTTTAACATCTGAAATCTAAGAGCAGAAATTTTTAACAGATTTAAATAATTTTTTTTTCAAAATTGCCAGAAATTTAGAAGACTTTTTCACATAAGCTGAAAAGAGACTTCAATTTGCGAAACATTTGGAGGGGAGTGTATATTTATACGTACAATCACAATGGTAAACATATTCAAACTTGTTGAAATATATCCATACAAAATGAACAGGGTGTCAAAAAAGTATGTATCACATTTCATACATTTTCATAATATTTTCAGACACTCTGTTCAAATCGCTGTTATACGTAACTTATGTTACACATCAACACCATTTACATTTCTAATGCTTACAACTAGATATGTGCTTTAAGCGACTAATTTTGTGCTGAATGCTGAACATAAGTCTCATAATTTTTTCCCATCCTACATCTTTGAATAATACATAACCAGATAATCTAAACACACACGTTTAAATTGATACTAAAATATGTTAAGTCAGTTTTATTTGGTACTTAGCTATAAATAAAAGAATCAATGAATAACATAATAATAAACACATTTCAGATAAACATTTTTGATGAATGTAAATTTTTGAGGACGGCTTTATACTCTTACGGAATGCAATACATTACATAACATGACTAATTGATTGGAGACATAAAATAGAATATTTTTAGGTATCTACTTTCCATGCCTTTTTCTGCAATTTTATAATTCATAGTGATGGCTATTTATTTTACACCTTGTCATTTCTACTTCCTTTTTAAACCATGACAAACATAGTATTTTCCTCGTTGCATTTTGCCCATAAAATATGATTGGAAAAAAATTATCGTTTTTTTGAGATATTGGACGGATTGATTGTTCAGGTGTAGCCGGGTTCAAAAAGTAGGTGAGGCTTTAAGTAGGCAAAACAAACGCATATACATCCTCCGATCACAGAGCTTCAAAATCCAGAATATATTCTTTCTTTTTACCCCCTGCGATAAGCAGTTAGCATTTCCCCGATTAAGAACTGGCAATCTGATTGGCTGTCTCAACACTGCGACAGAAATCATGTAAAAGTCATTGCGCATAATTAGATCACGTGATTCAGTTAAATCGGGCGCTCCCAAATTGGTTATAGCAGGGGGGAAGAAGGAGGTACAGATTCTAGACACATGCTTAGGAGGATGACGCATATAGGGAGGCACAATTTTAGCAAAGAGAATATCATACCTCAACTCATAATTTTGACAGTTTTAGTAAGAAATTCTAATACTATTTTTCTTTAAATCTTTGAGGTGAGGCATCTTGCCTCATCTGCCTCAACATCTTGCCTCATCTGCCTCAACTTATAGCCTCACCTATGCAGTAACATTAAATATTTATAAGACATTTACTCAATAACTACAAAGAGTATTTTTGTATATCATATTGGATGGAATAAAAGACAGATCTCAAGCTCAAATTCAGTTGACACATTGGATGGATACATTGTACATTTTATAATATCCTACATCTATTTGACTTTAGTTCTTAAAATATTGGATGGATTTTCGAAATAAGATTTCTCAATAACTTTTCTCTTTTATAAGCTTGGCTTATATTACTATATGTGCACTTATGTAAAAAGTAAATGCTTAAGCAAATAGCATAAGCTTTATTTTGTCATGTTTTACACTAAATAACCTCTCTACAATTTTAAAAAATTGAGAGAATCCAAACTACTCTATACAATTTAGAACGTTCACTATATGCCTGTTTACTTTATTCCTTGCAGAATTCTCTCTTTTGGCTCTATTTTGCAATTCAAAACATTATCTAAATTAACTATAATTGTTTTTTCTAACTAATATCACAGCTGTTTCCTTTAAAATCTCAATTTTCAGTCTTATTTCATTCTATTTCTCTATTACAACTGATTTAAGTGAGACAGTGGACATATTTACAATTTTTGGTATACTTATTTTTATATACACATCTACCACCGTGTGGTGGGACTTCATTCAGACATCTTACACAGATATTCTCTTTTCGCTCTTATATCACATTTATTCGACATCTCCACGTCATGTTTATTTGACATCCCCATGTCACATTTATATGACATCCCATTAATAACACATTCATAAAAATAAGCATCATTATCACTTTCTTAACTAGGTTAAAATAATGTTACTTCTTTCAAAACTTGATTGTCATCGTGCTTTTAATTAATTTATATTAAATATGGATTAAAGTGATATACTTAATACAATGACAGACCAATTGAGTTATTCACACTTGTGATATCTGACTGAAAATAAAATTGAATGATATTTTTACTTACATTTTTTAAATGTTTAAATTAAATGTTAATCTACGTGATCAATTTTATTTTTATTGGATGTTTGTTTCAAAATTTGCATTTGCTAGATGGTCTGTACTGTAAATTATATAAATGTAATGCAACTCTTCTATCAAATCAGATCTCAAAACCAGTTCTAAATGAATACATATGCTAAAACAATTCAATAAATGGATGTTCACTGCAGAATTAGTTTGTATATATTTGTTTTTTAACTTTTCTATTGATTAAAGTTTTCTGCTTTTTTTGTTAATGTTAGCTAAATGCCCCTAAGGTGTCAATTTTTAACAAAAGAGGGCATGACAGTCCTTCATAGGATCCCAAGTAAAAAGCGGAAAGGAGTATAAATGTAAACATCAAATATCACTATAGATTTAATATCACTGAAGCCACTAAGGCATCATTTTTGTTATGAATATTTTGATTTCTTCCACTTTTTGAAATCGTTATATTGGAGGCAATTTTTAGTCGGTTTATAACCATATGTCGTGTTGTATCAGTGGCACTCTCGTCTCGAACGTCCACCTGTCCACATATTTCCTGTGGCGCCACCTTTAGAGATTGCATTGTACTAAGTTCTGCCCTTTTTCACAACTGCACGTTACTTACAGCTGTATAAAAGCTGTATATAACTGAGTATTGTTCAGCTGCAGCTGTGCATTTTGAGCAGTAGTTCTTGAAACCTGTGTTTGGTGTCATGAACTTTTTGTGGTGGTTCATGAAAATGTTGGTGGTTCCAGCGAATAAGATCCTTTGAGAGGTGGAAGTGCATTTGGTGGTGGTAACCGTGGTTTTGAAAATGAATCATTCAGGAATGAATCGTTGGAGACCTGAAAATTAAAAAATAAATAACAATAGTTTTAAAAATGACAACATCAATTTTTATTGTAGGTTACTGCAACTTCATACATGTTAAAACACGAAAAAACATGTTGATTGTTAGAAAACACGTTAATTGTTAAAATAAAACAGCAAAAAAGAAACATTTCCAAGCAAAGAAACAAATAGTATTTGAAATAAAGTAAACAAAGCACAACCTAAAAACTCTAATAACTATGAGTTCAAACTAGCGACACTGCACATTAAATTAAGGAATGGTGCCTAGAAGACAGGGTCCATGTCCATGTAGGTAATTGTCGGACATTCAATGTATGCAATCATTTGTCGGACAATTACCAACATGGACGACATTGCCATGACAGTTGACACCCTGTACTCTAGTAGTCGCTAATTGTGGAAAATGAAGTGATTTTTATGGTTTGCTGCCCCCTCCCCTCTCATAAAAAATGTAATGATGATTTGTCATTTACTTAAATTATCAAGAGATCGACACTCTCCCCTAGCAATATCATCACAAAATATCCCCTTTGGAATTATATGTCATTTCTCCACAAATATTGATAATTGGGACACCATTATTTAAGGTAAGCAGGGTAGAGGTTTTTTAAAACCTATTTGCACATGGAACACATATTAAGTACTCAGAAATCACCCTACCCAGTCTACCTTAAGAGTTAGATAAATAAAAAATAAAAAACACTACTCACTAGTCAAACCTACAGATTTCACTCAACCAAACGCATATCTACATTTTCTACACTATCTAGCAAGAAACAAATTTGTGAAATCCTTTTCCTTGGGTTGTTTCGATTCATTCTCATCGGCTGTGTTATAATTAGTTTTAGTTAGATTAGAAGAGGATGAGGTAGAGTCCTAAAGAAATGAAATTTAGAGGTAAAAGTATGAGAAAATGCCATTGGGGTCATGGTTTGAAATGTAAAATAGAGTGGTAAAGAGTGGAATCAGCAAGGAATAAAGTAAACAGGCATGTAGTCAACACTCTAAATTGTATAGAAATGCAAGAAAATCAGACACTTCTTTCAAATTTTAGAGAGAAATAGAGTGAAATAAGCATGAGCAGACGGACATTTTACAAATGCAAGAAAAATCTAAAACTTCTTTCAAATGCACTGTGGGAAGGCATGACCGAGTTCAGGTCATGATAATTTTACTTTATTCAATCAAAATGAACAGTTTTTTGGTTGCTAAGTAACTTTATACCTTGTTGATTCCTTTTTCCACTCCATTTTTGCATTTGAAATATGACCACCTTGACATTTTCTTCAGTAAAGGATATTTAGAGTTCAAACAAACACACACAGGAATTGGAGATAAGAATAATTAAGCAACTCTAGACATTGTTCAATATACATCTATAAAAGCTATTATAATATGAAGAGCAAAGCTTATATGAAAAAGATAAGAAATTAAAACAAATCAAAGAAGCACTCAAAATACAAGCACGATAGAAGAACAAATGCACAATCGAACTATCTAATTTAGGAGTGTTAGTAATATCTTGTAATAGGAGCTCGAATTTTAACTTTTGTTAGAATTTAAAATATATTTAACTAAAAGTGAAATGGCTTTAGTTCTAGGATATGCCAACTGTTCCACTTGGGAGGTGTTCCGCTTACAGAAGTGATTCACATTACAGGTTTAACTGTATCATTATTATAGCAAATCCTCATTTATAATTTGAGCATGCAAATAATTATAATTTTGTGCAAGCCTTTTATAACCTACCCCTTTAGTAGACCTCTCTTTACTAGTTGTGAAAATATCACTATCTTGAGATAAAGGAGCGGAGTCCATTCCTCCGGCGTTGGCTCTTTCTCTATCACGCTGAAATCAAATTAATTATAAATTAGGTCAAACATAGGTCAATATTATTCACAGATGAATATCCCTTTACTAGTTCACTCTAAAGTTTGAATAAAAGATCTGTTTTCTCACATTTCTCTGTAATTTAAAGTCTCAATTCATGCCAATTTACTTTATTCCTTGTTGACTCCGTACCCTCCACTTTATTTTGTATTTTAGGAAACGACACAGAAAAAATCCATATAGGGGATCCAGCTATACACAAAAAAACATTAATTTAAATTTAGACCTACGAGACGTTTGAAAATTAAGGATTATCAGACACACAATCCTTGAATTTCAAATGTCTGGGAGGTCTAAAATTCAAATTAACGTTTTTACGTGTATAGTTGGACGCACGGGTCAAAGCAAACCCACAATATCAAATAAAATGTTTGACTGAACACTTCTGTTTGGAGCAGAACACTTTTTTGGATCCACATATTCCAACGCATATTGTTCCATTAAACATGTTCGCCTAACCCCCCTATCACACCAAACTAGTTCTTGCCCGTTCTTGCCAGTCCTACGAAAACGTCGTCAAACGGGCTCAATCTGGCTGTGGTCGGGAAATATGTCTGAAATAATTAGCTTCTTCGTTCTTAAACAGTCTTCAATACGTCCGTCTCGTTCGCAGTTCGTTCAGGTCGCACCACGTCGGAGTGCAACGTCGTAGAACGCGTCCCTTAGTCAAGAAGGTCAACATGACCTGATTACAGGACGGTATGGTCGTCATCGAATTTTGAATCGATTCAAAATTCTAAAATCACATTCCCGTCTGAGAAAGTTCATAAAGTTCGTAAATAGACGTTATAAAGTTGCCGCTACGTTCATTCCGTTCGCACACAGTTTAAAACCAGTTTTGAAGAACGCAGTGGCAACTTGTTTGGTGTGATAGCTATATTTTTGCTAACTCGTTCATAAGCAGTGTTAAATACGTTCTTAATCAGTTTAAACCCGTTTGCAATTAGTTCTACCTCGTTCTCAACACGTCCGCAGACAGTTCAACTCGTTATTAAAACGTCCCTAGTAGGATTGAAGTACGACGGTTCCGTTCGTAGTACGTCCAGTTCGTCGTTAGTACGTTGTCACTCGTTCTAATTGTAGAACGTGACGACCACGAGAACATTTTGAGCATTGTCTAAGTACTAGAGGACCTACCCGTTCGAGTACGTTCGATGAAGTTTGTAAATAGATCCCAAACGGTTCTTAGTAGGTCCAGTCCGTTTGTATACAGTTGAAGCCCGTTTTCGAGAACGCAGTGAGAACTAGTTTGGTGTGATAGTAGGGTTATATCTTTATATGGTCTTGATCGAGAATCTTGCATTTAAAACTTTTTTCATATTGTCCAATCAGCAGATTTTTATTGCTAGATCAACCCATTTGTGGGACATTTGACACATCTATACAATGTATCCCATAATGCAACAGATATAGTAGACGTATATAAGGAGCAAAACAGACACACAGGGTTCTGTTATTCATAATATTGTGAATTATATGATTCATGAAATTCAATAGTTTTAATTTAAATGTTGCCATAGTAACATCAAACAACATTGACAAACAGGAGTTATAATTTTGTGACTCATGTAAGAAATATAAAAAAATGCTAGTAAGTGTGCATGCACACAGATTGTGTTTTTCTATAACTATATTATTAGTTCTATATAATACTTATAGGCATGCAAGTCTAGGGTATAGATAAATATACAAAATACAATCAATAATAAAAACATTGAATGTTAAACCCAACCCTAGATATTCACAATTCTTCAGGTTAACACCATTTTAGAGCCTAATAGCTTACTGTTAAAAACATCCTCAAAAAAAATCTTTTGACTTTTTCACGTATATTGCAGTTTCACAATTCCTAAAATCAGTTGTATTTCCTGACATTAGTCTAAAGAATTAAGAATAAGAAAAACAACTGATTCTTAAATTGTGAATACTCACAATCGCATACTTGTACTCACTCTCATATTTGTTGGAAATAACTCTCAGAGTATGTTTTTCAACAGTTAAACTTCAGCTCGATAATTTTTACCTTTTTCTTCCGCCTCCGTTCAGAACGCTCAGATCGCTCTGGTTTGAGTTCAGGGAGATCTGAACTATTGCTATCTTTGCGGGGAAGCGGTGGCGTCGAGGGCACCGGCTCACTATTGAGTGGCAAAGCCTCATTCTTGGTTAAATCGTCATGGTTACGCTACAGACAGACAGAGGTACAATATATACTAGCCACACCACCAAGATAAGACCACCAAAAGTTGATTTGATTTTGTATATCATGTACTTAGATTTGAATCCTGTTTGGAAATATGAAATGACTGATGCATACATGTATATTTCACCCATTTTCACCCAAGTGAATAGAATAACTAATAATAGGCCTTTCAGATAAACCCTCCAGTACGCCCCCAAGGAAACCTTGACATATATTGACATTTTTAAACATTTTTGAAAATGGATTACATGTCTCTTTAAGTCATTCCTTGCTAATTCCAGTTGATTTCACATTTCAAAACAAGACCATTTGAAATTTCAGTCACTATACTAGATCTTAATGGCGTAATGGCTCACATAATTTGCATGATACAATTTCTCAAACATTCTCAATGTACATTGTTAGAAGTTTGACAATTCACCATGCAAATTAATATTCATAATTATAATAAAAACATGCTACATAATTTGAAACAGAGGATGTACATTAGCAATCCCATAATGCTCAAATAATGAAAATGCATTGATAAACAAAGCACTAATCAGATGAAATGCTAATATTGCAACTTGCATTTTCAATATACAAATTTGTTTTATTGCTTTAATCATTTGAATTAGATTTCAATGATTTTTTATCAACATCCCGATTATACCGTTAGCTGATCTAGTTCATGGTATAATCAGAGCATTTATACTTAACCTGAGAATCTCAGAACAGTACATGAGGGGTATAGGGTTAAATGGGTACAGGATTAAATGGGCATAGGGTTAAATGGGTATAGGGGTAAGTGGGTATAGGGTTAAATGGGTATAGTTTAAATGGGTATCGGGTTAAATGGGTATTGAGTTAAATGGGTGTAGGGTTAAATGGGTATAGGGTTAAATGGGTATAGCTTTAAATGGGTATAGGGTTAAATGGGTATCGGGTTAAATGGGTATTGGGTTAAATGGCTATAGGTTTAAATGGGTATAGGGTTAACTGTGTATCGGGTTAAATGGGTCAGGGTTAAATGGGTATCACATTAAATGGGTATAGCTTTAAATGGGTATAAGGTTAAATGGGTATCAAGTCAAATGGGTATAGGTTTAAATGGGTATAGGGTTAAATGTGTATAGGTTAAATGGGTAAAGGGTTAAATGTGTGTAGGGTTAAATGGGTATAGAGTTAAATGGGTATAGCTTTAAATGGGTATAGGTTTAAATGGGTATCGGGTTAAATGGGTATAGCTTTAAATGGGTATAGGTTTAAATGGGTATCAGGTTAAATGGGTATAGGGTTAAATGGGTATAGGTTTAAATGGGTATAGGTAAACAGTTCAATATAAATATAAACAGAAAATATAAACAAACAATTATATCATTATTCTCTTCCCTCATATACATAATCTAGAAATGAAACTGGTCATGAAGGTTGATGTAGATACTTTTTGACCTTGACCCTGAATAACCTTTAAATTTGACCGTATAATTTCAAATGTCCTTGACATCGATAAAATCAAACTGCTCATATTAGAAACATAAAATTCAGCAATGTTCATATATTTGTCATGTTTGACTCTGCGCAAGCGATGTGACATTATGAATAAAATATGTAAATTTCTGCCCTGAAACTGTAAGAATGACATCATGACCAATATGTGGCGGGCTTTATTGGGTTGGTCTATTAATATTCAGTTAACTAGCTTAAACTCAGCACTTATTTTGGCCCCTGTATCCATAACGCAGTTTTCCTAAAGTTGTTAAGAGGATATTTTAGAAAAACATCTAAATGGTGTTAGATGCACACAAATCACACACTCAGAGACACTGTGATGAAGAGTATATAGTAATTCACACCAACACAACCGAATAGACATAGAGCATTACAATGGTAGAAATAAATTACACACCACTGATATAAATTATCCAATCAGAATTAAGGAATTACGAGCCATTTTTGGGACTATAAGACTGTGTTGGAAAACACTGTAAAATGTTATTAGTAAACCAAGATTTAAACTTTTGGGAATCAAAATTCAAAAATGAGACGCAATTAAAACCAAATAAAACATAGAAATTCCACGATGAAAACAAAAACAACAACAAAAATTCACTCAATCCAAAAATGCCATCAATGCAAATCTGCGATTAAATTACCTCATGTCTTGCAGAACGTCCACGATCTTGCTTGCGATTTTTACCTAATAAGGGTGGAGTGCTTGACGCGGAATCGACAGGAGCTGGTGAGTCGTCGGGTGTGTTGTCAATGGGTGCAGTAGGACGCTATTAAATAAGGTGAATGGTAAAGATACAGTTTGCCTATAGCATAGGCAGCACCAAAAGTTACGAAGTGATAAAGGAGAGTTGGAGCATCTTTACGTCAGGCCAGAGTAAATAAAATTGGTTCTCTTCCAAGAAATCAAAATAAAACATGTTTATCAATACACCTCTGTAATCTAAACATCTCTAAATGTGAACTCTTTTTTTCGATCTCATTTTCTGAAATATCTGAAATAGATAACCCTCGCTAAAAACATAGAAAACATGTTAGAAATGTCCTAGTGGAATTCTAATTTACTAAATTGAAAAAGATAATCCAATTTCACTCAAAAATTAAACAAATTAACAAAGGCACAGGAACCCAGTAATAGAGATCAGTTTTCTCGGTTCCTTTAGAAAATATTGCTAGTTTGAAAACAGAAAATAGTTTCAAAATGACAAGAACCAATTATATATTACGTTGGCCTGAATCAGGAAAGATTTGCAGCGTGTAATCAATACTCAAACCTATCTGACTATTATGTAGTATCTACCTCATTTCAGTATAAGTGCACATAGATACCTTAAAACATGTTGTTGTTAATCTAATGACAGATGATATCACACTTAAGTTATAGCCCAGAGCTTTAAACTAAGTAAAATTTTCTCAGATTTGACTCAATCAGCGATTTGCAGGCCCGAAACAAGGATTTGCAAAGGGGGTTCACATTTTGAAAAATTCCAGGGGGGTTCACTTGTGACAATTTTGGTCCAAAAATGGCCCAAATCACTTAAAAAGTGCTCAGAATGGTGAAAAACTGCATGATTTTGAAAGATCTTTTGGCCAGGGGGGGGGGGGGTACGCTCAAACCCATCGAACCCCTTCTGGCTACGGGCCTGATTTGTGTCAATGGCAAAATGCGGAATAAAGTAAAATCTGAGAATTGTCTACAGTTTAAACTATATTCAACTATTATAAGATTGGTTCTATGTACAAATAGTTACAACTATCATTACAGGGTCATATAACCCAGCGGTGTATTCTGTGTAGCATTCTCTACCTACAGTATTTTTGGGAGAACAGGGGGGTACCCACTACCCATTTAGTTTCATCAACGAAGTTTTTTTCAAAGTATGATTTAATTTAATTGAATTAAAGTGCTCACCGAGGGAGTTACTCAATATTATTACTGGGCGAAATAACATTACGAGAATTATGTATGTTAAAATTATATAAAGAATTGCGAATGGTACCAGAGAATTACAGTCATGTGCATTACCAAAATATCACTGAATAGACCCCAAAGCCATTTCTTGGGCTTTGCAAATAAATTGGACAAAGCTCTTGAAGAAGCAGTGAAATCATATGTTTACAATAAAAGCAATTATACAAATTATATGCATATACAAGGGCTGATCAAAAAGTATTGACAAAGAATTTATAATAATAAACTTTTTGATCAACCCTTGACAAAATCCACAAAATGGCTTCAAAGAAGCAGGTCTTGTATATATGACCCTCCTTACCTTTTTCCTACGCCGTTTACCCGACCGAGATTTAGTAGTTGGAGGTCTCGGTATAGGTGGCGTATCAGGACGTTCTCGACTCTCCAGTAAAGGAGGAAGAAAGTTTGAAGCTCGACTAGTTGGATTAGACTGATACTGTAGAAAAAGACAACAACTAAACACTCAAAGAAAACTTAAATTAGATGTGTTACAACAGTGAATTCTGCCTGAAGTAAAATGTCTGTCATCCCCATGGTTACTCCAAAACAATTTTCTTCAAAATTTGGATGGCGTGTCTGATTTCCTGACATATTTATGTAATTTAAGTGCTGACAACGAATCTGTTCATTTCATTCCTCACTAATTCCTCTAATTCCTCTTGATAAAGCGTCTCATTTTCTTGCATTTCTACCAATTTAGAGCGTTGATTGCACGTCTGTGATTAATTTATTCCTTGCCGATTTCCCACCATTCCATTCTATTTTGCAGTTTTTAAAATAACCGAGGCTAGACATTTTACTTGCAGACAAGTGCTTACATAGAACAGTGAATATATTAAAAAGTATGCAAGTGAAGAAATACATTTTAAGATTACTACAACAAATATAGTATAGTTTACAAATAAATAAAAAAGATCAAAATGAAACTGTTAATAACAAATAATATAAAATGAAAAAACTCATGCTACATAGGATCTGTGGCCACCACACTAACAAATAGGGCATTAAACGTAATGTGATGTCCCCTGATATTGTTAGTAATACAAAAGTACATACATCAGAAGTTTGAGGAAGACTTGACGCCATGAACAGCCCTACTGGGGGTGTTTTAGTATCCATAGGGGGTGGTTTAGTATCCGCCAGAGGTGGCTGGGCATTCATAGGGGGCGTAACAGCATCTTGCCCCCCTCTTTCTAGGGGGGTTTCTGATTCTGACCCCCTATTGTCAGAGTCGGGCTGATAGGACGGTGCAGTAGGCTAAAGATACGACACATACTACGTGTAAATGCTTTGATATCATTGGTCAGTATCAAGGGAGCGCTAGTGTAATGAAACATGAAAATGTTTAGATTACAAAGATGGCTGAAGGTGCTTCAATGAACCAATCAAATTCCTTGAAGATCTTCAGCCATTTTAGATTGTGGTCCAAAAATCGTAACCCAGTCAGTATCAGCCATTTTGAAAAATATGTTAACGGGTGTTACTGAACCCTGATACTGACCAGTGAACATGCGAGATAAGACCGTTTCATAATTACCAGAGAATCTTGGCTATAAACAACATCCAGCTAAAAGGAAAGGTCTTACAATTGGCTTTCAATTAATCACGTAGTACTCCATAGTCTCATAGATTCATAAAACAAGACCCATTATTTCTCATATATAAGACCTTGGTCTCTTCACTGGAATTTCTTAAAGGAATATTCCTTGCCAGACCCTTTCTCTCTTGATATGGTAGCTATAATCATACTATATATAGTTTCCATATTTAGCAATATTTAGCAAAATTTTTTAATATGGTCAATATTGATCATTTAAAAATCTAGTGGTTATTTCCAATGAGCTGCCATCTTTTAAGATTTCTTGCAGGAAGTGATGTCATCAACTCTCTGTGAAATTTTAAAAGATGGCAGCTTACTCGAATTGAGCATCACATTTCTAAGTGATCAAATTTGACCATATCAAAATATTGCGTGTTTTGCTAAACATGGCAAGCATATATATGGTTATAGCTACCATATGAGGAGAGAGATGGTTTGGCAAGGAATATTCCTTTAATGATTTATGACAGATTATTGAACAATATCATAAGAATCATCATATTTTAATATAAGGCCCTGGTCTATTAGCCAAAAATCTCCAGTTTTATGTCAACGATATAAGTTAGAAATAAATTAATAATTCTTAACACGCGACTACATTAAACTACACTACAATTCACTACACTACACTGCATATTAGTATCAAAATACACTTTAAATGCATGTTAAAAGAAAAGCAAATTATTCTATAGTACCATACCTTATATTTTGATGCCCGTTTTGGAGAGAACCTTCTTTGGTGAGATTGACTATTGTTACTATGGTGACTATTTTGTTTGTTCTGGTAACCATTTTGGTTGCTATGGTGATTGTTTTTGTTACTATGGTGATGACTTGTTGTAAACATATCAATTGTACTTGTATTGAATTCAGCCTGAGTGGTTTTAGTTTCAAACTGAGTAAAGAAAATACAGATGTGAGAAACAAAGGGAAATGCGTATATATACAAACTAAAAAAAAAACTTTCTGCGCTGTAAAACTTTTGTGCGCAATTATAGACTGATATAAAGGAGTATTGGCGACCCAGATTCCTTTCCAATTCTTTGACTGGCAGGGAACAATTTGGATTTAATATCACTATAATGTTCTTAGACTAAGTTTTAGCTGGGAGATAACAATTATGGTAATATTATGACCAAATTGGTCCATTATGCTGTTTTGCAAGTAATGCTGGACATCAATCCTCCTTAAACAGAGATAGTAAGTAAAAAGGAAGAATTGAAAACAACTTACAACAACAAAAAACAGAGCAGAAATTAAAATGAAGGAACTTTTCTGAAGAAATAACATGCCTAATGAACTACGAAATACAACCCTTTCACTCATGAGCATTTTAGAGATAGCGAAAAAACATAACACTTGCATGTGTTACCTGACAGCTTCAAATATTCTTGCTTAAAAACTCAGAACCGAAGATGCAAAGTTAAGTAATGGGAGAGAAGGGTCACAAAGTCTGAGCTAGACTAGCTTAAAATAAAAGGGCTGAAAAGTAGTTCATCTAAGTCTGTTACATTACTCCAAATATGGTAACAAATTTTCAATGTACTTTTCAGAATTCCCTTACCTTTTTTGTGCGTTCATGGGAGGTAGTGAACAGATCTGTTGGTCCGTTATCTGAAGAATCTGACCTTGAAACCTGCGTGATAATTTTACCAAGCTAGCGTTACTAAGACGAACAAAGCAACAAGCAATAGAGTATAAAACATGCAAGGCCAGGAAAAATCTTATTATTGGGCCTTCTTTTTGGAAAATGTTAATTAATTTTTGTCTTTATGCATCTTCGTTCACTCGGCTCCCGTCAGAACGCAGTGAAGACCGGAGTGTGCGAAGATGGTCTTTATGTTTATTTTTACGAAATAGATTTTTCCCGGGAGATTTTTCCTGGTCAATAAGTTTTGAATATCACTTGAGTCATATGCAATGTTATTAATATCAAGTACATGGATCAGGGAGGGGGCTACTTTTATAATATATGACAGTAATCAGGGCTCTCACCAGGAAATATTTAGGGTGTGGTGCAAACATCTTCAGCATTACCGTTCAATCGTGATAAATCATATTTATGTTATATTTTATCCTTTTTACATGCTATTATTGTATATTCAGTCACATTTAGACTGTGGTAACAATCATGATTTGCCAGTAGGATGTGGTGGGAGCTAAATAGAGTGTGGTGCTGCGCCACAGTCTAAAAGCCTGGCGAGAGCCCTGGTAAAGTACTGTACAACCAAGTAACCCCCCTGCCCTCATTAACACATACTATGAAATAAAATTAATAAATACATGCGATAGTAGTGTAAGCAAGCATACTAGTATACAAATTGGTACCATTGAGATATCTAAAATAATTTAAACAATACGTCTGAATTCAAGCTCGGTATATTTTCAGGAAAAATTGTTTCAATCTATATCTAATAGTACAGAAGTATATTTTGGGGTAATATTGCTTTTTCAAGAAAGTGTTAGAATCCATCATGCTTTTGCATGCTAAAACACACACTTTGGTCATAATAATTTCATAACATTCTCTCAAAAAATGCCTGTCTGCTCATGATAATTTCCCACAGTTCTCTAAAACATTTGAATAAACTGCTTCATTTTCTTGCATTTCTATACAATTTAGAGTGTTAACTTCATGCCTGTTTACTTTATTCCTTGCTTATTTCACTCCATTTCTCTCTAAAATTTGAATAAAGTGTCTGATGTTCTTGCAATTTTATACAATTTAGAGTGTTAACTTCATGCCTGTTTACTTTATTCCTTGCTTATTTCACTCAATTTCTCTCTAAAATTTGAATAAAATGTCTGATGTTCTTGCAATTTTATACAATTTAGAGTGTTAACTTCATGCCTGTTTACTTTATTCCTTGCTTATTTCACTCAATTTCTCTCTAAAATTTGAATAAAATGTCTGATTTCCTTGCATTTCTATACAATGTAAAGTGTCCACCACATGCCTGTGTATTTTATTTCTTGCTAATTTCACTCCTTTCCACTCAATTTTACTTTTTAAAAATGAGTGTTTTTTATTTATCTCAAAGACTTACCTCTGTATTCACTTGATGTTTGAATCGGGACTGTTTTGCAGTAAACATGTCGGAATTATCCGTCTCCTGTGATAGAAGGGGAGATCCACGCTGTTGCTATAGTTACACAAACAAGAAGCCGAGTCATTACAAATATATAGAAATAATGTGTATAAGCGTGTAATTTTTTAACGAATATTTTGAGTGCAAAAGTGGAGAAGTGATAAATACAATATAGACTGAGAAGCAGGACGATGAACACATCTAGTTAAAATATTACGTCAAGTGACTACAGATTTTGGGTCAACCATTAGATTCTGGAGGACTAGCCTTATTCAGAAGAAAGCCTGGGATTGCATTTTGAATGAAATAATCTTATCATTGCAATATAAGCAAAAACAAGGAATTCACATGTGAAATGTCATCACCTGCCATTTGTTACAGATGCTGAACAGCAGACGCCACCCACAGAACACCAGCCAGAAAAAGGTTGGAGACCATAACAATAAATAAATCACCATTTGTGGTGATAAAATAAAACTATATGTTTAGTTTCTTTGGAATAGGCAAAAATTCTTTGTGTGGGTATTCACCAAAATTCTTTTTACACAGGCAGACACCCAGCAATCTAATGAATCGACCCTCAATGTGATGAAAAGAAAAGACAAGATAGATATGAACACAAGATAGAGCAGGGGTTTCATTAGCAGCAGGCAACAGGCTATTTTCACCAGTTGTTTTCACAAAATCGCCGGTTGTTTTTAGGGACATTTCAACTTTTCCATGTTAAATGATGATTTCCATTAATTTCGCCTGTTGTTTTAATCTATTTATAGCCTGTTGTGAGAAATTCTAGTGAAACCCCTGTAGACATACATTTTTTTATCCACCTACCTTATAGCCCTGCTGAGCAGTAAGGTCAAGGTCGGACCTTGAGAATGCTTTGTTATCATATTGTCCCCCACTCGGAGCGGGTCTCTGTTAGTAACGAAGTGAAAGAGAAAAAACACACTGTGAAAAGTTGTTTTCAAGCTCCAAATTATCACACCCTGGAAACTGATTTATTTTCATTCAAGCAAAGACAAAAATAGTATTTTCAGATGTGTTTATGCCATTTCTATGATCTTTTGAAAGCCAATGATTAGAAATACATCTCGGTAAAGCTGAAGTTCATGTTGAAGTTTTACATTTTTGAATTTTCTTGATACCAAAATGTTGATTATGCAATGTTTCAGTTCCAATGTAAGATGAATGGAAGCTTTAATAATTAGTGAAATATTTTGTTGAAAATAACCCTAATGTTGAAAATAACACTAATGCTACTATAAAATCTATGAGTCTATTTCTACTATAAAGTCTACAGAATTTCTACTTCAAGTCTTTAAATTGGATTTAGGAAAGACAGATATGTTAGATAATTTGAAGAAAATAGTCTCAGGAAATCACAGGAGGTCAGACAGTCCAAAGCTATTTCAACCTTTAAATAACTATTGGCCATAATGTACAGTAGGAAAATTAGTAAGAATAAGAATTATGAAAAAATAAAAAAGTTATAGCATTTTTATCAGTACTTGTTGAACGCCCTGTATAACTGCTGAAACATGCATTAATGACATGCTACAGGTACATGAATTAACAATATACTATATTTTTCAAAATGCATCATGAACTGATACTTTAAATATCTTGGGACAGATAATCATGGGTAACAGAGTGATTCATGGGATTGACTGTACCTCCTTCAGTGAATTTGTAATTTAAATCATATCTAAACTGATGAATAAATGCCATGATAACATTTTAAAATTCAAAACAGAGTGAAAAAGAGTGAAATTAGCAAGGAAAAGGTGAACAAGCATGGAGTCTAAACTCTAAATTGATTAGAAAAGCTAGAAAATTGAATAGTCAATTTGATTTTCAAAAGCAAAATAGAGTGAAAAAGAGAGAAATCAACAAGAAATAAATCAATAGGCATGAAGTTAACACTCTAAAATGTTTAAAAATATAAGAATATCTGATACTTCATTCAAATTTTAAAGAGAATTGAGAGAAATTAGCAAGGAAAACGGTGAACAGGAGTCTACCCAACATTTCAATATATAAAAAAAATCTTCAAAAATTCAATAAAAAGAATGAGATTCTTAAGGAAATAGTTTTGGAAATGTGTTTTTTTCACATATTATTTTACAGGTTATTAATGTTGTTTACTGTAGAAGGAGAGAGAGAGAGAAAGGAAAGATTGCTGATTTTTGTCACTTTGTATAAATGATGATTTTGGAAATGTTGACTAACCGAATGCTTCGTTGCACTGGAGGTCACGAACATATTTGGATTCTTTCTAGGGGCAGCTGAAGAAGGTTCATCAATCCCAGAATCCCCACTCGACTTGGCCTCATTATTATTCTATAGAAACAAAGGTTAGACTTCAAAATATTGGAGCATTCCATCAAACTCATGCAGACAAATTTAATCGTATAAATTATGATATTCAAATAAAAATTGATTGCAGATTAGTTATAATAAAGCAAAGCTCAGATATAGGAGGTAAGGTCAAAGGGAATTTTTGGGGAAATAAAAATTTCAATTAAAGAAACCAGTTTATGTAAAGCCACATATTCTACAGATGCTCATATCTAGATTGTATAGAATACTAAGCAGATCTAGATTTTTTCGGGAAAACAAAAATGTCAATTTAAGGAAACAGTTAATGCCAAGCTATATATTCTACAAATGCTCGTACTCAGTACTTAGATCGCAGAGAATATTATTAGATGTAAATTCTGATTTTCTCATATGTACAACTTAAAATTTCATTTCATTAGAGTCACACTTATCTGAGACAAATTAGTACTATGTATCAGGCATCAATTTGTGCCACTTTTAACAAAAAATTCAGACAGTGTGTTAAAAAATCACCCTTCAGCAGAACAACTGTCTTTGAAGAGAAAGCGTTAATCTATGATTTCAAACTTTGAAGAAAGCAAGACACAGGAGCTTAATTGCACACTTAAGCAAACGCAAGGCATTAACATACAAAATGTCACCACCTGCCATTTGTTACAGACACTGCAAAACACGCCTTGCTGACCACCACCACAAAAATGTTGGAGATTACAACAATATGTCATCACTTTTGGCAGTGACATAATATTATGTTTGTTTAAATAAAATACTAATATTTAGGGCTAAAAATAGAACGCTAGTGTCACAAAGAAAAAAAGCGACACTTAAAGCAATTCATAGCACACATCACTGTTAGAAAGATTTTCAGAAATTCAGACTTACAGGAAAGTGTAGCGGAGAAAAAGCAAGCTCACACGTATATAATATATTTCTAAATCTTTTATTTTAATTCTAGTTGGTAAACTTCTGATATCAACCATATTAAATATTCCTGATTTATGATCGAAAATGTATTTGAATTTTTTTGATGATTTTAACTCGAAGAAATACAAAACCTCTATTATCTTATGTATATAACTAGCTATGAATTTAATATCCACTTACTGTTTTTTCACTTCGCTGATTTGAGACAACGAAAAGATTGGAGAAATTTGGTCCTCTGGGTCCCCCATTCATGTCTGAGCTGGGGGCATAGGGCCTTGCAGAGAAGCTGTCCATGTTTGTCCCCAGGGGCACACCATTTTGCTGGGGTACAGCAGTCATGACACCAATCTAAAAAAATATTACGATTTTTTAAAACTTTTTCATTTTATTTATGATATATCTCAATATTTAAGCTTTATTCAGAGTACTTGAGCATAAATAAATAGAACATTATATTTAATATCTCAGGCCCGTAGCCAGATTTTTTCAAAGCGGGGGGGTTAACTTTTCCCAAAAATTCTAGGGGGGGGGTTCACTTTGGCAAAGTTGGCCAAAAATCACACAAAAAATGGTCAGAATGGTGAAAAACTGCATGCTTTTGAAAGAAATTTTGGTCAGGGGGGGATTCGCCGAAACCCCCTGGCTACGGGCCTGATATCTGAAGGAATTGTTATCATTTATGAGATGTAAGAATGTTGCAACAACATTAACAACGGCTTTTGTCTGTCAAAGCTCTATATTTCGAGCCTTATCAGAAAAATGTGAGTATGCAAGGAACTTTGCATGGAATATGAAAAAATCAGACATGTTCATGCGAATTTCTGACAAGCAAATGAAACAAAAAGGCAAAATTATTGAAAAAAAAATTAGCAGAGAAACAATTGCAAAAATTCCTCAAACCCATGGGCAATTGAAAAAGGCTGATGCTTGCTATCTATAATGAAACAATTAAATTACAAAATATATCTCACATCAAAAGTAAACATAATATCTCCAACTCCATTCAATATTTTACTAACCTGTGATGTCCTGACGTGATAAGGAAAGTTGGTATTGGCCGCAGAAGGTCTTGTTAGAATCTGAAATACCAATTAAATCAATGTAGAATACCAGTTATGATCATAAAAAAGTACAGTTCCATTAAGGCATTCAAAAAACGAAGACTTTAAAACTGATGTGAGTACTGTACTAACAATCAATCAACAAAAAGGGCATATCTTTATTCCTTTTCATCTCAAAACATTGTCATTTACTGCTATTCAATTCATGCTAAAGATTTTGGTATTTATACCGTATGTTAAAATCACAATATTTATTCTCAAAGTTAACCATTTTGAAACAGCTAATATCACATCGTTAAATAAAAAACTTCTACAATTGAAATGTTTTTAAACAATTTTGTTCTTGAATTAGAAAAAAATATTGTACAATTTACATAATTCTAGAAAGGGTTTATTTTCCAACAAGATTTACAAATGCTAATATAAAAACTGTTTAAGCAGAATAACACAAAATAAACATCACAAAAAGCTGACAAGTAAACAATAAAGAAACATGCAGAAAGCAAAACACATGAAGGAAATAAATGTATGGAACACATAAAGGAGAATTTTTAAGTGCTTTATTTTGGCATGCACTGTTTGACAAGCAAAATTTGACTTTTTGAATTATTTCAATTTACGTGAACAAGCACAATTCGATTTGAACAAGTTAAGTTGGACTTGAACAAATTCAAGTTGACTTGAACAAGCACATTTTAAGTTGAACAAGCCCTTTAACTTGACCAATCTTTTTTTGAACAATCATACTTTGACTTGAACAAGCACAGCTTAAGTTGAACAAGTTCAATTTGACATGAGCAAGCAAAGCTTACGTTCAATTTGACTTGAGCAAACTCGGTTTTGCTTCACTCGTCTAAAAATGCTAAAATCTAAGTAACATCCAACATCTTACCATAATAAATCTAAGTAACATCCAACATCTTACCATAATAAATCTAAGTAACATCCAACATCTTACCATAATAAATCTAAGTAACATCCAACATCTTACCATAAAAACAAACTGACAAACGAATGTTACAGTCAGGTCCACACCATTTACAATTTTTTCCCTGGCATGTTTGCTTATAATATTCGTTGCCAGGGCAACTATGACAGGCAGTGCCCAGAACCTAGGGGTGGGATAAAATGTGTAAATAAATATGGCATCGTTTTTCATTGGGTATGGGAAACCTTATAACAGATATGAGAAAGATGGATTTCAAACATGGGAAATTCTTAATTATTTTAAATATGGATAGGGGAAAGCCTTACATCAAATATGGGAAAGCCTTATATCAAATATGGGAAAGCGTTACATTAAATATAAATGACTAAGCCATATATCAAACAGGGGAAAGCCTTAAATCAAATATGAGAAAGCCTTATACCAAATATGAGAAAGCCTTACATCAAATATGGAAAAGTCTTATATCAAACATTGGAAAGCCTTATATCAAATATGGGAAAGTCTTATATCAAATATGAGAAACCCTTATATCAAATATGGGAAAGCCTTATGTCAAATATGGGAAAGCCTTATATCAAATATGGGAAAGACTTCTGTCAAATATGGGAAAGTCTTTATCAAACATGGGAAAACCTTACATCAAATATGGGAAAGCCTTATGTCAAATATGGGAAAGTCTTTATCAAACATGAGAAAGCCTTACATCAAATATGAGAAAGCCTTATATGAAATATGGGAAAGACTTCTGTCAAATATGGGAAAGTCTTTATCAAACATGGGAAAACCTTACATCAAATATGGGAAAGCCTTATGTCAAATATGAGAAAGCCTTATGTCAAATATGAGAAAGCCTTATATCAAATATGGAAAAGACTTACATCAAATATGGGAAAGCCTTATATCAAATATGGGAAAGTCTTACATCAAACATGGGAAAGCCTTACATCAAATATGAGAAAGCCTTATATCAAATATGGGAAAGACTTCTGTCAAATATGGGAAAGTCTTTATCAAACATGAGAAAGCCTTACATCAAATATGAGAAAGCCTTATATCAAATATGGGAAAGACTTCTGTCAAATATGGGAAAGTCTTTATCAAACATGGGAAAACCTTACATCAAATATGGGAAAGCCTTATGTCAAATATGAGAAAGCCTTATGTCAAATATGAGAAAGCCTTATATCAAATATGGAAAAGACTTACATCAAATATGGGAAAGCCTTATATCAAATATGGGAAAGTCTTACATCAAACATGGGAAAGCCTTACATCAAATATGAGAAAGCCTTATATCAAATATGGGAAAGCCTTATGTCAAATATGAGAACGCTTTACATCACATATGGGAAAGTCTTTATCAAACATGGGAAAGCCTTACATCAAATATGAGAAAGCCTTATATCAAATATGGGAAAGCCTTATGTCAAATATGAGAACGCTTTACATCACATATGGGAAAACCTTATATCAAATATGGGAAAGCCTTATGTCAAATATGAGAAAGCCTTATATCAAATATGGGACAGTCCCATGTAAGATATGGGAAAGTCTTAATATACATGAGGTATGGGAAAATCTTAGAGCATAGTGGGGAAGTAGTCTTTATCATTGTCCTAAGTGAGCACCACGTCCATCAAAAAATGGAAAACCTTAAGATAAACATGCAAAAGGAAGCTCAGAATGACACCGAAAAAGCAAAAGTCTTAAACAGCTAATAGGGATTTTTACAAAAAAGCTTTAAATGATTCAATATGTATTGAAAGCCTTAAATATTTGACATTATTAATCTCAATTCTGACCATATTAACTTACCAAAAAGAATATATTTGCACATGCTACTATAAGGAGGTCAACAAGATTAACGGCACTTCTGCGCACCCAGGATTCAATAAGAAACATGGCTAACATTGCCATAAAAGGCATGGCCCAGAACCTGTATATGAAGATGAGTGGAATTACAAAGGAGGAGGTGATATCCCAGAAATATTCAATATAGAAGAATGTGATATCACAGAAATCTCAGTTCTACAGCAGGCTTGAGAGACATAATTATTAGCACAGGAAGACATATCCCAGAATCCCTAGTCATTTCCCTCTGTAATGAGGAGGCATATTCCCACAAGTCCAAGTAATGACCCAGGATTGCATCTGATTGGTTAAAAATCAAACTGTCAATGAGAATGACAACACTGCAACATTATATGGAAACACATTTTTAACTACAGTATAAAAGCACAGAGAATGCTGAAGAAATCTGTTAGGACGTGATTCTGCGTTAGAAGTTACATACATATAGCAGCAGATTTTGCACGCGTTCAAATGTTAAATTGTGGTGATATTTATTGTTGGCTCTGCACTGAGTGTTCATTTTATCAGCACTGAGTGTTCATTTTATCTGCACTGAGTGTTCATTTTATCAGCACTGAGTGTTCATTTTATCAGCACTGAGTGTTCATTTTATCTGCACTGAGTGTTCATTTTATCTGCACCAAGTGTTCATTTTATCTGCTCCAAGAGTTTTTCACATGATGTGTCTTCTAAAAAAGCATCGCTAACATTTGAATTTTGAATGTGTGCAAATCTAACCACATTGATACTGTTTTACAGCTACAATCATGAAGAAGTGTTAGTACAATAGCAAAAGTGTTCTTTCAATCCCAGAATGCTCAAATAGAGTTGCATTATGCGGGATTAATATTTTACATTCCAACAAAAATTAAATGTTGATCATAAAAAAAGAGGTACAATGGTAAACTGATCAGATATGACTGATTCTGATTTCTGCAAAGGACGATTCTCGGTTTGGAGAACAGTCTCCTGGGCTAATAATTTTTTTCATGAAAATTTTAGAAATATTACCCAAATTAAAGAGGACATTTAAATTTTTAAGATGTGAAAATAACAAATTGGTCTGAAGCAGGGATAACGCTCAATTAGACCGATTCAATAAAATACAAGTCTCGATTTGGGGAAAGAAGTTCATCAGTGTACTGCGCTAATATTTTTTTGCGAAAAATCTAGAAATATTACCCAAATTAAATTATGATGATTCAAAAGAGGACATTCAAGTCTATATTATGTAAAAAAAATCAAATTTGTCCGAAGCAGGGATAATGCTCATTTAGATTGATGAACTTCGTTCTCCAAACTGAGAATTGTCCTTTGATTGAAAGCTTATGTTAGTTGTTCTCTTGAAAGTTGATCGACATGTAATTTACCATTGGAAAGAAGAACAATGTACAATGATGCCCTTTCATCAAAACCTCGAGTGGTCAAATTTTTCTCAAAATAAAAGACACAAAATGCCTAAATTTCCAATGGATATATTTTTAATTTGAATCACCACTTCTTAAGTTACAAGTCAAATCTAATTTGAATTTTAAAGAAAAATGTGACCACTGAAATTTTTTGAAAGGGCTGACAATTAGTGACAGTAGACAATAGAGGAGATCACATGTTAGTTTCTACATCTGCAACACCGCTTCTCATGACTCACCAAAAAGAAAATTTGGCCTATAAATACCACCATATTTTCAATGCCGTTCACAACTTTTTCTCGAACCCAAAGGTTCATAACGTGCATCGCTATAAGAATTACTATTGGTCCAGCCCAGAACCTAAAATAATGATGTCATAACAATTTGGGGATAATAACTACAAAATGAATGGAAAGTATAAAAAATGCTTTTCTACATAATACATGTACGGTGAAATAAAAAAATATCATAATGCTTGACAATTCAAAATTATTCCTAATTTCTTTTTTTATTTATTGATTAATTATCATAATCATTTAGTATTACATTAACAAGTTTGGCACTCGATACCCATAAAAGGGTATATCAGTGCTAAAATATTATCTGATTTTAAACAGCATATTTTTAATCAAATTCACGAAAAAAATAAAGACTGGTTTGTTGAGACAGAAGATATAGAGATTATCCAAAATGAGGTTCAAGATACAGTATGTATATACTGTATAAGAATTGTCCCTTCGCCAACATAATGTATCATTCAAGGGCTGGAGGTTCAAAGGATATACAGGGTGTCCATTAAGCCTCTTTACAATTACTATAAAAAGTCTGTGTAAAATGTAGAGACTTTTAAATGGACACCCTGTATTATTTTTGCAAAGCGATGTAAAGACAATATCTTGATGCTCATATAGGATAATCAGTTTATCCGATAGTCCAATTATTCATTTTACATACAGTTAATAAACTCAAACATATTCCAGTATGGGAATCCCAAATCAAAAAGTTTACTTACCATAAAGTATAAAATATGAAGAATGGGTAATAAAATGATGCTTTTTCTGGGTAGTGTTTTAGAGTGAAAAATATAGCGTAGCAAAACCAGAGCCAGCCTAGGAGGCGCATCGCAATAAGCCCATAGCCTGGGGGACTCTCGTAGAGGTAGAGGACTTGTCCCGCATCAAAGAACTAAAAAGACGAGGAAATTTACTTTAAGACTGTTTAACAATAAGACAATTTACGTCATTTCTTGAAGTTTTGGACTGTTTATTTTATATGCTGTATTACTTTTAAGCTTTGAGCTAGTTTTTAAAAAAAGTTGTATTTAGAGAGAGAAAAACACTCTGTTTTCCAAAAAGTCTAGATTTGGATATCATTCAGTGATCTCCTCAGGATCTTTTCTCAGGTGGGTGCAAAATTCTAATTTTCACAATTCAGACCAAAATTGGTTAAAGTTAAATCATGATTTTCAACTGGGTGCAAATGGATTTTCATGTGGGTGCAAAATCTCAGTTGGGTGCTGCGCCCACTTGCTTTAATGCTTATAGCTGGGGAGATCACTGCGATTTCTTAATGTGAATAAATAAATAAATAAACATCACGTAATACACACAATTACAATGTAAATTGTTATGAATGATCTTCAAACAAATATAAAAAAAAAATTCAAATACTTACGTAAGCTTCGTACACAAACAGGACAATAAAAGTGATGCTGTATAGCGTCATAAACACGGCTATTTTTATAGATCCCGACGAACTAAGACGCCCTCTTGTAATTGTGTATCCTTTGCCCAACAGAATTAACATCAAGAGGAACGTTAAGAGGGAGAAGGAATCGAAGATGCGGGCTGAAAAAAAATGAAAATGGGTTCTTTTGAATTTCTAACAACTGACAAAATGAATGAAAAGAACATGCAAAATTATTAAAGTATTATTTTCATCATCAAAATTATTAATATTGATTTTGGTAAAACAACTACCCATTGCGGTAAAGATGGCACTATCCAGTGAGCTTTGATAGACAAACAGACGATTTCATAGTTTCACATCATAAGCCCTGTATACACTCTAAATAAATTTTCAATTGTTTCAATTGTTTCAATCGTTTCAATCAGTTCAATCGTTTCAATGCTTGCATCATTTCCTACGTTTCAATGCTTGCATCATTTCGAGCATTTCAATCGTTTCAATCGATTCGCCTTTAAAATGAATTTAAAGTTTCGCTGTTTGCACCTGTTTCGCTGTTTCAAGCATTTCAATCATATGGCCAATTCATGAAGAAATGGGCAAATTGATTGAAAAGAAAAACGAACATACATGTTTTTCGTTTCAAGCATTTCGCCGGGATTTTTCAACCGTTTCAATCCGAAGAAAAAAATTACTATTTCACTGCTTTCGCCTGTTTTGCCTGTTCAAACAATTCGCTTAAGCTGTTTTCACATTATCTTTCATGTCAACCATTTCAAGCATTTCGGCCTTTTTGCCCCCAGTTTCATTTCAAGCATTTCGGCCTTTTCGCCCCCTGTTTCAAGCATTTCGGCCTTTTTGCCCCCCGTTTCAAGCATTTCGCCTGCCAGTGTATACACCCCTATACACATGAGCTGTAACAATATGTCACCAGACCTCTTGGGCACCACTTAACAAACTGTAACATATATGTCACATGAAGTCTATAGAGTATTACTTACCTACAACTTTTATGCCGTAATTATCTAAACCATCATTCGCAAACTTCCCGTATGCGATACACATAATCAGCAGATGCATGCATTGGGTGGCCAATGAGACCATGTACATCTTATAGGTGGTGTGAAATAGCTGACGTCCTCGTAAGATGACTGAAACGTGAGATATTCCACATTAAGATAACTGAAACATGACATAGGACTGAAATATGACATACTGGTACATGTATTTCAAATTTAAACCAGGCATCATCTGGTTGTTATGATTTTGAGCATTTTAATATTAATTTATATTAATACTCATCAATTTTTGATGATTTTGAAAATAAATATACCTTGTTTCAAAAATCTTCAGTATATTTATAAGACAAAAAAAGAATTTCTTAACATGAACAATTGATGAAGCAAGTTATATAAAATGAATTGAATGCAACAAGAAAGAAAGGTCGAAATGACCTTCACAAAATCTGCTTCCCAAATATCCGTCTGCTCATGCTTATTCACTTATTTCTTTCTAAAATTTGAATGAAGTGTCTGATTTTCTTACATTTCTGTACAATTTAGAGTTTTAACTACATGCCTGTTTACTTTATTTCATGCTAATTCCATTCCTTTGCACTCAACTTTGCATTTAAAAACATGAGCAGGCAGGAACATTTAATTTCCATTTAACATGGAGTTTTTAATTAACAGCAAATCAATAAAATAACACCAAAGTAAATTGATATATCAACAAATCCTGAATTAATATTATTGAACAATATCATTTATAAATTGTGTTAAAATGATGAGATATTACTTTTCAAAGAATGAGCATATCGTGATAAAAATGATTAACATGTCTAGGTGGTGATAATTTATCACGAAAAATATTAAAAATCAAAATGAGAAATTTCTAATATCATTAGGGGATATGTGACTTTTGGGTTGTATATGTAACTTATATTAATTCAGAGTCAACAAAAGGTGCAATATTTTCTCATATTTTCATGAAATTTTGCATGAAAACATGAAACTTTACATGAAAAACATGAAATTTTGCATGAAAAACGTGAAATTTTGCATGAAAAACGTGAAATTTTGCATGAAAAACATGAAATTTTGCATGAAAAACATGAAATTTTGCATGAAAAACATGAAATTTTGCATGAAAAACATGAAATTTTGCATGACAAAACATAACCACCATATGGCATTTTCAAAGATGGCAAAAACTCCTACCGGAGAAGTATGAAGAAACCAAGAGAAGGCAGAATTGAATCAGCAGAAATGATATAAAGGTTTGTAACATATCTGCAAGACACAAACAAGCACACAACATAAACACAGTGATTTGCAGAGGTAGATTGGGTTGGACTGTAGATCAGGCTTGGCTCTAGATTTGACCTGGCTCTAGATTTGGTTTTGCTCTAGCTTTGGTCTGACTCTGTGGGTTACTTGTGCCACAACTCTCAAGCCAGGAAAATCTACCAGTCAGCCTAACTAGAGCAAGTACAATTGGTCGCCTTGGATATGAGTCACCCAACCTAACACTCTTGTGACGCTACACTAAATGCAGTCTAATGCACAGCTACAATTATTCAACATGGCAAATTCAATAAATAACCATGAATTCTTGAGTCTGTGCACTATACTGGATACAAATCAGTGAGTAGATTTAAAGGAAATAGAAGGGATAGAGTAAAAGTTGAGAGTAGGCTTGGAAATATGAACATAATTTTTAATGTTTTTCTCTCATCGTTACATGTCATGCCTAATTTCTAAAATAAAATGCCAAAAGTTTCGGGATTAAATGGCTATATCTGACAATAGTTCAAATGGATTTGGACAATTCATTTTAATTATTATTCCATTACACAAAAAATTAAGTAAGGCTCAATTCCTTAATTTTATACTCGATCCCTTCTACTAGCTAAAACAGTGATAAAACTGAAAAGTGCATAGAATGTACAAGTACACATAACAGAGAAATGCAAGTACATTTAGATAGTACATAGAGTAAAATAGTACAAGTATATGAAATAGTATAAGTACATAGAATACAGAACAAATCACACATCAGTTCAGTTAAAGCTGCAAAAAGAAGATGTTAAAAAAATAGGTGATTATCAAAAAAAATCTTGACGATTAATTAACATAGTATACACGACCTGACATAAAATAATAACCATAACACACTTCACAAGATGAAAACTTAAACCAGCTTAATAGCAAACACCCCAAATATTTATCAATCGGTCAAAACATCCAACCAGCCCAGATATTCAATCAGCAAGCAATTATTGACGGTGCGCAAAGAAACACATTATTACAGCAAACTTTTCTTGATCGGCACTTTTACCAGAAAACAAGTACGAGATAATACATGCACAGCAAACATAAGATACACATCATCTCGACAAATGATTTAAAGATTGATAGAACAAAAAAAGACGGTGAAATGACAATATGACAATTCTCCCCTACTTCAGATAGAATTATGATTTCCAAAGTCGACATTACATCAGAAAGCGAAAAGGCCAACATTTCAGACATGCTTACAAACTTTTATATTACCATGGAAACCAAACAAACAAACAAACAGGCCAATTCTCAAATACTTCACATGTTAACATGTATTAAGAAGTCTTAACCACAGTCCTTGGGAAAGCCTCGACCCAGCTCTCATGCTTTCCTGGGATTGTGTTATAGACTAAACTCTACTGCACATGATAGACAAAACACCCCATCAGGACACAACTATCAGCGCCACCTACCAGATGCCCATATAGATAATGCCATCACTATCACATCAACGACAAGCATACCCAAGTCAGTCTCTAAAATATCTATTCAAAAAAGTCTATAATTAAGAAATGAATCAACTCAAACTCCAAAATATAATTCGTGGATTTTGTACTTCAAGACATCACCGCCTTTGCCTATTACTACAATCAAAAATCCAGTTCACGACATAATTGGGAAACTTATTAGTTTTTAACTCATTCCTTGTTCGTTAGGATGTGCTGCTTTCTAGCTCAATTAAAGGCCCAAAATGTAATGTTATTACCAGCACAATCCTGATGATTAAGAATGTCATGTGACCATTTCTAACCAATCCCATCAACTTAATATAGTCATGTGACCATTTCGTATCAATCCCATCAGCCAAGGAGGATTGGCTCCCAGAGTGCAACATCGATATTCTGTCCCATATATGGGCATGTCGTGCTACAAAATTTGAATTCCAACAGCCGCCATTTTGTTCACTTCAACATTTGAATCGTAAATTTTGGTCTTATTTCCTAACGAAAAATTCCAAAACTCACAGGAAATGATTGAGATATTGGTTCGAATCTTTTGAACTGTTTATTTTGAATTTATAATCGGTTATAATTTCAGAAAATAACGACATCTCGGCGTTTTCATTGTTGGAAAATATCGACTTCGATTCTGGGAGCCAATCCTCCTTGCCATCAGCTAAGTATAGTCATGTGACCACTACTAACCAATCCTATCATTTTAATATAGTCATGTGACCATTTCTAACCAATCCAATCAACTTAAATTAATCATGTGACCATTTCTAACCAATCCCATCAGCTCAGTATAGTCACATGACCATTTCTAACCAATCCTATCAACCCAATAGTCACATGACATTCATAATGCTCCAAAGGTTTGTTCTAGTGTGATATAGGGGGAAACTGTATTAAAACCTGGGCATGCATGATTAGACATTCAAATCCAACATATTGTTAAAACACTTTTGATTCAGTGGTGCCACCTACCAGCTGCCCATAGAGTTAATCCCAGCATAATTATAGTGATGACGAGGAATGCTATATCAAGTTCATATATATCTACGAAAAAATATGCGTAAGAGTGAGATAAAATATCCTTATAAGGCAAGTATGACAAAAATATCCAATTATAGTGGGTAAATCTGGATATCTGCATTGCAAGATACAAAGGCCATAAAAGGTTCCCTGAAAACTAATAACTATCCTCTGATAAAGATAGATGATTTCAGTTTTGACGTTGATAAGTCCCAACAACCCTAAAGGTATGTTAATGGCGGTTCAGTTTGAACCTGATTGGGTAGCCACATTTCGATCAACATAATCTGATTGGCTAAGGCTAGATTAAAGGATTGCCTCTTATTCAAAGAGTAAAGATGAAGCCAGCAAAATCATACTGAAAAGGGATAAATGTGTAGTTGAGAATAGCTCTCTCTATCGTTTATTAGTAAAAGCTGACAATATTTTAAGGAATATTCCTTGACTTCAGATCTGTACTGACGAAATGATTTCTATCTTCTTCAACACTAGATAATTGAAATATCATGAATGGAATATCATGACTGATATATCATGAATGAAATATCATGATGAAACATCTTGAATGAAATATCACGATGAAATATCATGAATAAAATATCATGATAAAATATCGATGAAATATCATAAAAGCTGACAATATTTTAAGGAAAATTCCTTGACTTCAGATCTGTACTGATGAATTGATTTCTATTTTCTTCAACACCAGATCCATCAAACAGAAACCCCTCTATTTACTTGAGATATCATGAATGGAATATCATGACTGAAATATCATGAATGAAATACCATGAATGAAATATCACGATGAATTATCATAATTCAAGTGTTCAGTTTAAATCATTTTTTAATTTTGTTTTCTAAGTGAAAACTATCAATCTGGTATAAATTATATCATAACATGAAGTCCCCTAAATCTCAAAATATGAAAATACCATTGTAATCTTAATTTCTACTTCATGATAAATCAATCAAATATTTAATGATCATGATATATCAAAGAGGGTATATAAGCATGCGTAATTAATGGAAGGGCGGCAACATTAGACTACAAATAGAAGAGAATTCTGGGTAAAATTGCAATGCCACCTATAGGTCTCCAAGTGACTTACCAGCGACATATATCGAAAGTAGGAAGATTATAAATATGACGCATAAGAACCCAATGTCTACCTCTTGAATGACTAAAATAAAACATGCGTGAAAAATTGTAAAATAATTGCAAACGTTTTATGTTCAACAGGGGCCAAGCAAGAAAACAACACCCAAGTACTCCTGAAATAAACAATAAGGGAAATATCAAATTCATTCCGCAAAATGACACGGATGACTTTCGCCCATGCCTTACAATGAACATGCCTAATAAATCACTGCCCAATAAATCGCCTAATAGATGGCTCTGTACTTACAGTGCCATCTTTTGACTTACCACCAAACCAAATTGACAGAATCAATGTGATAAAGGTGAACCATAAATATGGAATATATTCCGCTAAAATATCTACAAGTAAAAAATATATGTGCTTAAACATAAAAATTATTATGTGCTACCAGAATGGGGAAATGCGTAACACAGAAACCTAGAAACCTAAAAATAATGGGTATTCCAAGAATAGAAAAATCCATCAAAAATAGAAACTTAAAAATGCATAAAAAAGAAACCATAAAAATTATGTATTTTCCATGAGTGCAAATGCTTTAAAAATAAAAACCTAAAAAAGAATGAAATGTGAGTTTTGGTGAGCAGGTATCTGAAATATAATGTAACCTCCAATCAGTGAGAAATACAATAAATTGAAATACAACAATGAAATATAAAGCAGGCTCAACAAATAACTTAAGAGATTCTATAGAGGTCAACATGAGAAAAATTCTTTAAATTTTTCAGGAACAACTCCCTGTTGAAAGAAAGGTAAAAATAAATGAATTTTTTTCTAGCTTAAAATTTACCAAAAGTAATGTTTATATCATAATTAAATGACGATGGAGGTCACAGATCATTTTAAATCAAAAAATTTTTGGGTAACTCATTATGTGAATCTATGATTGAAGAACATTGCCACTACAGAAAATTTTCAGATTGAGTGTTGAGTCTGGCTGTGAGTAACTGTTGAGTCTGTAACTCAACTGTTACAGTAGCATGCATGTACCCATGGGCTTTCAATTAAGCCCATGATGTACCTAATGGTCTACTACGCCCTCTATAATTGTAAGACTTACATGACAAATAAAAGCCAAGTAGGAGCAATATGACATTCAGAATCAGGAACGTAATCAGAGGTTCCAAGATTACTAAAATAAAATAAACAAGCTAAGCAGAAAAATCAATGGTATGCAAGGGGTACAATGATATGCAAGGAGTATAATGGTATGCCAAATTTGCAAAATATTTCCAAAATTGCAGATAGGCATCAATAATCAAGCAACAATAATTCAAGCATGATCACTTTACAGTATGTGTACATGTAATTGAACAAAACTTAAAACATTTAAAGCGCAAAATATGTTCAATCAATAGTCCAGGATTACATTGACCAGCATAAACAATACAAAATAGCATTTGATTTCTATAACATATATACAGTTGATACGAGGGGTGCCCATAAAGTTTCATACTATCGTTTGAATTCTTTTATTTTTCAATCCATTGTAATGAAATTGTCACAGAATGTGCCCCATTTGAAACATAAAATAACTTATTTATTCTGCAAAAATAGAGATATACATGTATGTAAGTACTTTTAAATCGCCCCTCGTATAAGTGGTAAAACAACAGATTTTGTCAGAATATGTGCCAGATCTATGACAAATCTAAATCTGGAAAAAATATGGCTACCAACAAAATGCCAAACATTTTCAAAACTGAGAACAAAATTGAAAAACTTTATGAATTTTTTTCATTAAATTCATTCAATTTTTTATTCAAACATATTTGAAGTTTGACCGATTTTGAAAAATGTCTGTACCCTGCGAGTAGCAAATAAGTGCATTATTAATTTGTGGGGCTCACATGCATCAATGGCGCCACCTATACTTACATGCAACATGTAATGAACATAAAAGTAAGATGCCGGTCAGAACGGCAAATGCAACATCAACTTGCAGTATAACTGAAAGAAAGAATTTTCAGAAGATCCAGAAATTATTGTGCTGATTTATAAATAGCATTGGTTTGGAATTTAGTTATCTATACACTGTAATAAAATTCCAGGAATGTTAAATATAACATTATGGACCTAAAATAACAGATCATGCTCATTCCATACCTTTTCTCATGAATCTGAAAAAAACAATTTCCTGGCATTTTTGTTAATTTAGAACAATCAACTATTTACTTTTTTCTATGTGAATTCGATTATTTTCCTCTCATATATCAATTTCAAATTGTGAAAATTATGTATCATACTCCGTAACTCCCGTAAAATTCAATAATTACATCACTGCCTGCCTTGATTCATTTCCATTAAGACAATAATCAAATATTTATAGCAGAGTCGGTAAATAAAAATCAACAAGGTCACAAACATTTATGCAAGACAAGCTAAATTTAGTAAAATTCAAGGAAATCCTTCTACCAGCATGACACCAAACATCTTTTTTATCTCAAAATGCCAGAAAATAATACAATCAATCAAATATTGATCATAAAACAGTAAATTAACATATACAGAATGATATTTTATTCGCAGGAAAGGGTGTAAGTAACCCAACACTAAGGCCCTGGTAAAAAAGCATTTATGACGAGTACAAAGTTATTGTATAAGCCTTGAGTACACATTAAGTAAATGGCTAACTGTTAAATTATCATAATCAATATAGGATAGCAGTTAAGATCGGAGATCATAAGTGTCTATGTCTGACTTTATATAGAGCTGTATTCATAAAGGTAGAATGGAATACACGGCCTAGGAAAAACAGCTCAATTTGGACAAATCATGTGTTGGTATACATATCAATATAACATCAAAACACCCCCCAGCCCCCCCCCCCACAGAAACAGTGAATGTTCATTTCTATTTGACTAATTGATTTTTAACCCTTATTCCCCTGGAAGTGTAAAATTATTAAGTGCAATTTGTAATTTGCACTTATTTAAAAAAAATCTGAATAAACGAACAAAAAAAGTAATGAAATATTTTTAATCATTTGTTATACAAAATTTATACTTCCCATTAAGGTTTGGAAATATATTAAAATCTATTGTAACTAGGTGTATATTGATGTTATGTTGCCAGTGTTTTTCTGTAGGCTGTGCATTATACTGATTATGTAACTTACAGAATTCATCAGCTGAGAATTGTCTGAAGAATATATTAGAGTCATCATTCGTCATTGTCAGCTTGTATTTTATAGTAAGGCCCTGTAAGGAAAGAACAAATATGTTTATAATTGTGGTAACTTACATCATTTTGGTACATTTTCTATAATTTTCTGCTATAATTATTTAGTACACCAGAATGAAATAAAGAATTCAACAGAGAATTCCAAAGCAAATATATATTTTTTGTTGATTTCTTGATTTTCTATTTCCGCAGTCAGAAGCATATCGGATAAAAAACTCCCAATCACCCACCTATTCATAGCGCACAGTCATTTGATACTTAAACCCTTAACAAAATGCTGTAAAGTTATTCTAATGCAGTCATAAATATTGTATCAGAATCTTTTGAGTAGGTTTTTTTATTTTGGAACTTGTTGCACTGAAGAAATTTTTCAAGCTATAATATTTTCAGAATGATCTAGTCATAAAAACATTTTCAATTTCAATACTGTAATCCATTTGCAATCCTCAGAGTATGGAATTTTACTTCTAGGCTCTAGCGTGTCAGGGTATAAAACAAATTATTACCACCTTGCCAGGCCTAGGGGTTTTAGTGCTAGTTTAGAAGGCATTCATTTTACTATATCGACCTGAGAAATGTGTGACATCATAGTGGTGGTCCATATGGACCGGTCTAGAATATATTCTGGACCGGCAATTTTTCCCCGGGAAATTAGATATCGTTCAGTGCGTAAGATTTTTTTGCTATTTCAGCCCTGGTCGTTAACAGTGGTAATAATAACGTCATTTCTGCAAGCAATATAGTGAAATATTGGACCTTTGGCCTTCGGCCCTCGGTCCAATATTTCATTATATTGCCCTTAGAAGTGACGTTATTGTACTAGTACTTACTTTGGTAGATTCACAATTACTGACTGCAATAAACCACCATCTTTCCCGAACGGATCTGAAGCTCCGCCCACCCGAACAGACGTACTGCTCTTGCTTTACACCCGTTGCCGCCCATGTTTTATTCTCAATGGCGCAACCCGACCAAGCGTATCGTAAACTAAGATTGATTACTTGGTTATTCTCGGGTTTGAGAACTGCTAGTTTTTGTTGACAGGTCTGAAAAGAAATATTTACAGGTATATACAAATTCTTTACTTCTGTTTATTTATTTGAATGTGAAGAAGAAATTATGGACAAATAATTATGTTTTAATTCATGCTCAATTCTGACTTAAACAATACAATCTTACTTTTGAGAATATTAAATGAAATGTTAACATTTATTGATATTTGATTTTTTTTATCTAAAAATACTTATCATTTAGATAAATCATAGTAAAATAGCTTTTCTAAAACAAGGAACATATTTCAAACATACATTTTCCGCGTAGAGTATTTCAAAGGAATATTCAAGACAATCGACATGTTCAATAAGTTAAAGGAACAAAAAACTATCTCCAGAATTCTGACTCCAAATTTCCATTAATGACAATAGCATCTGATAGTATAGTATACAGTATGTTTCTATATATTTCAAAGCTTAAAATGCCAACTTAACAGTTAGAGAATTTGGATTTTTTCGATGAAGGTCTTGAGCTGCTGACAAAGGGAAGCAACTCATTCGAACTCTATGTTGGCACAGAGCACATTTTGGTTAATTTAGAATCAGAATTCCAGAGAATGCCTTTTTTCATGATTTTATACATAACAACAAAGCAAAAAACAGAAACAGTGTGTTACCATAAAAATGCCACCACCGTGTTACAATTACCAAAGTGTAACCGGATGTTACAGATACTAATGCCAAATATTGATGCTGGTAACAACAAATGGTAGCTATAACAAGGTGGTAATTATAAAATGCCTTAAATAAGTCTGTATCCTCATATTACCCCATAATCCCATATCAAAAGCAATAACACTATATAAAACATATAAAGCTATTAAAAACGTGCGACTATAATACTATGATGTATTGATTGATATACAGAGCTCAGATGTTATATTGTGATAATTTGCCGATAATAACCTGTTCAGAGCATTTAATGATAAATGCTGTTATCTCAATAGAAGATATTGTTGTCTCGGGTAATATGTGGCCTGGACCAACCAATCGCATATGCCAATTGGTTGTGGTCATTCCTATACACGTTCCAAAATTTTTATGTCTATCTGTTTTTTCAATTCATTATTTTCTCTCTTAAGTTTCATTTCATGTTTTTAAAACAGGAGTGCCATGATATTTTATCGTCTGGTAAAGCAACACTTGTGTCGACTCATTTAAGATCAATATACATTTTTAAAGCTAAAACTGTATGAAAAGAGAAAGTAACGACTCACAAGTTTAGAATTAAGGACACTAGTTCAGCTTTTTGCTCTAGCCACAATCTTTTAACAAGCTTCAACATACTGACTAGTCACAACCTATCGACCAACCACAACTTTTGACCAGACTAAACCTTTTAACCAGGTTTAACCTATTGGTCTGTCTCAACCTATTGACCAGCCAGCCACAACTAACTGACTAGCCAGTCAACCTATTGACCAGCCACAACCTATTGACTTGCCACAACCTAATGGTCAGTCACAGCCTATTAACCAGCTCTAACCAATTGACCAGCCAACAACAACCAATTGACCAGCCACAACCTATTCAACAATCAAAACCTATTGACCAGCCACAACATATTGACTAGATACAACCTATTGACCAGCCAGTCAATAAACTACAACCTTATGACAGAATACATGTATAAGAAAAACACCTCTGTTAGTGATATAAACTTTTTCAAAGTCCTGTTAATTAATTCTAATTCAATTATTGAGTGTTTAGATGAAAATTGGGATAGAAATTGAATGAAAGGAAGGGAGGGGGTGGGCGTTGGGGAGAGTAGGTAAGGTGGCGGGGGCATTGTGTGGCGTCTTAACTGTGGCATTACATGACCCTGCCTTAACTAGTGATCTTCTACTATATGCTCTTTTTTACAATACCAAATACTTTTTTGTTTATACATGCCATGTATTGTTTGTCAAACTCATTGTAAAAATCAATAGATTTCTTTAAAACATTCTTAATCCAAAATACATTATCGATTCAATATTAATAGTTTCAATGCCAACAATATACAAGGTACAAGGAGTAACTTTAACCAAAATATTATGCAGTGCCTTGTGAAATGAACTAGCTCTTTTAAAAAGAGATTATATCCAAAGTTTTAGAGGTTCATTTCAGAACACATTTTCTCTCAAACTTAATCTTATTCTGTTTTCTACAAGAGCACTCTTCTAATTACTAACATGTAAATATTATTGATGTTTGCATGTATATTGAAATTAATAGATATTAACCAAGAATATGCATTGATCAATAATTTTGAACCTCTCGTGGATTACTCTACTGATTATGCTCGTTGTCATTTCATATTTGGTTTAATGTGGTACTTCAAATAAATCATAAAGATTTGTTTTAGTAGTTAATTTGACCAATTAAAGTAAAAGTAAACATAAAGTTAGTTCAACAATTTTTTAAATCGAATTTAAGTATGCTGAGTTTTCAAATTGAATAACAGACTGCAAAATATTTAGTTAATCTATATGTTACTGACCGCTGACAATTTAATGCACTTATAAAATTTGCTGCTAAATCTTATTAAGACCTGACCTCCATATAGTTTTCAATGAATTATTTTTCAATGCAATGGATTATAAATGGATTGCATAAAAGAATCAAGATTTCACTAATCTTATAACACAGCCAGTGGATTTAGAAATGTGGACAAAATATTCCCTTACATCAAATTCTATATAGCCAGGATTCATACAATTTTAAAGCACCAACATATCTCAAAATGTGAAGAGACACTGTAGAATGCAGAAAATACCCATATGACATGAAAATGGGGGGGGGGGGTCCGTTCTCCATTATTGTGAAAATGGTATACATGTTCAGTATACATAAAGCATTGTGTATGGGATGAATTTTTGAACAGGGAGGTCTATTTATCAAGATCAAATTTATGTACACAGTAACTAGTACACTGAAAATAATATTTTGGTTTTGCAACCATAATTGAACTCAGGCCATAGAATCCATGTATATACAAAGTACACCGATGATGAATCATAACAAAAATAAATGGTGTTTAAGTACATGTACATCTAGACTTTAAATTGTTTACAATCTCAATCAAATTGCCAGCTTTTGAGATACTTCATATTTTCAAGAAGGTGCACTGTGCGAGAGCACTTTTCGGAAATTTCAAGGTGCAGGACCTATTTGCTATTTAGCATTAGGCAAGATTAGTCAATTTCTTTTGGCTGTTAAAAGAATGTATTAAAACAAAACCTTGTAAGGTTAACCAGGCCCGTAGCCAGGATTTGACAACAAGGGGTTCACTTTTTAAAAAATTCCAGGGGGGTCACTTCAATCAAACTCCCCGAACCTTCCCTGGCTATGGGCCTATAAAGTACTGCAATAAATGGTTATGGGTCAACTCTATTGTTGATTATTTAATCATGACTTGCTAAACCCTGTTTTAAGTCACTATAGCGAACATAATCAAAAATCATGTTGACTCAAGTTTTTTCTGCATCTTGCACCTTTAAACATGTAGCAAAGTACACTAATTACAAAAGATTTGGGTATCAATCTCTAAGATAAGAGAAACCTGCCAAAATTCTATAAAAAATTCATGATTTAGCAGATTTACTATATCAAAGTTTAATGAAACCTTATCATGCAAAAAACATATTATCTAAAAATAAAAATTTCTCAGGAAAAACTTTTTTGTTTCGATAGTCTATAATCCCGCCTTGGATTTCCAAAACTGAGGTAGTCAATATCAGTGAAAGCTTATTAAGGACCATAAACTACTGTTTACAATGAGTCTGGGTACAATAAAATTAATGAGATCCTTGATGAAATATATGGCATGGCAATCAGCTGATTAGTTTGCTTTCCGGATAAAAAAGGATACAAGTATGATTAAAAATCAAATTTGTTGTTAGAGTAAGAGTTTGTTACTAATTTTACCCATTTTACAATATTGATATGAATAAACAACCTTTTTGGGGTTGTCGAGTTGGTTGAGAGGTTTTGAGCACCAGTATGTTCGATTTTGGTGTATGGGTGCCGTATCTACGAGGTTGCAAGTTTCGAGGCGTGTATTCTCCTTATGTTTATTCATTAGATTGTATTTTTATGGTTTTGTATAGACCAATAATACACATTTTGAAACCTAATTTACATAGAATAAAAAATTGTCTACTTTTCGACAAACAACGACTCATGACTAAATTGCAAGTGACTACCTTGTCAAAAACGAACACCAGGGTATTATATTACACAATATTTTTCCATTATATAATGAGCCATTAAATCAGTTTCATAAGCTAAAGCAAATAGAAAGTCAGAACTACGCTGTCTAAATATACTGTATGTCATTCTATCCTTAGTATGAAAGATAAATCAATGAATATTCGATACTTGTAAATAATAGATTATTATCATGATCTACAGTATATTAATCAAAGGTTAAAATAAATAAAGTATCTTAGTTAGAAAATCTAATAATGTTGGTAAAACTTACATGGTCTCTGACTCAAATTATAATTTCATGCAAAAAAGCAGCTTTTATATTTTCAGCAATTTAATTTAAAAACCAAGAAACAAAACTATGAGTATGCTCAACCATGCATTTTACAAAAATGGACATCTAGTCAAAATATAATGTCATGCACCTAAACAGATTAACATTATCGGTAATGATTTCGAAATAGAATAAAAAAAGCAACAATAAAGGCATAATACGAAAGCGATTCAAATAAATAATTTCCTTAACGCCTTATAACTAATACTTTATGAAATAAAGCTAAAATTGACTTCACGAAGCAAAAAATGCAGTAAATCTGCATGAAGCAAACATACTGAAGCAAAAAGGTGTAGCATTAGACACTGTGTGATGTCACATTGCAGCTAAGCTTCTTTGTGTAATATCGCACTGTAGTGAGTAATATCACACTGTAGTGTGTAATATCGCACTATAGTGTGTAATATCGTACTCATGTGTAATATCGCACTAGTGTGGAATATCACACTGTAGTGTGTAATATCGCACTGTAGTGTGTAATATTGTACTAATGTGTAATATTGCACTAGTGTGGAATATCTACTACAAGCTATACCTGACACGTTACCTTTTTTGTTTTATAAACGCTAGGCCATTGATCCGGGTCATCATAGTATAATAACATGCTAATCGTTTCATAGCTCTGTAAAAAACAGTTAGATTGTTGAAATACACACTTCAATAATAAAAGGCCTTGGATAAAAATTGGATGTCGTTTTCTTAGTTCATTCTATTTAGAGAAAATTAATAATCAAAATGGTGAATGAATCAATGGGTTTTAAAATTTAGGGATCAGAAAACATTTGCAAGAACTGTACACCATTTTTGAATCAGGTACAAATGCCTGCAGTCAAAATCCATCTTCGCACGCTGAACGAAGATGGTCAAAATCAAAAAGCATGCAATTTTAACCAAACTCATCTATCCATTATAGTCATATAGCCATATAGTCATTCTAAACATGTTCAGGGTAAGAACTTTAATCGTTGTTAATGGCAATTGAAAACAACACCCATTTTTCAACCAAGACCTATTGTTTCACATGTTAATTACACTCATCAATACCTTGGAGGTTTTATAAACAGCTGGCCACTGGTCTTCATCGTCAAAATAAAGCAGCATATCTATTGACTCATATGACTAAAACATAAATCATTCATATGACTACAAATAAAATATAGTACATTCATATGACTAAAACATAATTTATTCGTATGACTCAAATATAATACATTCATAAAATATAAACTAAAATATAGTACATTCAATCAATTGGCTCATATGGTTTAAACATAGTCGATTCATATGACTAGAATTTAGAATATCAATATGACTAAAATATAGTACATTCATAGGACTAAAATATATTTCATTCATATGACTAAAGGAATTTCATTCAATTTTCTTTTTTAGTTATCTTTTTATAAATCTTAAAGACTCAAATATATACTGTATAAGAATTTGAACTCGGAGAAGTTTTTCATTGTGTCAATAGATTCATAATTATTTTATGACTTATGCAAAACAAATCAGTTATAACTGATAAAAAAACAATAAATAATTCATACATATAATTTGAACGGGGTTTGACTGAAAAAATAGCAGTTTGCCACTATATGTAATTTAATCATTTGCTACATGACCATTGCTACTAATGTTTTGGGGAAAATAGCAATCATTTTAGATTTTTTGAATTTTGGGCCAAATTTTCAAAATTTTGGACCCGAAATCTAAAAATTTCTCAAAAATAGGCCAAAGCCGTAATGTCAGTCTCTTACCCAAATTGTTAAATTTATTTGGGGAGAAGCAGATCATGGACCCTAATATTTTTGGGGGTCTCAATTTTTTAAAATTCATAATTAGATTTAAGTAGTCTAATTAAAAAGCTGTTGTAAGTTTCTGCTTGTACTTCATCTACCTTAAAAGTCCTTAATAAGCAGGATTGTGATAAATTAGAAACATTATTGTAACGAGTACTACAACTTACAGTAATGACTCATATTTTATACAAGCAGAATATAATTGACACAATAATAAAGAGCTAATTAGGGGATAATTAATAATCAACTATGTTGACGTTGTTCATTCAGATACACAAATGTAGAAACATGAATTTAATTGGTGAAGTTACGAAACCTGATCCTGCCTCAGTCAAATTTGATCTATACGACAATTGAACGACAGCCGTATCTCTCCAAAATCGAGAGAAATATGCAGCATTAAATATAGAGATAAGCAGCAATGTGATAAAGATTTCAATATCGATTTTGTGAAGTGACAGCCGTAGTACGTCCGCCTTAGAGCAAATATGACTGAGGCTTTAATCATAAGACTTGACTTTTTTCCTTACCTTTGGATATTCGAAGACAAACTCTAATCTTCCCTTTTCTGACAGAAAGCAGAACCTTGATAAAAACTGCCAATCCTGAAAAGTAAAAGAAGCACTATATGTATAAAAAACAAGTCTGAATTTCATTTCCAGACACAACAACAAGCTTCGTGGTAGGACCCAAGTTCACAGTCAAGATCAAATACTGTTAATAAGTCTAAACACTTCCCGCTAGACTTATGTCTCTTTGTCTGAAAACACTGAGATGAAGTCTGTTTGATAGGATTTTTTGATCTCAACCAATGACTTGTGAATGTGATTGCCACCTTGAAAATTCTCCCACTTCTTAGCTCCGAAATAAAATTTCTCATGCATGTACAAAAAACAAGCAGATATCCTTGGATACATGTAAGCAGTAAATCTCTCTACAATGTGTCTCAGACTACTGAGATGATATCTCTGAATGGGATTTTTTCAATCTCAACCAATCACTCTTGAGCCCAATAAAAGCATTGTCGTTATAATACTGCTATGAATAAATTGAACAAGCTGCTTCAGGCTCTTGCAGTCGTGTAAACGTTTAGATCGGTATAATGGGAGCCACTCATCAGTGACCACCCCCCCTTCCTAGACTATATCCTATTTAGTCTGAATATATTCTAGTCTGTCTGTTGAATACATACTACCCCCCTTCCGACACCAGTGTATGGCCAGTTTTCTTTAAATTACATTACACATTCAACACATCTTTAATGCATGTCATGGACTGTATATATTCACTCAAAGGCTTTTAGAGACATCACATTCTTTGACATCATGGCAACTCCAGTCCACTCCATTTGACAAAATTTAACAGAATTCTTGTAAAATGTGCTTTATATTAAGATTTTACTATATTCTACTATGCGCAAGACATTGCTTACAATGATATCACACATGCAACATGCATATTTAACACCAAACAATCCATATATGATCACAATTTCGTTATATCACACGAAAATTGAAATTGTTTTGAATTTTCGGCGCCATCTTGGATTTTTCGAGACATGAATTTTGAAAAGAACATTGCATTTCGTCGCTTATTATGAATCAGAAATCGTTCATATTCTCTCACTTACTTCTTTGGTTGTTAATGTTCCTTCTACTATTTTTCCACATATCTGTTTTGGTAGTAAAATACATAATAATCCAATACTAAAAATAAGATTCCGCGAGGGAATCCAATTCATGGCCTCCATGATGACGTTTTAAGGTCACGTGACCCTGCACTATGACTACTTGTAAATAACAACATTACAAATCTTTTGTGATCAATAATAAGAGCTAATAAGATAACAAAGTATCTTTACAAAACACCTTTGTATAAGTGCATTATAGAATATAGACATATATCATAGGAGGTATGTTGTGGGCACTGAATTATTGCAATACCACATAATATTATTTGAACACGATTTCTGAATATCAAAGGTCAAAGTTTAAAACCGATGCAAGTACAAGGTGGGAGGGGGTTCCACTGGCGGATCCAGAAGCAAACAAGGGGGCATTACTCACTTCGAGAGCCATGTTAGATTTTGAAACTTATGTCAAAATCCACAATAGCTTTCGCAGGAAGTAAGGTGGCACATTTCAAGGCAGAAAAAATTCTTGGGCCCCAAAAAAACACATATTGGGCCCAAATGGCCCATTTCGTGATAATTTGGTCTAAAGAGGCCCAAAATACCAAATTATGCTTGAAAAGGCCCGTTTTCAGGCCCTATATTTTTATGCCCAGAAATAATATAGGCCCTAAACTTTTTGTCTGGGCCCAACTAAGGGCCCTTACATTCTTCAAATGACATATAAAATGTTACTTTGATATAAGAATCCTGTCTCTACCAATCATTAGATACTTTATCATGTCAGCAGATTCTTTTAGTATGATCCCCTCACTCGTCAATAGAAAAATTGTCTTTTGGTGGTCATTCATGTTTTTAAAAAGACTACACAGGTTTTCAAGTTTTTCAATATGGAATTTTCTGATATACTCCAATTGTTTACATTTCGGAATAAAAAGTGTGTTTCATCTTCTATAACCGAGTCCTTACATGGCAAAATCGACTATTGGTTTTGTATATCGGCCTCTATCTCTAGATTGTGGGCGCTTATACGTATTCTAGTACGTTTGGCCTCAGGTTTGGCGTTTGAAAGTATCGTTTCTGAAAGGTAGTGTTCAAATCCAAAGTGTGATTTTAGTTGTTTAAATAATCTAAGTTTCCCCCATTCCCACTTATCAGATTCTTCAAATATACTTGATATCTCTCTATTAATTTCTTTTTGACTTTAATGGCAAGCCTATTTGTGCTCTTCTCTATGTTTACCTTATCTTCAAGATTTAATTCATCAGACATTTTTATTTTAACATGGCACAGTATATTTTTGAGTTGTTTGTGCCATGTAAATGTGTTATTTGTTAAATCAAATGTTTTACTCATAATTAATGAATCGTTCAGTAACCCTACTATCACACCAAACTAGTTCTCACTGCGTTCTCGAAAACGGGCTTCAACTGTATACGAACGGACTGGACCTACTGAGAACCGTTTGGGAGATATTTACAAACTTCATCGAACGTACTCGAACGGGTAGGTCCTCTAGAACTTAGACAATGCTCAAAATATATTCGTGGTCGTCACGTTCTACAATTAGTACGAGTGACAACGTACTAACGACGAGCTGGACGTACTACGAACGGAACCGTCGTACTTCAATCCTACTAGGGACGTTTTAACAACGAGTTGAACTGTCTGCGGACGTGTTGAGAACGAGGTAGAACTAATTGCAAACGGGTTTAAACTGATTAAGAACGTATTTAACACTGCTTATGAACGAGTTAGCAAAAATATAGCTATCACACCAAACAAGTTGCCACTGCGTTCTTCAAAACTGGTTTTAAACTGTGTGCAAACGAAATGAACGGCTGCAACTTTCTAAGGTCTATTTACGAACTTTATGAACGTTCTCAGACGGGAATGTGATTTTAGAATTTTGAATCGATTCAAAATTCGATGACGACCATACCGTTCTGTAATCAGGTCATGTTGACCTTCTAGACTAAGACACGCGTTCTACGACGTTGCACTCCGACGTGGTGCGACCTGAACGAACTGCGAACGAGATGGACGTATTGAAGACTGTTTAAGAACGAAGAAGCTAATTATTTCAGACATATTTCCCGACCACAGCCAGATTGAGCCCGTTTGACGACGTTTTCGTAGGACTGGCAAGAACGGGTAAGAACTAGTTTGGTGTGATAGGGGGGTAAACTCCCATTTGAATCTAAATGACCGAGGTATTTAATTTGTCTTGAAATCATCACTTTGTTTCGTTTTTCGATTCTGTCAAAAAAAATTACCATCAAACATGTCAAACAAGCCATTCAAATCGTTATTCAATTTATGTTATTTTTGCCAGTATTCTTCTTGATTAGACTCCAGATGTAAATCTGGAGACTATTGTTTTCGTCAGTATTCTTATTCTTTTTATTATTCTTTATTCTTTATTATTCTTTCCCAGTTTTCTCGATTACCATAAGGCTTCCAATAAAGATCATTATTCAGTCAATTTATGTCCAGTATCTAGTTCCTCGGAAATTGGGTCAAATTTTTATATAGGTCAAAGGTCAAGAACTAGGTCAAATCTTACATTTTCAACATTCTGTCATTTATCTTCGTCGTTGTTTATCGGAACTCCTAAATCTTTTTTTCATCATGTAGCTTAGAAAAAGCCAAAGCAAAGATATGACATTAGATTTTTGATTACGCTTACCGATTTTCAAATATGGCGTCCAGAAAGTAGGTCAAAATGAAAAGTTCTCCAAATTTAACATCTGAGTTATGAATTAATTAGGGTAGAATTTACTCAGGAATCCGAATCTGCAAACTAAATTTCGATCCGACTTCCGGTTCGAAAGTTATGGCGTTTTGAAATTTCGAGAAAAATCGATCTGATGATATCCTTATAGAAAGTCAAGAGTAGCGAAGAAAATATAGAAAAAATCATCCATCCTTCCTTCCTATCCTGTCTGATCATATCCTTCCTATCTATTCTTCCTTCCTATCCATTCCTTCCTATCCTATCCTTCCTTCCTATTCTATATCCTATCCTATCCTAGAACTGGGTCAAATCTTACATTTTCAACCTTCTGTCTATTATCTTCGTCGTTATTTATCGAAACGTCTTCGTCTTTTTTTCATCATGTAGCTTAGAAAAAGCCCTTTCATAAGTTTCCCTGTTTTTTTTTAATTACTCTTACCGATTTTGAAATATGGCGTCCAGAAAGTAGGTCAAAACAAAAGTTCTCCAAATTCAGGGTATGAGTTATGAATTAGGGGTAGAATTTTGTCAGGAATACAATTCTGTATTCACAGATGAGGATGCCACTCTACCGACAATGGTACCTAGTCAAATTCCTGAAATGCCAAATATCAAAATTTCGACAAAAGGAATTCACAAATTGCTAACTGGCCTAAATCCATCAAAAGCCACTGGACCCGATCTTATTCCGACTAGGGTCCTGAAGGAATGCAGTGACAACATATCACCATTCCTTCAAATAATTTTTCAACAGTCTATCGATGAAGGCTTAGTGCCTTTGGACTGGAAACATGCCAATGTTACTGCTATCTACAAAAAGGGACGAAGAGATGAGGCTGTGAATTACAGGCCTGTTTCTCTGACGTCAGTTCCATGTAAAATAATGGAACATATTATATTCCATCATGTTATGGCCCACTTTGACCTCTATGAAATTCTAGTAAAATTCCAACATGGATTCAGGTCAAAGCACTCATGTGAAACACAACTTGTCAATACAATAGAGAATATAGCTCGGGCCCTCGACAACAATAAACAAACAGACATGTTGGTATTAGACTTTTCCAAAGCGTTTGACACGGTGGCTCACGAACGCCTCTTGCTCAAACTCGACTATTATGGAATTCGCAATAATAACTTGAACTGGTTCAGATCCTGGCTTGTGGGAAGATCACAACAGGTAGTGCTCGATGGTGAATCAAGTTCAAAAACTCCAGTAAAATCAGGAGTTCCTCAAGGAACAGTTCTTGGACCACTCTGTTTCCTTGTTTATATCAATGATATGGGCAATAACCTATCATCCTCAGCCAGTCTTAAGCTTTTTGCCGACGACAGCCTTTTATTCATGACAGTCGAAAGCAAGCAAGATGCATTAACACTACAGGAGAATCTTGATAAACTGGTCTCCTGGGCATCAACATGGCAAATGAAATTCCATCCATCAAAATGCTATGTGCTAAATATTCACAAAGGTAAATCCCCTATCATGCACAATTACACCATGCTAGGGGAAAACCTTAAGTCGGTAACACACATCCCATACCTAGGAATTGACATCACAAATAACTTACGCTGGACTACACATATTCAAACTATTGTATCCAAAGCCAATAAGGTGCTTGGATTTCTCAGGCGCAACCTCCATCAATGCCCTGAAAAAGTGAAGGCTCAGGCGTATAAGTCACTAGTCCGGCCTAATTTAGAGTATGCCAGCTCGGCATGGGATCCATACCGACAAAAAGATATTGATATGTTGGAACAGGTACAGAGAAGAGCAGCCAGGTTTGTAACCAAATGTCACTCAAGGGAACCAGGCTGCGTCACCAAAGCTCTTCAAGACCTACAGTGGGAGCCACTGAAGGAGCGTCGAGAGGCTGCTAGAGTTTTCCTTTTCTACAAAGGAAAGCAGAACCTAGCAGCCATCGACGTGCCTCCATACTTCCGCCAACAGATCAATACCAACACTAGGTTGTATCATCCTTCTAAGTTCATACAACCATCAGCTAGAACGGATGCATACAAATTTAGCTATTTCCCTAGGACAATAGCTAAATGGAACACTCTACCTGGTGACATCTTAGACTGTGACAGTCTAAGTAGTTTTAAATCATCATACTATGCCTATGTCAATAACTGCAATTAAATAGGTGTGTTTTTAATATAGATCTATGTTTTAATGTAAATGGTCCCCAGTGCACAGCAACAAGCCTGCACTACTGGTAAAAGGGGGTGATGTCAACGCGGTTAGCCTGACAGTCTCCCCAGGTAAAATGAGTTGTAAACCATAGATCTATTTTTAAATGTTAAGGTTTTAAATCATATTCTATTCAAATTCTATCACTGTTAAATTATATATCTGCTTTATATGGGCTTATTAGCCTTTTGCAGATTAT